TAAATATAAACTATAAATTACCTGAATCTCGCGATTTTCCTACAAAAAGCATCGTTGGAAATGTGATTTATCACGTATTATTTTACAACTAAAAGGGCACTTCTGCCCCCCCCTGCCCCCCCTAGCAAAAGGCAAGGGGGGCAGCCGCCCCTGCCCCCCCAGTTCCGGCGTCCCTGATCCTATTATAAGTATACCTGTACATTTCATTATTTTCAAATTACTCATCTTTATAGGGATCAGTTTACCAAAAACAGAATGTACGCAAAGATACAGATATGGCGAAACGAAACCAGTTTTGGTCTCAACGAGAGGTAAGGAACTTCGATTCGATGCCCGGCAGTCGTCAGATCAGAGCAAGCGTCTTTCATTTCTGAGGTTGTGGGTTCGATCCTCACATCAGACCAGTGGCGTAACGTTATATCAGGGGGCCCCCGGTTCAAAATTTTCGAAGGCCCCCCTAGTAGAAGTGCCAAAGGCACGAGTCGAGCGCCGTATATGCAAGAGTTCTCTAGGGGGTCCAGGGCATGCTCATCCGGAAAATTTTTGAATCTGGACTCTCTGAAATGCCATTTCCTGGACTTTTGGGGAGAGATTTTACAGAATTCTGATGGTCATAAAACGACATTGTAACATATCAGAGGCCCTGGCGAATGTTTTTGCTCTATCGCCTAAGCCTGGGGGCCCCCATTTGGGTTGGGGGCCCCCGGGTTCTCCCGGTCTGAGCCCATAGTAGTTACGCCACTGCATCAGACTAATGACAGTTATGTGAGAAGAGTTAGTCAACGCGCTACCGAAAGTCGTGGGTTTTCTTCGGGTACCGGTACTCCGGTTTCCTCCCACAAGGAATGTTGACCCTGGAGCAGGGCTCGAAGTAGAGGGAAAATATGGCCTGCCAGTCAAAAAATTTTTGGCAGGTGAAATAAATTTTAGCCTGCCATTTTTATTCATTGAACTGCCAAAATGGCGATATGTCGTACGAGTCGTATTGCAAAAATCAATGTTTTCATGATTATTGATTTTCAATGATATTATTTTTAAACTTGTCTATTTTACTACAGTAAACTTGGATTTACATTTCAAATATAAACGTATATTTAGTCAACTAAATGATCTAGTATATATATGAGTTGTGGTAAGCAAATGAAATGAAATATATCTATAGAATTTCACCTGCCATTTTGTTTCTGACTTGGCAGTTCAAATTTGTTTTTGCCTGCCATTTCTAAAATGTTTGCCTGCTTTTGGTCATTGGCAGCCCGCTATTTCGAGCCCTGCCCTGGGGTAGGTTGATATTATCCCCTAACTGACCCTTGCACAGTAGCTGTGCTCCGTGATCAGACATGAGTCATAAGGTCACAGAGTAGAGACATACAGAGACGTAACTAGTGTACCCACTTTTTTGTGCGCATGGTCGGCAAGTTACTAGATGCATGCATCTGATTGGATGACAACCTGATGACGACTCACTTTAAACTTGCTGAGCACGCGCAGTTGATCATTTTTCGCCCGGTCGCCTGAAAAAAAGTGGGTACATGATAACGTAATCTTCCGCAGTATTTACAACGGTCAGTTACGTCTCTGTATGTCTTATCTACTCTGTGATAAGGTGGCTGCCAGAGGCGCCCAGGTCACAGAATAGGAAGGTACACCAGAAGTCTCATTCAAGCAAGTATTTGTACGCGTTTTTACAAGCGATTCGTCATCAATCACGTCATCCTGGCTAGTACAACCGGCACTTTGTACCTACCAAAACCTGATAAAAACTTCCGGCTGTATTAGCCAGGATGGCGTGAGCGAGTTAAAATTTTCGTGGACGTAAACACCGACTCAAGTTACACTTCTGCTGTACTTTCCTATTTTGTGCCCAGGTTGAGCTGTGCATGTCCTTCCCAATTCAGCTTAGCTCTCGACTGCAACACAGAGTAAGCGTAACTGGCCGTCGTAAACACTGCGGAAACTTACGTTTTCATGTACCCACTCTTTTTCAAGCGACCGGGCCAAAAATGATCAACTGCGCGTGCTCGGCAAGTTTTAAAGCGAGCCGCAATCCAATGGGATGCATGCATCTAGTAACTTGCCGAGCACGTGCACAAAAAATGTGGGTGCACTAGTTATAACTCTGTATATGTACCTACTCTGTGACTGCAAGTAAGGATGATTGGCACACCCCATTCAGAAACTGTACATTTTTTATTGCCGATTTTTTGGCTGACACTTCAATGAAGGGTTTGCTGCGGATTAAAGTAATGATAAAGTGAATTTGAAAACAAATTTTGTTTTAAACATGTTAGACGGAGGAAGCGTCACGTCAAGAAGATGAAGTGAAACAAAAAGAAACTCAGAAGGAAGAGGCGGAAAGAAAACGAAAGGAAAGAGAGGTACGGAATAACCTTAGCCATGGCATGTACTACCGAGACGTATAAACATCCCAACGCATAAACATCGGCCAACTCCATTTACCAACCAATGGTAGTACCGACCACTTCAAGTCACGTTTTGCCCAATGCTCTGCATGCCAACTGAGCTACGCGGTCAGGTCGGTTCGAGTATGTGATATTTTGGAACTGAGTCTAGTTCCTTTGATATCATTGTAACACCAACACAGAACAAAATTCATGATTACTAGATTGCATTGATATCGAAGGAACTAGACTCAGTTCAGAAATATCACATACTCGAACCGACCTGACCGCGTAGCTCAGTTGGTAGAGCATTTGGCTAGTATTCCAAAGGTCGCAGGTTCTATTCCCACCATGGCCAGGCATATTTTTCAAGTTTACCCGGTGTGGATATTCACTCAGAGTAACATCACAAACATCATATATTCACCTGAGTACATAACACCAACACAGAAAAAAAAGTCACGTTTTCCCCACATAATGTCCGTTTTACCAACAAGTTTTCTAAAAAGTGTGGGTCGCACCCCTCACTCCCCCTTCGCTCGCTATACCCCTGACCTCAGAGGTAGTTCACTGTCAGAAAACTGTGGCGTCCAACAAATAATTTGGTTTAGATTTGACTTCCATTACCGCTACCTTTAAGGGATCATTAACCAATCACATGCGTTTAATCTACCCGATTAGCCAATCACATGCGTGCTTAGTGAAAGGTAGTGGTTGTGCACGTCAAATCTAAACCTCGCTATTGTATATTTGACAGCTACAAGAAGCGAAAAAGAGAGAAGAACAGTTCAGAGTGAGATCAAAAAGTATTGAAGAAAAGAGGTACCGGAGCACATTATATAACCTCGTCTTCAGGCTCTTTCCTCTACGCTTGTACGAAGAAGATTGCGCGCTATATTTATTTTAAATTCGCAATTATCAGCTATATTTACTTTAGCTTCTTCCTATAGTAACACTGAAACAGAAAATCTTGAATAAATGAAGTTAGTTTAGTTAGTATGATTTTGAGCTATCCAGTATACGTAAGCTGATTTAGTTTAGGTTTCCTCTTGTGATAACACCGGTCCAGCAGGGATGTCAACCTCGTTCTCAGGCTCTTAACCTCTTGTGCAGGAATTTGACCCTGGTAGGAGCTAGTTACGTGATCTGCTGAAATCTAGCAGATTTTTCATTAATGGTGATGATAAATATTTGATATTTATACTTTAATTTATAAACTTGCATTTTGTTTTGCAAATTTTATTTCATTTTATTTTAAAGAAATCCAAGATAGTTAATTAGAAATCTGCTAGATTTTAGCAGATTACGTGACCAGCTCCTACCAGGGTCTTTCCCCCACAAGAGGTAAGAGCCTGGGAACGTGGTTGCAGGGATGTCCTTACTGGACCTCTAGAACTGATAGAGAAAGCCAGTATAAACAAGGTTAGCTTAGGTTGGTGTTTCTTTTGTAATAACACTAGACCAACAAGGAGGGATGACCCTTACTGGTCCTCTGGTAAGACTGTTTCCTGACCTGTCTCTCACTTCTTAGTCTTGAAATATTTACTCAGGAAACAGGACCGAGACACAGCCCAGAGGCAAGAGGAAGAAAGGAAAGAAAAAGAAGCGGCAAGAGCTCAAGCTTATACCAAAGAATACGAGGATGAGAAAGCGCGATCTGCGGCTGCAGGAGGAAGGAGACAGGTACGTGTATGCCTGTCATCTCAGAGTAGAACATAATCTTAATAAAATGTTTTGTTGAGTGCTTCATGAAATAAACCCATTGCACCTACTCACTCGTTCTCACCGAAAACTTGCACTATGATGAAAGAAACTGGAGTTCATTATTCCACATTCTGAGTAGCTTTTAGTTGGAAGTTGTCCTCCGAATGCCATGCATGAGCTCATTTTAAGGTCAACTGCATTGTGTCTATACTTATGTCTATACATAAAGTTTTTATTCTATTGTGTTTCTCCAGTGCATTTTTTAAGGATTCTTCAGTGGTCGGGCAAAACTGCCAAAGGGCCCATTTTCCTTGCCGTCCACACAGCATAGTATGCGGTCGCCGAAGATGTGAGCAAAGTACCGCAGGCACGAGTTACTGTAGCTAGGGGTGTTGAAGCTGGGGGCATATCCCCCCGCCAGGAAATTTTTAAAATTTGGGTCTCTGAAATAGCATTTCCTGCATTTTGAGAACACATTAAAAAAATCTCAGCTTCTCAAAACAAAGTTTTAAGGTGAAATTTGTAATAAATTGCGTGCTAAACATTCAAACATAACATAAGTTTAAGTATGCTCACCAACAAATTTTGTTTTTTAAACTTCTTTTCAACGTTAAACTCATTTACTCAATACAGGTCCTAGGGCCCTGGCTTTGAGGCAATAGGCCATTTTTTTCTTCAGTGGTGGGGCAGGGGAAGGGGCCCAGTGGGGCAAATGCCCCACCAGTCCATGGTATTAAAAAATACCTTGAGTTTCTCACTAATTGGTGAGCGGATTTCCCAACAGTCCATTACCCAATTGATATGGTATCCGAGACACCTACGATTTTAACGTCCTTATCCTTTTCGTGATGTCCAGGTCAAGAAACGTTTAAAGTGAATTTGTATTCATTTCAGGAAGCTGAAGAGATGATTAGAGCTGGCAAAGCTGTTAGACCCATACCTCCTGTTCCTCAAGCGCGGCCACGTCATGAGCCAGAACCCGAGCCAGAACCAGAAATCGAGCCTGAGCCCGAGCCTCGCTATGAGCCGGAACCTGAACCAGAGCCAGAGCCTCGTTATGAACCGGAGCCTGAACCCGAGCCTGAACCAGAGCCGGAGCCTGAACCAGAGCCGGAGCCTGAACCAGAGCCGGAGCCTGAACCGGAGCCTGAACCAGAGCCGGAACCCGAGCCGGAACCTGAGCCGGAGCCAGTAAGTATCGTTTTAATGCACCCTTTCGGAGAATACGTCACTTTGGCTATAGTGCCTTGTTTTCGTGTCTGTGACATTAGCCGAACGTCTCAATCACGAAAACGAGGTGGCGTTCCTTCCGAAAGCGTGTATTGGTCGTTTATATTATCTAGCGACGCATTTATATTCGTCTGGAAGAATTTGGAGTACAACATAGGTTAAGAGACGGTCCTTAAACTACTGGATCTCTGAGGTGAACAGTCAGTCAGTTGTCAACTTTGGACCAAAAGTTAGAAAACTTTGGATGGGAAGTCCACAATAAACTGAATATTCATTATTTTTCGCTTACAGGAGCAGGATAATGAATATGATGTTCCAGAGAGTGGTCCAGGTACAGGAAGAGATCCGTCAACAGGATATTATGACACTGCCGCTGACCAACAAGATGACGATAATCTCTATGACAACGCTGACGCCATCATTGACACTGCCCAGGTAGGTGAAACGTATTCATGTTATTATAGGACCTCTTTTGTTAAACACAGAAACTTCACGTTTCACTTGTTACACTTTTTCTTCATTGACTTCTTCTCGTGATTTTTCGTGACTTTTTATTCGTGATTTCTCGTGACGTTTTCGTGGTTTCTTGGTACATGTGTTATTTTGTTTAGTTTCAAGGTAGATGTATAATATATGATGTATTTTCAGACTGAATCAACTGAAGATGGTGGCGTGAGGGCGCAGGCTTTATACGACTACCAAGCAGGTAAAATGTTTAACTGTAAACAGTCCATGTAAATCATGCATCCCTACCATGTAAACACAGTATGTCGTGGTCTGAACTACATGAAAAACATTAAACACGCTTCTAGCGAAGGCCTTCGTCTAAACTCTTGATTCTACTTCCATCACATCTGACTGATGTAAGAAGAGTGTGCCGAGTTTGACTTTCTCAGACAGAACGGGTTTTCCACGGATACTTTGGTTTCGTTTAGTAAATGGTAGCACTGCACCGATCTCTAAAGTGAACGGTGTAGATCTTTGGGCATCAAACCCAATTTAACACAAATTGCTATTTAATTATCTAGCTGATGATACAGAAATCACGTTCGACCCAGGTGATATAATTACAGAGATAAATCAAATCGATCCAGGTTGGTGGCAAGGTAGGGCGCCTGATGGCTCTTACGGGTTGTTCCCAGCTAACTATGTAGAGGTCCTGGAGTGAGGTACGAACTAATGCGCAAGAAATTTGGTAATATTTTAGTAACGCTTTATATTTGTAGGTTATTTTTATACGTAATTGCAATTGAACTATGATGTGATATAAAAATGGCCAAGGAGAAGAATCCTTGCACAGTTTTGGGGGGAAATTATAAACCAGAAAAGTGTGTTAAAGTGCATATGACACGAAACTGTTTATTGTCTAAAATGAAGAAAGAAATTCTTCAAACTTAAAGGAAAATGGCGTTATAAATTTTTATTTTCTCATTTGAAAGAACTTTTGAAACCACACATTAACTACTTTTACCGATTTTTCATATCTTGCATAGTTCTTGAAATATTCTCACTTGAAGTAATTAAATGTCCGCCATCTCGATCAAAAGTTCTTTCAAATGAGAAAATAAAAAAATATATTTCCATTCCCTTTAATTTCTATTCCATGTTTCATGCATGGTTGAGATACAGTCGAGCCCCTATTAACGGACCGGTCCCAATAATTTCTTTGATAAAATACTATTATCACTTCCCCTTTTTAGCGGACACCTCTATTAAGCGGAAGCGGACACTTAAATGATGAATGTAAATATGCTAAATTGAATTTTCATAACAGTCAATGGTAAAAATCAATTTGAAGAAATTTCACGAGACCCATATTTGTTATTAATGTTTAGCAGTATTTCTATGTAGTATAAACGCGCGCTAATGACTTGAAATAATCTCCTAAAACAAACTTTTCTTTCTTTAATTTGTCATTCAAGCAATATACCTTATGCATAATGACATCACAAGGCTTGCTGCCCGCGAGGAATGCTGATCTTTAGTGGTCATCGCCCGGGAAAATTTCGATAGTGGCCATTTTGAATTGTTTAATTTTCCTGGGCGATGACTGCTAAGACCAGCATTCCTCGCGGGCATCAAGCCTTGTGACGTCATTATGCATAAGGTCTATTTCAAGAAAAACCTTGAAATCGCAGGGTCCTCCGTTGACATGTCTACCTTCAATTACTACTATTCCTAAATTAGTTGGGTGTTACCCTCTACTGCGTTCGCTATTGCAAACCCCTATTAAACGGTACCCCTTTTAAGCGGACACATTGGTGGGGTCCCGAAGGTGTTCGCTTAATAGGAGTGCGACTGTATTTCATTTTCTTCGATAAAACAATGAAACCATATTGACCGCATATTGACGCCATGTACATCACCATGAGTTATTAACGAAGGCTTTTTATATCTTTGCTATCACGAAACGAAATCACTCAAAGATTGAGAATGATTAATGCCCCACATGCTGCTTGCTCCACAGAAAGAAAACATTCACACGGGTCATATATGCACTTTAATGAACATTGTGAGGTGACAATTTTCTAATTACTGTAATTCCAATGACATACCCTGTCATAATTCATGCATGTTACAGTAGCGTATAGACTAAGAATCAAAGGGCTCCACATGAATACGCTATTTTGTAAACATATTACTATTAAGGCTTGCGGGGTCTGCACGCAGGCTTATATATTATGAACTAAAGAGAACGTAATTAATTAATACTGACAAACTGTGGTGGGCGAATAGCCAAAAACCACATTGTGAAGAAAATAGTTTTTGAGAGAAAAATATGATTCACAAAATTGCTCGTTTTGTCAAATTGAGAATTGAAATTCGTTAATCCAGTTAGATGTTCCGGTCTCCGAAGCTTTTTGGAAATAGTTGTTTCGGATATGGGACGTAGAGTATACTCTTCCTGAGCCAGGGGTCATCCCAAGGCCTCCCACTTTGCAAAATGTGTACAGTAGTTCTAAATATAAAATGGGTATAGTTCTAAAACTTAAAATGGGCAGTTCAAAAATTGCGTTTTCGAGCTTTATATGAAAATTAGTTATAAATTAAACGCGGATACAGATATTTAAGGCAAAAACTAAACCAAATGCCGCTGTGAAAACGCAGGACATGGCCATTCTTAACTTCTACTTCTTCTGCCAGCATGCCCCAGGACCCTCCTAGCTATTCAGGTATGCAATACTATTCAGGTATGCCTGTGTTCACTACCTCATAGTCTGTTCTTGTCACTGAGTTATTAGATTGGCTAGTTTGATAAGGCGCCTTCGCATGTTACTTTAAATAAAGCTTGGAATATCTTGATGATAGATAGTCTATATGATATTGCACAAAATTCACACGATTCTTGATCTGCCGGCGTTACCACAAACCTACGCAAAGCAAGAATAACTGCGCGTCACACTAAAATAGATTTACGTTGGAGCTAACTTCGAATCCATGTACATATTCTGGTATTTCTAAATTAGCTCCTTGAGTGAAATGTAGCACATTAGGCAAGGAACATGAACAATGTAGTGGTTACAAATATGCGTTGACATATTCGCCGTTTATTACATCCATTTGTCATTGGATTCTGAATTTCTCGACTTTTAAGAACTTTCTTGACTTTTAAGAATTCGGCAGGGGGGGAGCGGTCAGGGGGAGGGGATTCAACGTTCGAAAAGAGAACTGGGAGATGGTAAACCGAAAGGGCTTTAAATTTCAGAGTCATTTCTTTTCAATAATCGTCCCCCCCCCCCTCATTCATTGTTGTGTTGGAAATAAATACGCAAAATGACCCAACATTGTTACGTTTACATCCAAAGGTCGTAGGTTCGAATCCCACCGTGACCGGGCATATTTTCAAGCTCGGCCGGTGTGGATATACACTCAGAGTAACATCACAAATATCATAGTACATTACTGTCCAAAAGATTTTTGTCACTGATTGTAGTTTACAAGTACGATTTGGTTATGTATGGGTGTACTAAGGTACTACTATTCCTTTTATTTCTGCTGATGTTACTCTGGGACACACAAGATTGCTTGACCGCGGTGGGAACCCGCGACCCAACGCCAGGAGGTCGAGTCGGTTCGAGTATATGATATTTCAGAACTCAATCTAGTTCCTTCGATATTTATATGTATTGTGATCAGGTTGAATTCTGAAATATCACCTACTCGAACCAACTTGACCCCGTAGCTCTGCGACGTTATTCTTCCCATTTTGCTTAAATTTTAGAAGAAGGGGTCCTTCACTGCGGGGGTAACATACTGTAGACATGGACACTGTGCTGGAGTGGAGTTCCACCCCTACACCGACATGGACACTGTGCTGGAGTGGAGTTCCACCCCTAACCCCACTCCAGATTGTCTGTTAAAAAAGTCCTATATGTACTTGAAAGTCAAATTTGGTTACCAAATATAGATATGAAATACTCCCTTTATATGTAATAGTATTAAAATAATGAACACTTGACGTAAATCCTCAAGTTTTGTTCCTACTCATTTGGTGTGCATTGACTTCGCAGATGACAAATTGCACGTACAAATATTACAGTAAGATATCATCTCAATTTGCGGTAGCTAAAAATGTCACAAATATTGCCAACCACTGTGTTTAATTGGATGAATTGCAGTGGGATGAATTTGTCTCCGTGTGCAGTTCTCCTTTTAATGTTGAGATAAGGAAATTAGATTTTCTCCTAACCGTGCTGGGGCCAACTCATTTACTTCCAAACGCATGCAGTTATAATGACATAACCTAATTTGCTAATTTAGTGTAATTAGAAAATAATTAGAAAAGACGACGGCATATCAATTTTCAACCCACTTTGAGTTCTGTATTTCGAGATCACAAAACATTTATGGAATGTTTCAAAGGACTATATTTAGGCTAGAAACTATATCGCCCTCGATAAGAGGCAGGGGGTTCAGAGGCTATGTTGATCAGGGGGGGGGGGAGAGAAACTATATTCATAAAGGGCGTGTGAAGCAGGGATGGACACCCGAGTCTGACCTTGACAGTTCTGCTCTGGGTTTAACTTCTTTACAATTTAAGATCTGTAGAGATAAAATCTCAATCATATTCGAACAAATATTGCATCAAATATTGCTACATTTCATTTCATTGTCATGTACAGTATGTGCAGTTATTACAGAAGTGATCTGCAGTAGAACATCCGCTGACCATAAGCCTTGGCTGGATTGTTGATACAAAAGACCTAAGCAAAAACCTCTACTATACAGTCTTCAATGAGCTTGGTTTTTGTATTATAGTTAAAATTTCTGCCGTCTCGTGTATATGTGCGGACAGATTACACTCAACGCAAATGACGTATGTTATCGTTTTAGACATATCACAGACAAGCCGATGGTAAATAGCTTGTATGTCATTGAAGCGAATTGAAAGGCCAATCCAAAATTAGCCTCCCAAACGTACCTTGTTGCGTGTTCTTAGAGCACTTCTATTGGAAGGGGTTAGTTTGTAAGGCAAACACGAGCTATCTCACTAACATTTAATAATAAAGCGCTAAGGTAAACATATCTTACAGTCACGAACTGATGACAGGCCGAGGTTTCGATTAGACAGGTTGTTTTTTCATTAAATCATCTATGTATATAAACACTGACGCTGTAATCATTTAACCTTATTTACGTTAGCTTAACAACTGTTTACCTTTGCAGAAATAACAATTTCAGCTTGAGATATAGTTTACAGTTAAGTATACGTCTTTGCAGTTATCGAGTGTCACCTTGCATAAATATAAGATTACTGTATATACCCATGCGTGGTCTGCATGTCCAATGGCTAGCCTTATAAAGACAGATTTAGTCACAATAGGATGTAAAGTTGCTTGTTATTATTCACTCCGCTTTGTGAATAGACAATACTCTTTGTTGTGGCAAGAGCAATTTCGGCCTGCGACTGCTTTATAAGAACATTATTAGGGCGAACTCATGCGGTGTTGTGGGCGGAGAACTTGGCCGTAATACACTTAATAACCCTTGTACATGACAACCGTCTGGTTTATTTTCAGTCCGCATATCATATTCGTACATGCATGCATGCGAGCTTGATTGCACGGACATTCTTAGCGACATTTTGACATTCGCGTTCTGGTAGACATTTTCCGAATATCTTCATATCGCGAGAGGTTTTTCGAGGACAGATATTTCAAGATGCGACGAAGGCGAAGTGGTATAGTTTTGCAACATACCAATGTTATACGTGTTGTCATTCTAGGGAAGAAAGGTGTTGGAAAGTCAGGTAAGGTGTAGTTCATTGATTTTCAATCTCTTTTCTCCCTTGATGAGCCTTGGATTTTAGGATTCACAAAAGGCCCGTTTACACTTGCAACATTTGTTGCGATTTCTAGTCTGATTCATGTGAACGAGTATACGATGTATCACCGTTTTGAGTATATGTATCCTCATGTTAACTCCTCCATAGAAGACGAAAATCGCACCCAAAATCGTAGTAAAAATAAACGGGCCTGAAGATTTCGCAGCAACGTCAACCGTTGTCTTGTGCTGAGTTTGTTTATAAGCTCCATAGATTGCTACATCAATCGTGTCCTGCACATCTTTGGAATATAATTTAGCTACTTGAATTTCATGTAAGAAAACTTCGCATTGATAGGGATGCAAGTACCTGAAAAATACAAGGAGAACTTCGACTAAATACCTAATTCTTCTATCCAGCGTGAAAGTATTTCAGGTGTTCGTGTATAATATAGACATTGTGCTATTTTGGGCATATACCCTGATAAGCTTTGACTTAATATCTAGAACCAACGATCATTATCGCACTGCTTAGGATCTTTCAGAATATTTGGTGAAGGATGCATCCTGTCAAGTATATCGACTACGTTGCTTGATGTTTGAAAATGTTCAATCAGGTTTCAGTTCGATTTAAACTTGCACTATTCTGTTTAAACTTAACACTAAATATTCAGATAAAATAGTCCAACATCATTGTCAATGATCAATGAATACGATGGGTCACCACATGGGACCATCATGTACGCACCAAGTCTACCTATACCCACCCAACAATTAGAGGAACGAGACGTTACGAGAGGATTCGTCCATCACATTGTGTCTACCACAATGAAGTCTTGACACCATATGTTGCAGACATGATATTGCTGGACATTGGATTACTTCCGATGTCCAGTTTCATTCCAGATTTCTGCATGTATGCCAAGAACCATGCCAAGAACCACAACGTTTGGAATCTTGTAGCCTATTTAACGAAGTGAAATCTTTAATTGCTACGGAATTCTGTAAACGTTTTGAACCTCGTAGGCCGATTTACACCACACAACTTTAAATTGCTCAAAACTGTCGCATGCAACCTGCTTACAACTTGAGTTGTACTGTGTAAATCAAACACACAGCTCGCCTACGTTGTTGTAGGTGAGTTATGTGCTTGATTTACACAGTACAACTCAAGTTGTAAGCAGGTTGCATGCGACAGTTTTAGGCAAAAGTTATGTGGTGTAATTCGGCCTTTATGTATACAGTAAAGGAAGAATTTGCTAGTTTGTTACCACTTTCCAGACAGTTTTAAAATGTGCTCTTGAAATTGTCAAAAATACTTATGTCTCGCCGTTACTCAAAAGATTATATCCTCTAAAAGTATGCTAATAACCCAGATATTGCCGATAATTTGGGATTTAGTGCACCTTGCGACATTTAATGCATGCAATTTATATGAAATACAATAGCTCTTAAAGTATATAAGTACATAAGTATATATGGATAGGCATTTTGCATTGTTTGAGACGCTTGGCTGTCTGCCTTGTTGTCTCCTCACATAAATTGAAAACCACAATTCAGATTCGGTTCGTTAAATAGTGCAGTATTTGATGAAAACTGCTATGGTTTGGTAATTAGGATTTCGCTTCTTATATATAAAGGCTAATTATATAAATTAGCTGTTCGTTTTATTGTAAAATTTTTGTGGTTTTTAAAGACAGAATTGTACTGTATTTCCGTATATACACATTGATTTTTATTAAGAGCTTAGCCTGATGACCTTTACTGTGCATGCAGGCAACTGCGACATGTCATGTAATGACTTCAGATCTAATTTACGACACTCGACAAAAATGTTAATGATTTTTCGATTGTTCGGTATATTAATGATGTGGCATATCTAACAATTACTTAACATCTGTCTTTAAAATGTTTTCTTTTCAGCTCTTACAGTGCGCTTCATGACGAAACGTTTCATTGGGGAGTACGACAGCAGCAATGGTATGTTCTTACATGAAGTAATGTGAGCGAGCAAATTACTGCAACTTGTAGTGTAAAAACTGATTTCAACGCATTGTAAGTAGAAATGTTTACCCATGTTGACTAATGTTTCGTAACTTACACGTGAACATTTTTAATTAACATGCATTGAAATCTGCTTTTGTTGCAAGTGCCGCAATTTTGTTCCTCGTATTACTTTGCCTGTACTTTCTATTTTCTCGGCATGACAAAAACCCTGGACTGGATTCTGATTCAAACTGGAATCAGTTACCCTGGCACTTAATGAAACAGACTTCACCGTTTTGGTCGAGCAGAAGTTGAAATATTTCCTGTAAATATGAATATATTGGACTTGATGTATGAAACGTACGTCCGGTGACCTTCAGGTCTATGACTGAACTTCTCTGAATAGGAACTCAGCAAGACTTGTACCTCAGTGGAGTTGTGGTTCTCTCCTGGTGGGGCACGGATTTCCTCCTTCCCCCTTTCACATGTTATCGTGCGTTAACTAATACGTCAATAGGTTTTCTTTTTCGTATTTATAAAGATCAGGTTTTTCGCTGACAAATGACACCTTTGTGGAATGATTGCGATAAAAAATGACCAAATGCGATCTGATTTGAAGTGATCGGTTGAATTCGCATTTTTCCACCTTTGGGATGTAAATGTCCTTCCAATTTTCGAACGTATTGTGAGTCCAAGTCTGCAAGCTTCCAGTGTTGTAAAATTTTTTTTTAACCACTCAATTTCGATGTATAATTGCGAGTAAAAGTTTATCAAAAGTTGATGCTTGCTCATGCGTTGCGCCATATTTACTCAAGGGACTTCAATTTGAATCCCAAATGAGAATAATTTCAATACACAGACAATAGCTTACTGGTAATGCTTTGTATTTTCCGGGTATGGCTAGCTTTCGTGTTTAATTCACAGCTCTGCGGAGGAGAGTGGCCTTCCGCGTCCCATAAGGCCATTTAATACCTGAACTTTTACTCTTGGTTCGATTCCAGAATTCATTTCCATAGTCCAGTTTCATTCCAGATTTCGTAGTATGCTTTGTATCACTTGCGTGTACTCGTCATATTACCATGGCAACAAATTGCGCAAGAATTTAGCTTATTCAATGTATGTTATATAAATAGTGAAAACCGCGGCTAAATTTGTCAATGCCCAACAATTGATCGTCATTAATTAGTGCGTCTGTCAGTTCGACAGCTTGCTTCCGCTGCAGAAAATAGAAAATGTTCCATATTTTCGAAGAGATTTATGCAATTTGTTAAGAACATATGTTGAAGAGATCAACAGTCATGAACAGTTGGATTTTTTAATTATGATTCAAGTTGCCCGTCGTTCGAAATTACAGCTGAACTTTGCATAGAATTGACCTAGGTGGCAATGTCAATCTAGTACTATCTTTTTTTGTATAAAATATTTTCTATTTTTGGCTGTCATAGTCTGGCTCATTGCACTGGGAATTTCGTAAGCCTCCTTTTCCCGATAGACACATTAGAGGGAGGGAATAAATTACTTCCTCTCTAAAAAAGGGAGCTTATTAATTAGAGAAGAGAATTAAGTTGGCAAGTATAATTTGTATATTTTCAAATCGTGCTATTAAATATTGCATGTATAGTAATCTGATATGTATAACATGGTAGGAGGACAGATCAATTTTGTATTGTCATTGAACAATGTTATAGTATTGTCATCAAGACATTCTAAAAAAATTGTACCTAACACAAAGCATGTGAACCGATGAACCGAAAATTTGCTAAACTGTTTAAACCATTATAATCGTCTTTTCTGTAAAATTTGCTATAATTGATGAAATAAGAACTTTTGACAATCACACAGATTGACATTACCAATTTGTCAGCATTTGCTGGAGCGTCAGTTTGGCTGCATGACAGACAACCTTGTATTTAATTGATATCCTATTTAAATTCGCACGATAGCACTGGAAAAAATCCGCAATATGAAATTTGCAATTGTATCACTAAATCCATAGGATACGATTTCCATAATATATACAGCTAATTCAATTAAGATTGTCCTTCCAAAAACGTAAACCTTAAACTCTGAACGCGCAAAGGATGGTGGGGTATTGCTTATTTAGGCTCGTACACTTTGAAATTTGGCTTTGCAAATATACCTAAGACATATATAAGACTCACAACAGAAAACATACTTGCTGCAAAGGCAATTTTCTGAGTTTTAAGGGCTAATAGGTGAAAACCCATCATCCCTTGCGCGCTCAGAGTTTAAGGTTTTCGAAGGGCAATCATTTTGATCTAGACAAAAATTTCATCACAGCTTGAAAGAGCATCACAAAATTAGTAATATTCCAAAGTTTCGTTGCGAAATGTTGTAAAATGCGGATAATATAGCCCTGCGAAATGTGCAATTTTCAGTCATTTTGTATTACAAACGGGAAATTGATGCCCCTACACCCGATTGGGCTGTCAATTTCCCATGCGTAATACAAAATGACTGAAAAACGGCAAACTTCGCAAGGCTATATTATCCGCATTTTACAACATTTCGCAACGAAACTTTGGAATATTACTAATTTTGTGATGCTCTTTCAAGCTGTGATGAAAGTTTTGTCTAGATCAAAATTTAGTCTATAATGCAAATGGTCCATTGAATCAGCTGTATGTAGTATGGAAATTGCAATGAGTATGAACATTGGATTTCCCTAGTATTTCCAACGAAGATCCATACTATTTCTATAGTAAAGGATTTAGCTGTGGCTACATAGCCTCGTTTCCGTGTTTCAGACATTGGTATTATGGTATAAGAGCCCTTTATCTTGTTACTGATTACAAAATTATGAACAGGTCTTTTATATTCACTGATGTAACTGTATGGTTTCGTAAGTGTGTGTCCTGTAACACGATAAAAGACTCTAAATCCAATATCTCAATTACGAAAACGAGGCTCTATAGCCAAGACTGAGCACTTTCTGGAAGGCCTGTATTCAGGGACGTAGCAAAGCATCTGAAGTTGGGGGATGTCGGAGCTTTTACCTGAAATTTAAACTTCAATGTTAAGCCGGAATTTACTTGAAGTGTAAAAATTATAATAGACCATTTTCTGATTGATTTCCACTGTCATACTAAGCTTACGAAGAAGGGGTCCGCAGGACTGCATCTCTGGCGTTTTCTAAATTGACTGTATGTTACAAAAATGGTTATCATTTCACAAAAATAACGACTTTATCACGCAAATTTTACCTGAAAATGTCAAAATTTTAACTTGAATTTTACCTGATTTTTACCTCACACACACCCATCGTCGCTACGTCGTCCCTGGGTGTATACTCACACAGATCATACGTGCGCGATTAAATATACAAGTAAGGTATCCATTAAAATCTACTCATCAGCACTGGAGAGTCGGTTCTTGTTGGTTTTTAACCCACACAGAACTTATTGAACTGTTAACATGGCGAGCTTTCATCAGTGTTTAATACCGTCAATAGCTGTGAAAATAATCCAAAACGTTTCAAAGTTTCTAGAACGCATGGATTTAGTTTGCGCAACAGATGATATTCATGAGTATTTGTTATCATATTTTCACACTATAACGATTTTTTTCGGGGATTTGGGATGTTTCAGAATCTCTTAGTAGATTTTCCCGTGAGAATTTAATGGTGGTTATTTTAAAGACTTTGAACTAAGTGGCTTTGGGATTTTGAAATTTTTAGCATTTTTTTGAAATTTTGCAACAAATGTTTCACAAAATATACATGAATATATATCGATGGAAATATTATACATCTGAACCATGTTAACCCGTGGTTTTGAGAATATGTATTTGGAATGAAAACAGTTCAATCAAAGACTCGTGCAGCATTCGATTTTCACCTCTGCATGTTCTGTATCGACCACCACACCAGGGACGAAACCAGGAGGGGGTGATACCCCTCCGGTCTTTGTATTCGTCGGTTTCACTACGGCATTGTGCAGTGAATCTGACGGGGGGTCAACCTAAAATGTATTGATGCTTATGCTGTACTGGAGTGAGCAAATGATACGAAATTGCATGTATTTGCCACCGAACACAAGGCCAACACATACAGTGAACAATTAATTCACTCTGATGACTGTGTCTCGATTTAGAGTTGACCCCCCCCCCGTCAAATTTATGACGTCATATGAAACCCAAGAATAGATCGACCTCATATTTTATCAATCAATGCGATTCCATTGGGCAAATGTTGGGAATAACTGGACGATTTAATCAATGTGATAGATTAAAATAATATACATTACAATCAACAAATGTTGTTTTTTTAAGGTTTTTGATCGGGAACTTCTATAATTGGAACACTTCCCCCTTCCCCGGCGACAGGCATTTGAGAACGAGCCCTTCTTGTCGGGCACAAGAAACTGACACCCATCCAGTTGTAATACCGAAGTTTCGGCCCTGATCACCCCACAACGCAATTTTCTTCTTTCTCGCCACCAGTGGGAGTATTACTAGAACAGCTTGCCGTACTAATGGTGGCAAAACCGTACTGCATTTATATTTAGAAATGCATATGGAAATACTTGATTGTATATTTAGTTCTCATACTGCAACATTTACCGTCAGTTTTAATTGGTTTCAGTAATCATTACGATAGGCGGTCAATTTCATGATTGTTAGTGATACTTATGTACGACCAAGCGAACTAAACTAAATCTCTCTTCCATTTTTCTGCCTCCAAATACAACACCACTATACATCAATGAAAGAATTAACATTATTTTCTTATTCTAAAACTATGAAGTGTCGTTCGGCAACCGTATATCACAGAAAATCGCCCCAGCGGGATGAGATTTTCTCAGATATATAGATAAAGGCAAAACAAACTCATTCCGCTTAATTACCCGCCACAGATGTTACCGGCCTGTCTAATTCTTACCCAAATTTGTCTTCTGTGAAATGTATTGTCTATCGCATATCCCCCTGAATATTATAAATTCAAAGCACATTACGAATGTGGAATTGAATAAGACTGGAGGACAATTAAACTTCCCTGCAATGTTGGTATTTGCATTATCTTGCTGTGCCAACCGAATTCGAATGACTTAAATGGGTAATTACCTACGAAATCTGACTGTGTGTGTAATTATTAGGCCCCACGTGTAGTCAAGATTAGCGTTGCGCAATGTTTCTTGTTCAGACCATTTTAGGACTAGTCGTGCACTGTCTGGTAGTTTTGCGGTCAGAGACTGCACCATTCTGTGTTAACAGAGTTATGTTTATAGCCTGGTTTCCATTCTATCGTAACTGTCGTGAGCAAGACATGGACACCGATGACGATGTGAAATAGTCTAGATCTCTCCTTTATGTGCTGTTTGCAAATCAATCTTTACTGACTCCCAGTGACTCGGCAGTGATATATCGACACTCGTTTACATCGCTTACCTTGATATGTTCACGACAGTTGTACGACCAAATGGAAAACAAGCTAGAGCTTACATATTTAGAACTGGACATTGCTTTGTGATAAGCATTTCATTACACACGTTGTGACGTCATGTAAAAGTATACACACGAAAAGTGTCATCCACATATTTGACACCAGAACTTCAAAATTTATCCTCTTATACTAATATTATAGTATCATAGAAGGAATTAAAGACAAAAAACTCTTTCAAAAATGCAGATACTAATACATATTGATGTATAAACACTTGCCATTCGCACTCTGTTATTGCTTCGATAATACAAATATATAAGTTAAAGTACCCGAAAACCTTACTTATATGTATTAACAGCTTACAAGTTTTCTGCATGGTTATGGAATCTCGACCATATATACATACTGTGTATTCTAACAAAACAAACAATTAATAAGATTACTAAAATTTATTTTCGTCATCATCCTTGCTATTAAAAGGGCAGTTTTTTGTAATCCTTTTTAATCCACCGATATCATTCATTCGGCTCATAGCTGACATAAATTTATGTTTTGTTTCAGATGAGACGTGGAAACACATTGCTTTAATAGATGAAGAACACGTTCCGCTTGAAATAAACGATACAACTGGCGAGGTGAGACGGTCTTTTCTCAGTTTTCTTTTCTTTTCTTCATCCGTAAGAGTTGTCAGTCATATACTTATAAACTTATAAAGTGTAACCAAAATAAATTTATATATATATATTCTTGGGTTTCACTACGGCATTATGCAGTGAATCTGACGGGTGGTCAACCTCAAATGTATTGATGCTTATACTGTACTGGCCGTGAGAAAATGATACAAAATTCCATGTATTTGCCACCAAACACAAGGCTAATACATAAAACGAACAATCGACTCACTCTTCTCTGATAACTGTGTTTAATTGTTTTAGAGGACCCCCGTCACTTCTGTGACGTCATATGAAACCCAGGAATATATTGTACGCGAACCGTGGTATTTTTTTCAAGACAAACAAAACAAGTCATTTCAATAATTATTTTGACCCTCTAGTGTTCGGAAGAGAAGCTGGATCTGTATGTAGGATGTGGCGATGTCTTTATTATAATGTATTCAATCACGGACGAAGAATCACTAGAACATGCCAGGTATCTTGGCGAATCGGTACAACGTAAAAAACCTGACGCTTCTGGGAATATCGTTCTAGTTGGAACGAAAGCAGACTTAGAACATTTACGTCGCGTCGACTTCAACTCGGCGCAGGAGACTGCGAACGATCTCCAGTGCCTTTTCCAAGAAATTTCCATCAGTGATGGTTACGAACAAGTCGAAAAATTATTCCAGGAATTATTACGAAGGTATTCCAAGAAAAGTAGCACACAGAAACCCGTTAAATCGATTCTCAAAAAGAAACAAAAAAGTAAAGATAATCTTAGTAAAGCGTCGTTAGGACGGAAGAAAAGTATGCATAATTCGGTGCCCATTGTAGAATAGTTGTTGAAATTATTTGTATGTAGAGTTTGTACATATTACTATAGTTTGAAAGTATTGAAGATGTGTTTTCACTATCACATGTGACATGCATGCTCTATTTCAAGCAGTCATAGACCGCTCATAATTCTTGTCGAGGTTCTAGAAACCTACACCTGCCCGCCGCGAGAAAAATAAAGGACACAATTTCAGCGTCGTGGAATCAGGCCGTTATACCACTGTCGGTGCATGAATAATAATAATAATGGGTAATTCCAGCTTTTGACTAAATTTTGATCTAGGCAAGAAGAACAAAATCCATCGCCACAGCTAGAAAGAAACTGAAAGAGCTTGTTAAAATTAGTAAAATTGCAAAGTTTGGTTGCGAAATTGTTGTAAAATGAAGAAAATATAGCCCTACGAAATTTGCAAATTTTGTATTAATTTGTATTACACAAGGGAAAATGCACCACTTTCGGCCCAAATGTGGTGCATTTTTCCGCCCATAATACAAATTAATACAAAATGTGCAAATTTCGCAAGGCTATATTTTCCGCATGCATTTTACAATATTTCGCGGCCAAACTTTGCAATTTTACTAATTTAACATGCTCTTTCTAGCTGTGGTGATGGAGTTTGTTCTTCTTGCCTAGATCAAAATTTAGTCTATAACTGGAATTATCCATTCATGATTGCGTGAAAATTCTTTTCAGCTACCTTGAGGTCGGGTAAATAAAAACCTTTGCTTCAGTACCAACGCTGGGTAAAAATAATATACGGTCTCCCTTGCTTGTTTAATTAAGTTGTTTCCATTTTCCCACAGGTCTTTGCGTTCTAATGTTCTGCTATAGCATTCCCATGGATCTTTGCGCGAATTTTTTAGTCTTTTGGGAAGAGCTTTATCCTATTAGTTTCCACACGCTTTGCAACAGCAAGGTCAAACCGCCATGTTGATTGAAGTGTTCCGTACCAATGTGACGGCAGCAAGTTTCTTTTGTCTCTGAAAATCAAAAGATATTATAGTTGATAATGTCAACGGCATAAGAGAAATGACGAGAATAGACCATTAAGTCCATGGTTGTACGTAATTGGATATTGTTGGCGGTCTGTAGGTTACTTTAAATAACAGATAAACCAAGAACGGTCGATCTGTATATGGGAATCATAAGTATGAGCTGAAGGTGGGTGGTTGTAAATCCTCTACAGATAGGATGCGAATGATTTATCGTACTGAATATCAAACGCATGCTTACGAATTGTTCATGTTTAATTGCTTATCGACTATTTTAAAGATATCAAGCTGTTTTGGCGGAGAAAATTGAACGAATTGAAAAGGTTATCTTAACACGAAATCTGTATTACAAGATTTACAGACATTGTTGAACATCCATTTTTTCACGAATGATTAATGAGTTTGATAATGTTCTTAATGGTTCTATTAAATGATCACCGAAACATATACTCGGATGATTACTGTATGACATGAAGCAACCCTCGTGGGATTTAACTTCCTGAAAAATACCATTTCTTTCTTCGGGGAAGGAAAGTCTGGGAACGAGGTTGGAAAAATACAAGTGAAATTTCGACGTTTCGAGCGAAGGCCCTTCGTCGAAACCTCAAAATTCTACTTATATTTTTGAGGTAGTCGAATCCCTACCCATCTAAACTTTTCTAGTGTTTTGTCACTACCTACACTGGCCTTACTGTAAGCATTCACAAGTTAACACCTTGTCCACCATACTTACCCGTTTGGTTGGTTAGGTGTTAGCTCAGCTGACCGAGGGGGGGGGGGGGGACGGACTCCTGTTACTTGGACTCAGATTAAGATCCGTGACAATGGCATCTTGAGCTGCCACCCCCCACCGAACTAACACCTTCACACCAATTAAAAATTGGTGGAAATAAATTGTTGAACTAAGCATACAAAAGAAAAAAAATATATATATATATTCAAAGCGCACGTTGTCGTCGTTTGGACGTCAGACTTGGAATGATAGATGTCCCCTACTCCCATTGCGCCATCTCCCCGGTCATGTGACGTGCTGACGTCAGAATACCTGGTTCCCAAGTTGCTAACCTTGGTTATTGCATAACCTCATTTAACTCTCGCTTACTACCAAAAGAAAGAATAAGTAATTGAATATATAAACGCGAGCACGCGAATTGATTTTAGATTAGATTCGCTATAGGGCGCTTATATGAGCACCCTGGATTAGATTAGACTGGGTTAATTAAACGTTATTGTAAAGACTCATTCGAACCATTCCAAAATTGTCCAACATTGCGATGTTCGACTATGACATATAGTCTATGTTGATTGAAAATTTTGAGTAAAATTAAACCTGATATAAGTATCAGTCAATGTTACCAAACATTATGTAGTGGTTCGAACATACAATAACACACATTGGACTGGTTTCAACTTTCAACAGAGTTTAAGAGTAAACACAAAGCTATTGATAACCCAGTGGCCCCACACATCTGTGATCTGATAATCTGATAAAACTGTAATTAGAAATCACTTCTACACTACCATGAAAAAAAAAATGGAAATTTTTTTTCTTCCACTATATACGCACTAATTAAAGTGCTCTTTCAAACTAAACAAACATTTTTATTTTGCAATATCTCTTAATATTGTCCAAATGTTTGCGTTTCATATTAAATGTAATCATGTACAAATATTTTAATCCAAAAATGCTCGGTAATGTAAACATCAATCTTAGATTTAGTGTTTCGGCGCTACGCGCTACAAAGCGGTACAATGAAGAAACAATTAATACTATTACTATCTTCTCAAGTGTTGATTAACATGATGAAGATAATTAAATTACCAGAGTATTTTGTTATGTCGGCCAAATTTCCTGCAGTTGAAGTGAGAAGAGGGAAACGAAGCAGATCTCGAGGAAGGAAGCAATACAGAAATCATGATAAGAACGAAAAAGCGTACATCCTCCACAACCAAACACATAAATGTTGTCGTTCTTGGCCAAGTTGGCGTTGGAAAGTCAGGTTAGACTCTTCTTACATGTTTATTTTGAAACAATATAGCATCTGTTTTATTGCAGTCAAACGCTGGTTTACACATCGCAATATTTTCCTAACTGCCCTCCGGGTCAAACGGTATGCTTTGGTATTCACCAAAGATACTGTTACCTCTTTCAAAGACATTTTTTAGGAATTATTGTTCGAGTTTCATTACGTATAGGATCCCTGGGATGGCGCGGGTTCGATAAAAGGGAAACTTTGTCCAGATCACAGCCAGAGGGTGCGCTGGAATACCAACAATAAGTTAACCGATTATATTCGTACAATAGTGTACCAATCTACTTTATGTTCCCAAAATTCTAATGCCATATTTTTGCTACATATTTGTAGTATTTCGAACTGAACAAGATATATAATGTATGCCATGCAGGAAAAAACCGCCCCAGAACCCCAGGCATATTGGCCATTTTCCAGTGGCCGATATGACACAGTGAAATGCTTTCGTTTCAACTCGTTTTACAATTTACACAGCGACAAATAGTCTGTTTAATATAGGGATATAAATCTTTAGACATTTCTAACAGTTCACATGACTTCATGAGCTTAGCATTCTTTTTCCTAATTAACACTTTGCGTACGAGAACTCTTCTACTGACAGATAAAATGTCTGGCATTATAATATATAGACAGAATTAAATCCTAAAGATTTCGATAGATTTTCCAAAGTCTGATACGGTCAAGTAGTATACACATTAAGGACATTGTTTATCACGAAACTACCAGAACACAATGGAAACATATTTTATTTTTAAGTTCGCGAATTTAAACATGCGAATATCGTTATCTCATTTAATTAACGATAAAAACATGCTGGCTATTTTGTGAATTATTTCTACGACTTGTATTATTTTATGAAATGCCATCCTCAGATAAAAGTATAAAAATTAAAATGGTTTTCTTTAGTTTATCCATTTTCTGTCTGTTTCATGAGAGAAATGGGAATTCTTTCGTTGAGCAAAAATTCCCATCGTCAGTCTGTCAACCCTGTCAGCAAACTGTGAAACATCTGATTGATGTTAAACGAAACTATAGATTAACACAATTGACTTTCATTTTGGGGCATCCGAGTTCGCGAAGATTTTCCTGTATAATAAATTTTTGACGATTGAAATCGTCCGAAGTTTAGCCAGAGACAAGAGGGTCTTGAAGCTTGCCAGGCAGGAATTGAACTTTTTTCACTGGGAAAATGAGGTCTCGCGGACATAATCCTGCGAGCATGCCGATTATACGTGAATGCAGAGATATATATGTTCGCACTTGTACCTAATATCTGGCGTAGGAAGATGTTAAAAGATGACATTCCAACCGGCAACAGGCTTTCTCATTCTATGGGAAAATATTAGGATTTTGGGGGTCTCACTCGATAGAACTGAAGGGTTTTGTAGCTGGAACACACTTTTGGGCACACTGCCAGGTGATCTGACGGTGAGCAAAAGGACTGGGACTAGCAACAGTATAGAAATCCAGTTTCGTACCTTTAATCACTTGTCATGCCCTGATTCTTTTGTCAAACTGTTTGAAACTTTGTGTCTGTGTCTTGCACAGGGAAATGAATATCTGGGACAAATTTGAGATAAAAATCTAGTACCGTTAATAAGATATTGAGTAATTTTAAACCGAAAAAGGATTTCTATTTTACAACTAGTACCAGGCCTTTTTCGAGTTCCGAGATCACCAGGTGGCAAAAACAGAACCTGCGATTATGGTGTATAGTTGCATTTTTTACAACTGCTCCTGCTAAGTCGTCATTCTCTCCCCAAATTACCGAACGAAAGACTGTACGAAAGCTGGATAGTGCATGCTATCCACCGAATAGTGATTTTCAAGGTTTCTTATGTAAACAGATTACATTTTAGTATTTAAAAGTTAAAGTTTCCTTTTATTAATTGTATAGGATCTACATTCGTAGTTCTATCACTTTTCAAAAATTTTTACAGCGGTTGAAAAAAATCACTATCCGATGGGTACCAAGGGCAAGGCGGTACGACCCCTGTGAAGTGTGAAGTCTGTAGGGCTCATGTGGGCCAGGTTAGCCAGGATAGATCGTGTCACGAAATTTTTCCTGACCATAAAAGATCGTTTGAATGAACTTAATATACTGTTACTGAAATCAAATTAAGCCAATTCGACTTTGAAATTAATTGGATGTTTATCAAAGCTGCGATAACAGCTTTAGTAAACGAATATCCCGGTTACCAGGGCCAGCCCTGCACAATATTTGAGGCGTCTTCGTGTATCCGAGTGGAGAGACAAATGCATGGACCACCTCTCGAAATATAGATATTTTGCTGAGACCTGCAAACTTGTTCATCCCTGATCGATATAAGCTGGAATGCGAGTTATGCAAACTTGTGAATTAGGAATAACGACTCCGTCTGTTTTTCCCTTTATAAGTGTTGGTATTTTAAGGGTTGCTAAAATCAGATTACTAATTGTCGCTATAAGCTAGCCTGGGAAAATATTAGAGTGAGAAAGTATATAAAGTATATTACGTGTTACTGAGGTAAAAAAAAACTGTCTAGGAATAAATTGTGTGCAGATTAAAAAACTAAAAGCATTAATTCAGCACTTGTCACCTCCTTGAACAGAGACATTTTGGTGAATTTGTTGAGGTAATTCGGTGCTTATTTTATATGTAATCTTGTAATAAAAACTCAAAATTCCACAAATTTTGCCTATAACTTTGTCTTTAGGAAATTTTAAGGAAATCCTGTATATTTAGCTTTCTTAGTGTGTATATAATCGGATTATAACCATTTAGCATGCGCGTTTGTCGAATTTTTGACTAAGTAAATTTAACACGCGGTGTCACAGAATAGAGATTTAATATTGATAAGGCAGGTCTGAGTGACGCAATATGTATTCTGAGGCATATGTACCTCTATATTCTGTGACGGTGCTTTAGCGTTCAATAGATTGACAATAGATATGACTCTCCTATTCTGGTAATTGTATAAAATCCGATTTGTACATATAATGCGAAAGTTTTTTTCAGTAATGCAGCTGAAAAACATTCAAAGTATAGACATCAAAAGTATTAAAAATCTAGCTTGACGTTTCACAGAACAATCTAAAATTAACATTACATGCGTCACCGAATCACGTAGCAGTGTAAAAAAGCATTGCCACTTGTGTAACTAAAAGCAGGATTATGCTTTATTTTGCCGGATTTTGATTTGTCCTCGTTCGGGTGAACCAATATTTCAACAACTACACTGTACGACACCACACACCTCCAATGTAGTTATTCCTAAAGCGTCGCGACTTCAAACGAAGATGAGAGTTAGTGATGGTTGCAACTTTCGCTCGTATTTTACCGCCAACTCTCATCATTAACTCTGATTCGCTCTCATCAACTCAGCCCCCAACTCACATCAACTTTGAACTGATTCAAATTTTGATTAGAGTTTGTTACGTATGGCAATACCTAACTCTCATCAATAGACAATTCCCATTATAGACTAATTTTAAAAATAGGCAATGAGATACAAATAAATCACTACAGCTAGAAAGAGCATACTAAAATGAGTAAAATTGCAAAGTTTGGTTGCGAAATGTTGTAAAATGCAGAAAATATAGCCTTGCAAATTTTGTATACTTTTATATTGCGTGCGGAAATTGCTACCATTTTCGGCCCAAACGGTAGCAATACAAGTTAACAAAATTTGCGAACTTTGCAAGGCTATATTTTCCGCATTTTACGGCATTTCGTGACCACACTTTGCAATTTTTCTCATTTTAGTATGCTATTTCCGGGAATATACTTTTTTTGCCAAGATAAAAAATTAGTTTATAATGGGAATTGTCTATTCTCATGCAACTCTTGTTCTCATTTGACCAGGGCTAAAACTTAATCTTCTTTTCTTTCGTGCCCTGCCCTTTGTTAGAGAGGTTTAGCCGATTTGACTTCCACTACTACTACCTGTCATTGGCTTGGAACACATCTGATTGGTTAATCGGATATATTAAACGCACTCTGATTGGTTAATAGTCCAATAATGGTAGGGTAGAGGTAGTGGAAGCCAAATCTGAACCTCTTTATTCCTGAGTCTGTCGACCGAATCCTCTTCTTTCATTGATGTCTTTCCTTTGCAATATGTTTTCTCGAACTTCGTTCCTCCAAGTCTGTACTTTTTGTTGTCCTTTCAATTATTTTCTAACTTTACCAATTACCACTCTAAACATGTCCCTTTATATTTCAGCTTTCACTGTTCGTTTGAAGACAAAGCGTTTCATTTGGGAATACAGTAAAATAGGTAAGAAAAACATTGTCTTCTTTTTGAAACATTGTAAAGACTCCGTTTAAGATAAGGAATATAGACATAAATATGGTTTACATTATTTTGTTGTTTAGAAGACAGTTATAACCACTGCTTAGAATATGAAGGAGAAAATATATCATTGACGATCACAGATACATCTGGACTTGTAAGATTATTTTCATATTCATTTCTAATTCTTAAGGAAATTAGCCAATAATATTGCTTTGTTTTGGTCACATGGTGATATTCGATACCTAGTGAAGTAGATTTTATCCAGTCCTAGAACTAGATAAAAATTAATTCAGCCTTACGACTGAATCAAATTTGATTCCTACATTTGGTCGTATCGATATATCTCCAATTCAGCAAAGACTGAAAAATGTCAAATTCGGACTGGACCAGATTTCAAGCCGTCGACATACGCTCCAATGTCACAAGACCCTTCACGAATGATAAAAAGACAAAAAAAACATCTAATTACTTATCAACTTTTTATAACAAACGCTTATGAATTTTGGGGAGAAACTTACATCGTATAAAGTTAAATACGAACTTTTTATCTTTAGAAATCTGAGAAAGAACTGGAAGATTATCTTGGAATTGGAGACTTGTACATCATCATGTACTCCATCACGGACAGATCATCTTTCCTAGAGTCCAGACGTCTTGGAAACTTTCTACGCGAGAATAATTCTGGGAATTTTGAGATGGCACTGGTTGGAAACAAAACCGACCTTGAACATGCAAGAAAAATCCTGGAAAGTGAAGGAACTTCGCTATCGGAGGAGTTAGAATGCAAATTCTATGAAATATCCGTAGCAAAAAATTTCTTTGATGTGGAATATATGATGAACGATGCGGTAAAAAGGTTGACAAATCAAAAATCAAGTAAAACTTCTTTATTGAAGGTGAAGGGGAATTTATCACGAAACAAATCTTTTAGATCGTTTAAGAGAAGGATGTCAATATCATAAATTGATACTGGCAAGATTACAGGAAGTTCTGGACGTTGATTGCTGGCAACTGCGCATGCCAAAATCATCTAGGAACGTGATTTCGTTCGACCAATAAAAAGACGCCCTGGATTGATAATTAGTTGCAAAGTTGCAATAGTAATAGTTTTGCGGCAAACTTGGAAGCGGGTTTTGCAATAAGTGGAAAAGAGCCCTGAGCGCAAACTCGGAGCCTTACTACTTGGTTGGCAGCACTCGAATGTGGCGAACCTACGATGTAGTCGCAAAGTATTCTGAACTATCTAGTTAGGGAGCAACTGCAAACGGACCAAATTGCGCCGAAATGTTGACTGACGTGTAAAAAGCCTACGAGGAAAGTTATGTCTGAATTATTATTATACTAAAAAACAAAAAAAAAACACATTAACTTTTTTTATTTCATTTCTGTCTTCGTACAGCTTCATATATGTAAATATCAACAGTCTTATCATAGTATACTTCTGTCACTTCAAACTTTTTACTTAAGAGCCCAAGAAAGTTGCTATCTCGTTTATATCTTATCTTGCAAGATAGCAGCACCACTGTTTTATCATCACTTAACTCAGTGATCGTCTGAAGTAAGTGTGGAAATGTCTCTTCAATGTAAACAATATCTGCACCAAGGATGTAATCAAATGGCGGATTAAAAGTTGAGACATCTTGCCCCCATTCTAGCTCACAAACATCAACTAGTGATGTATTCAGATTCTCTCTGTTTCTTTGTACATTATCACGGGCTAAGTCAAGCGCCATTTTTCTGTCTGTAATGATGATATGTGCTCCGAGGTAACCAGCAACAATTCCAACTAAACCAGTGCCTATAATAAATAACATAATTGAATAGAGTAACAAACATGTTGAAATAATTGTGACTTAATTATTCTTGCATCACAAGGATTAGGCTTCAGATTAGAGTTTACATTAAAAGTTAGGATAAGAGAGGATTGAATAGACTTAGGATTAGAATGATTAGGGTTACGATATATTTTAAGAGTAGAATCAAATAAGGGTTAGAGTTTAACTTCAATTGGGGTCAGGGCTGTAGCTAGACCGATAATTGGTGGTACATATTCATATATTCGTGTTCTGCCCGACGGATTTCTATGTGAACATGAATATATGAATATACCCCCCCCCCCCAATTATCGCGTCTAGCTACGCCTACGGCCCTCATTGGGGTTAGGACTTGGAATAAGACTGAAATTCAGATTAAGGTTAGAGTGCGGAAAAGAGTTACGGTTGAAGTTAGGATATTTATACTGGCATTGACCTGATCAAAGACAAACCTGCTCCAAGTTCAATAACTTTTTTCCGAGCTAAATCCACGGTGTCTGTTCTTTCCAAATATTTTGCTAAAACAAGGGCAGCGTCCCACACTACGGCCGCCACACCATTCTTCTCCCAATCCTGACTAATATTCACTCTATGTCCTGCAAACGTGAATTCCCTCGCATCTGTTTCGAAAATTGTAAATATTTTGGGAGGCTCGTAAATTGCTAAAGCCATATCGTTTTTAGACGATGTTTTTTCTTCACAGTTCGTCGTTTCGAAAACAAGAATGATAAAAATAAACTTTTCTAGTATTATAAGCAACATTAAATTAATTGTATTTGTACGTATATAAAATTGATTTGTAAACCGGTGTGCGCTCCTCAGATGGCGGCCATCTTTGTTTTTTGAATATTGTGTAAGTATACGTACTTCATGTAAGAAAACATAAATTATAAATATAAAAAAATAAAAGTATAAAGATTTCACAAAAAAATAAAGCTTGCTATTAAATGTGTAAAGTAAAAATAAAAATGCTTTATTAGATTCTATGTTTATTCGAAACACTGATATACAATAAAATTCGAAATCGTAAATAAACTATTTTTAGTTGTTTTTCAGAAATGTATAAACAATTATGGTCAGTGGTAGCACGCATGCTGCACTTCATTTAATGTTTTTAATGTTCATCATAAAATGAGGTGAAATCATTAGTCAATACAGAAAGATCAGTTAGTTTTGCGGTGTTGTTTTAACTTTTTGCACAAAAATAAAGCAGTTTGCAGCTAAAGGGATATTCCACTAGCAAGTAAACGTTTTAAATATTTTTTAATGGCGACTAAGTTAAAAAAACTGTTCGAATTGGTTGTGAGGCATCACACTAAAATCAGGTATTTGAATAATAATATTAAATATCACAGAATAAATACAAGTCTGACTTGTCGGCGCCTTTGATGTTAGGGTAACTGCTGCTACTCCATGATTCTTAATACTCAGGGCCTATTTATATGATCCCGCCTAGACGGGACGGGATGTTTTCATCCCGCCTAGACGGGAAACTCGCCTAGTGTTTATATGGACAAAATACATTGCCGGGATGAAGCCATTTAAGTGCTTGATGTCATATTTTTGTTGCAATAAAGGCATTTACGCATGCTCAAAAGGGAAAAATTCATCCCGCCTGGCCGGGATGAAGTGTTTATATGGGAATTTTTTGTCCCGGCTAGGCGGGATGAAGTGTTTATATGGGAATTTTTCATCTCGCTTAGGCGGGATCCCGGCATCTGTTGCCAAGATCCCGTCTAGGCGGGATAAGTGGCGGGATCATATAAACACTCTTTAGAATTTGTACTACGAGCGGGATCTCGGTAAGCGTCCCGCCTGGCCGGGATCATATAAACAGGCCCTCAGTTTTGGAATGTATGTCACTTTGGCTATAGACCTGATTGGATTTCTCCATTTTCACCTGCCAAAGATTTACGCCAGGAAAATTACAACTTTAGAAACCTGCCAAGAGCACAAAATTTCTTAAAAACACACAGTCCGCCAGCCCACCAATCTGTCGCCTTTTAATTTTTTTACGCCAGAAACTCCTTTGTGCCACACCAAGTGGCTATGCTTTCCGGCAAAGATCTTGAGCTGATGGGTATCGGAATCCAATCAGGGCTATAGCTTCGTTTTCACGATTGAGACATTGGGCTTTAACTAATGTCACATATATACATGAAAACAAGGCTCTATAGCCAAAATGACATACTTTCTGTGGGAGGGTGTATTGCAAACCACTCACCATGTTCCTTGCAAGTGTGCTAAGGAGAGGCCTTCACCCCCCCCCCCAAAAAAAAATAGTAATAATGACTGGCTTAATTGGTTTGAAAACCAAATTTGCTACCAGTACTAAGTATTAAAACTTTTATATTCAAGCCTACTAGGTTATATTGTTGGTGTGAGTTGGTTTGTTGCACTTGTTCATCCTTTGGTAAATAACAAGACATATTTATCAGAGAATGCTCTCCTGCCTGGAATGGTTGATACTCGGTATGAATATGGCCGTGCAGCGAAATTGTTGAAAGCTGAAGTTGAAAATCCAAGTGAAACTTACAGGTACTGTAATCTGATGTTTGGGCAGAAGGGTGTGACCCGGCCATAGTGGAGTGTGACCATGTGACATCCCCACCCCCACCTTTTAGAGAACTTGTCTGTGTTAGGGGGAGAGACTTTTCTGCCTCTTTCTATGAATTATTTCATTGTCTATGCCATCCATGAGTCAGGATATTATTCATTGGCCTATTTTTAGGGGGAAGGGCTTGAAAGCTATTCTGCCCCCTCATTATTAAATATTGTGGCCTGTGCCCCCTCTCGTGGCCCCTTGCATCCTATGCCCCATAGTTTGTTAATGAAATTGTGATTGCAAATAAGTTGATAAATCTTTATTAACTGTTTTCATTTGAAATATTGAAGTGCACCCCTCCTCTGGTAAGATCATCTTCAGTAATGACATCATGCAGCTAAGAGATTAAACTAAGCCAAGTTTCATGTAATTGAAATTTTGACCCATCTTAATTGCAAAACTGGTACAAACCCTCATATAATAGTTAATATATTTTAGAGGCAATTTTCCATTGTGGTTAATGGAAAAGATGATGGCAATTGGTTTGGAATCATACCAACAAAATTTCACTGTGCAGTTTCCTAAAGAATTGCCTATTCTGAATGAGCAGATTAGTGGTACTAATGTTTATGGTATATTACGCGCACCTCGTACAGCAAGGATGGAGGCATTGGTGTTTTTGGTACCATTAAAACCAGAAAAAACTGGACCATTTTATGAAGTGGTTTTATTGTTATCTTTAGCAGAACTTTTCAGGTGTAAGTGATGTTTAAGATCTGTGTAGGGGAAAGAGCCTGGGGACAAGCCTGGTGGGCACAGTGGTCAGTATATGTTCGTTTTACAAAATGCAGTTTCCTAATCATCACTGCATCCCTGATTATAAATTCACTTCAGGTTTTAGAAGTCAGTCCTTCTAGTTTTACTCAGTCCCAAAATACCTCTTGTATCAACAATGGACCAATGGAGGGGCTCTAATACTGTATGTCTAGAGAGAACTACTTAAAGGATACAACAAATATCATGAATCAGAAATATTTCAGTATGCACTAAGCTAGTTTCATTTAGTATAGACCCCCCCTGCTCCACTATCTTTGTAGGCAACCCCCCCCCAAAAAAAAAAAAAACAACTAAAAGTGACTGCTTGTGTGATACTAGTATGGTAGCAAAAGTTGCAAACTAATAACAAGTAACATTACATGTATATGTGTCTTTCAATCCAAAAATCAAGCTTCATTTCTGTCAGCCATAATCAACATTGCTGTCTATTTCTTTAAAAATGCCTATCAGCTACCTATAATCCTATATGTCTTTAGATAATACTTATTGGGCAAAAGATATAATATTTTTGGTTGTGGATCAAAATGAAATTGGAATACAGTCATGGTTGGATGAATATCATGGAATCCAGTCTAAATGTAAGTTGGGTATTGCAGGCACTTTCTGCCCCACCCCTCCCCAGTTCCAGAAGACCCAAAAAAGCCCAGTCTGGATATGGTTAACAAGCTAGATATCACCATGCAGTCTGGATATGGTTAACAAGCTAGATATCACCATGACAGCATATCATTAAACATTACTTTGAGGTTAATGAGATTAAACATGACAGCGTATCATTAAACATTACTTTATTAAAGTACAGTAAAAGCCCTTAGTAGAAGCAGCAAAGTTTAAGCCAGGCAGTTTAGAATTATACATCCAAATAATTTGCACTTTAGACGTGAAGTCATCTCGAATGCTTGGCAGGTCAGGTGCAATTCAGGCAGCCATTAATCTAGAACTAGATGATGAACATATCAGTTCCATGGAAATCTTGGTTGAAAGTTTGAACGGGCAGCTGCCTAACCTAGATATGGTAAACATGGTTGTCAGATTATGCCAATCTGAAGGCGTTCCTGTTGCGCTCAAGAAATTGGTAAGATTATTTTTAAAGTTTTTGGATAATAAAGTGCCAATGGTATTGTGCAACATTTGGGTCCTCCTTAGAAGAAAATATTTTTGAAGAAACTTCATCTTCATCAACTTTTTCCCTGACTTATAGTTGCCAGATAGGATGTGATAATTACAGGCGAAAAATAGAAAGTGGCCACTTTTATCTCCGTTGTCAACGAAAATGAATTTTAAGGGCACTTCGTTTTAGAATGCCAGGGCAGTTTAATTCCAGCGTCATTTCGGTTCTGGAAAACGTATGGGCGTCCAAATTCATAGGAAGAAAAAGTAATATATGAAAAAATAAATACAAAATAAATTTAAAAAAATGCCAATGCCCAAAACAATTGACATGAAGATTGACTTTATAAACCGAGTTTACTAGACATTCATTCTGAGGTCATAACACCACTTCTACATGACTTGCAATGCGTGGTGCAAGATTGATCAAGATAATAATGTTTTCTAGTTACAAGAATGTTTTGCAGTTTTGATTATCAAAAAATTTAAAAACCTCATCCTTTATTTTTTATGATTTAATTAACGGCTAAAATCTCTAAAATGGTTCGATTTCATGAGGGGGATTGCAAGTTGAGTTGAGGATCAGAACCTCGATATTTCTTCTAGATACCGCCCTGAATGCAAAACTAAAAGACTAACTAGTACAGTATGAGTGCATTCTTTATTTGGGGTAATGGGTATCCCCAACCTAACTTTCTGTGGCAGAATTTCACAACACTTCATCAAGATCTTCTTTCAATTTCCAAAAGTTGTAAAGTTCCTTTAATGGAAGAGTTGCCCCTGCCCTCTGCCCCTGAGCTTACTCTGGCGTCCTTGACGGTTAACGTAATTTTTTTATTAAAGCCCGTGCGTCATTTCAACGATGGATGGGATGAGTACAGAAGCTCGCTAAGCACTATGGTATCGATGATGTTTAATCAAGCTTCCGGTCGTCCGTCAGCCAATCACGGCTTGTTTCCCAAATATGGCATAGAAGCTGTTACCCTGAGAGGGAGAAAAAATGCTGGTACGGGTTCTGTCAGTTTTAGCAGACTGGGCAGGTACGGGATTTCATTGTCGCTGTCATAAGAATTGGTTGCCCTGAATAAAATTTACGAGGCTTATATCGTTTTGTAGAATACTTTGTAATAATTAATTATTTGACAATTTATATATTTTTATCTTTAGAGCATTGGAAGGAATGTTTCGTAGTCTGAACAGTCTGCTAGAGAGTTTTCATCAATCATTTTTCTTCTATCTCCTATCCTCAACGTCCCGTTATGTATCCATTGGTCTCTATATGCCCCCTCTTGGCTGTGTTATGATTGGTCCAATATTGGCCGCTATATCTTGCTGGATTTCCTCCGTTGAGGACAAAGGTCTGGTACAAATAAACACTATGTTGAACCTATACTGCGCATGTTGTATGAACGCAACTTCGTGCCCAGGTCTTCCCTCTTGGGAAGGAAAGACTCTGGTAGGGGCTGGACACGTAATCTTCCAAGATCTAGCAGATATTTGGTTAACGTGCGCTTTTGAGTTATTAGAGAGGTTAAGATACCCCGGTTTACGGGTACGGGTGACATACACGTAACCGTAAATCGGGGAACTTGTTGAAGCTTTTTACTATTTAAACGGCTCACAAATAGTAAACAGAAATCACCCGTACCCGTTTGTCTTTTACGTGTAGACCATGGTTTAAAGCGGGAAACGGGTAGAAATTACGGGTAAAAATGCTGACATCAGCAAAAATGGCGGTACTCGTACCCATAAACCGGGACCGGGGTATCTTAACACCTCTATTCATGTTTATTGGAATAAACAACACTTCTACACACATGGCAATAGTGAACTGCTACATTCCTACCCCTCCCAAATTGACTCGACAAGGCTAATTAGATTTTAGATAGATCAGTTTAATTATGCAGGTTATATTATATAGAGCGTACTCAAAAAGATAAACAAAACAAAAATAGTGACAAGTGTGAGAATGATGAGAAGGATGAGACAAGGAGTGAGAAAACCGAAAAGAAAGAAGAAACGAACCTGGAAGAAGTAAGATTTATTCCATGCATTTATTTAACTTCAGATTAAACTGAAATTAACTTTATTTGTATTAGTTCAGCCTGTAGAGGTCCAGTAAGGATAATTTTTATTGGTCTTACTAACTTCTTTTGTACTGGATAGCTTTATCAAATTCTAAACTCTTCTCCTTATAGAAGTCCGGTATAAAGGATCATCTTTTATTGGTCTTACTACAGGACGAAACCTTAACTAAACTAATTTCATTTCTATACTGGGTAGAAAACGTTTTATTAAATTCTAAACTCTTCTCCCTGTCCACTATTGACCATTCCTTACAGTCGTCTATCGTTAGGAGGCAACCAGTAACAATCTTAGTAACAATTTTCGCTGCCTGATATTAAGGTTGATATTCTATTGAATTTCATACATTACAGTTGACATATTAGAATATGTTTTATTTAGTTTGCCTTTACTCGGATACCTCGTTATTTTGGCAAAGTACTTCGTGTGATCCTCGCAGGACATTTCATGGGATTGTTAATCTTCATCAGTCCATACATGTTACGGTATATTGAGATGCCTCCTTTCGACTTACAACCTTCAGATCTTGTTCTTTTTGTGTTATTTGGAGCATTTTTGCTTAGCTCAAGTATGCCATTTTTATTGAGGTAAGAAGAAAATATTTTATCGCCATGGTTTTTAATCTCCATGGCTAGCTTTATAGGTGGATTTCCAGGGCTCGATGGAGTAGTTGTAAATGTCAGTGTGTTATATTCAGGTTAACAAGAAGTCTAACTGAAAGGGATGTTCTGCTATTGAAGTCCATTTCATTGGTAATATACACTTGTCAAGTTGGTTGTTTGGCTACAATTAATTTTTCGTTTGGCTTTTTCCTGGCAATTTTTACTGTACCAACTTTTCTTTTTGTTCATTCAACACAAAACAGGTACGCTCTAACGTATTTGAATATTATATGACGTAGGTGATCGTGGCACAGTGATACCCTCTGCGATCTAGGTGCGATTTCTGCAGCTGAGCGAAACGTCTAGGCCAACGATTGCTGCAGTCGGCCCAAAGTTTCTGGCGGCTAGGCCTGGATCAGGAGGATTTCTGATCAGGAGGGTTTCTGATCAGGAAGGTTTGTGATCAGGAGGGTTTCTGATCAGGATGTCAGCTTAACCTGTAGCCAGCACTTAGGCGTAGAGTGGACTCGCCTGACAACGGAAAACCTTTGCACCACAGCACCAAAGTCTGTTTACAATACTCATAGGCGTATGAGACAGGGAGGCAGGGGAGGGGTAACTGCTCCCCCCCCTCCGCCAAAAAAATAGTAGAAATTCAGGCAAATGCTAGGAAAATCAAGAAACGTCGGGCAGAATTATCAGAAAATATGTTAAATTCATTATTTCATTACAATCCTCCATAACCGTTTCTTCTTATTTTTTCTTCTGTGCAGAATACGTCGTCTGTTTCAAGTCGTGCTTGTATCCATATCTTCTCCACCCTTTATCATATTTCTTATGACCGTGGTTTACAGTTATTTTACGACTGAAACAGATAACTATCATGAAGTAATGCAGAATTCAAAGACATTATATAGTGACGGTATTCTCTCATCTCTACGAGATTCAGTCTTGATCGGAACCTGGTCGTATCCTGTCACAATGTTAGTCATCTTGCCGAACTGGCTGCTTTTCTGGTCCATCGCCTGGATGTGAGCATTGTAGGCGGAAGACGGGCGCATGGTTACTTGAAGGGCTGTGTACATACACGTCAAAGTGGCGAAAACCAGGCGGAAGTGAAGCGGGAACTGTCTTCCCAATAGTTTCTCAGACTGCTTAAATCAAGCACACAACTCACCTACGACAACGGAGGCGAGTTGTGTGCTTGATTTACACAGAGCAACTCAAATAGACCTTTCCAGTAATTACGTCACAACTACAGTCAAACCTCTTTTAAGGGGCCACCCTCGGGGATCGGCTTTGTGGCCGCTTAATAGAGGTGGCCGCTAAATAGAGGTACCCAAATAATAGACCCTGGGCGTAGTCAATGCTTTTGAGGTGTAAAGCTTTTGAGGTGTAAAGTGGCATGTGTTAAAACATAATTTTTAAGCCTTATTTTACAAATAAAGCAAATTAGCTCGACTTTTATTTTATGCTCTCGTGACAAGGTGTTGCGCCAAGTAAATCCTGCAGACTGGCCGCTTAAAAATTGACATAAAACATCATTTGGGACCGCTCTTCGGGTGGCCGCGGCCGCTTAATAGAGGTGGCCGTTTAATAGAGGGATAGTTTATAGTATTTGTATTACAAAAATTTCGGGACTTCGATATGTGGCCGTTTAATAGAGGGTGGCCGCTTAATGGAGGGCCGCTTAATAGAGGTTCGACTGTACCACCTTAAATGGAATAGATTTTAAGTTTGTTTCTCACGGGCTATAGTCAGAGAAGCAGAACATCCTTTGTCAATCATAGCCCGTGAGAAACGAACTTAAAATCCATTCCATTTAAGGTGGTCCTAAGTTGAAAACAGTGTTAGTCGTGACGCAATTACTGGAAAGGTCTATTGTAAGCAAGTTGCATGCGACAGTTTTAGGCAAAAGTTATGTCGTGTAAATTGTCCTTATTAGATAATTAACTAACTAGATAATTAAATACTAACAAGGTTTTTTTGCAACCATTGCAGCCTGGTATCTTTTTAATTAAACATTAGATTTTGTGCGCTACCACGCCAGTTTCCGTGAAATGTTTTCGAGCGTGAAACGTTTTCGAAGCAGTAAGTTTTCTTATCAAAAGTGTCCACGGATAGGTGCCATCAACGGTTATCTGCACATTCTGCGGGCTGGTGTTCAGGGGGAAATTGCAGGCGTAAAGAGAGATGCGGGTGTAAACATGGAGGACGATCAAGAAGACGAAAATGATTTTCAAATGATAAAACGAAAGAAATCCAGCTCACTATTTGACAATAATTCTCAAAAACAATACAGAAAAAATATAAACCCTAAACGAAGTCTTCCTTTGTCGCTGAAATCAATTCGATCCAAAAAGAAAGCGTCTAGTATTGAAACATTTTTGGAGAAGAACCAAAATGGAACGTTAGAAGGAAAAGATCAGTTGAACTTTTGTCCAGTTTGTCAGCTACCACTTCGTATTTTGATTGGTTTATCTGTTGAAGGCCACGTCCAGGAGTGTGTAGCCAACTATTCAGAGTCTTCTGGTATGGTAAAGTTTGAAAAATTTATCGTCTTTGGGGGCCATAATTTTCGAGTGGTTTGAACTTTGAAGTCTTTGAACTAATTAAATGGATTTTGTTCCTCAATCCAGACTTCGTCCACGTGCGTGGAGGGGGTTAGCAAAGAATCCACAATTACAAAATAACCAGAACAAAATAAAATTGACCTTTCTAGGGAAAAAAATGGACTTTAACACATGGTACTTGGGGGAGTGGGCTTAGGCAAATATGGGTGATTAACAGAATGTCCACACTTCCGTTATAGAGGAAATTGAGATGGACCCCCTTTCCTGTAACAGCACAAATTCCCTCCGTATTGGTTCGAAGTCTGGTTTTTTCTGGAATGGTCTGTTTGTGGAAGAAGTTAGAAATTGTGGGACAAAATCTATATGTTAATTGGTTGTGGAGTACATCTATTGTGGAGTCTAGTTGTTTATACGTTTCAGTTAAGACTCGTAATTATGTCATTTAACCATTTCTCTTTTTATAGTCCTTTGTCCAAATGGTGTCAACTGTAATTCTATGGTCCCTCATCACTTTAAAAAATACTCCCATCAGCAACTTGCAAGATTGCGTAGTCTTAAAATTCAGAAAAATATAACAAGTGATGAGGTAATGGCATCCATATTTTGTATGGTGTTGGAAAGATTGAAATAAAGAAGTAGGGCACATAGCATAATGGGTTTGTAAGACATACACATATGCAACATACAATTTGGTGTCCCAACATACTTTGGTTTGTCCTCGACAAGTTAAAATTTAACATACAACAACATTATATTACAGGGTAACAAAGTACAGTAGGTTATGCAACACAGAGTACTTGTTTTGTGTCTCCCTCTCAGAGCATGGTCTTAAATGATGAACCTAGGGGAATACAATGATAGGTCTATTATCTACATAGCTTCAAAGAGAGCCTGTTCGCAGGCTATTATTGCTGCGGAGCGAGCGAGCCTGAAGCAAGCGAGCGTAGCAGCAACCTAATATGTGCAGAGAGGGGGTTTTGAACTAAATTTTATTTAGTGCATGGAATTGTGGGACACAAATTTTAAACTCGCTCGAGGACTCTTCAATTTTTATCGAATTTCTAATGCTTTTTCAAGTCTAATGTTTTTTCAAGTCTAATGTTACGCTTACATTTGTTTTGGACTTTGGCCACTGTCAGTTCTATATTTTTATAAAGTATTGGTTTCTTAGCGTGATAAATCTGTGTATATAGTGTATATAATGTGGTAAATGCGCCTAGCAATAAACAGACTTGATATGAAATCTGACCTTAATGAGACGCACATATTTAATATTTGTCATCTCTGATTGCCCTTTAACCCCCTGGTCTTTGCCACTTCAATATAGCCTATGTTGCTTCTTCTCAGTCCCATTCACAGCTCACTAGTCGCTGCAAGTAATCACTGTGCTTGATATAATCTGTGCTGTTTACTGTAGTTCTATTTGCTTTTAATGCCTGCAGCAATCCCTACCTTGCAGGTACCCTAGTCTACATTTTAAAGTGTGCACATTTACCCCCTCTCCCCCAGTGTACGGTTTGTACTCATTTGAAAATGTTTGTAATTATGGACAATCTCTTGTTGAATCAGTTTTATTGACCTTATATTTAAGGAAATCCAGCATAACAAAATAAATGAAGTGGAATTCTTCAGAGAAGCACATTTGAAAAGTAGCTTAACTAATGATTCCAAAGATACAAACATGTCAAACTCAGTAACTTCTTGTACCAACTCCAGTGCACCACTTTGTGTAAACAATTCTGTAAGTACTGTAAATAGTACCAAAAATGTTGAAGAAACATTACCGACACTTGAAAATATTCTGGACACAAAAAGTATGGTAGAAAGTCAATCGTCAGAAAAAGAGAATTTAGATGACGTCAACCGTTGGTTAAATGATGGTTTAGAATATGAAGATTTTGAAATGTTTAGTTCCGAAACTGAATGTATTTCAACTTCGGCAAGTCCTACAAATTTTAGTGATATTTTGAAACCTTCAAAATTTGTTGTGAACATTACAAATGCAGAAACAATGGTTGAAACACTTTCAGATGCAGCAAATACCAAAACTGTGACATCTGAAACAGCAACAAGTGCTGGGGTAATGTTGAGTACAGAAACAATTGTTGCAACAATTTCAGATGCAGCAGATTCGAGAACTGCAACAACTTCAACTGCAGAAACAAATGTTGCAACCACTTCTGAAACAGTAAAAAGTATTGGGATAATGTCAAATACAGAAAATGCAACTTCAAATACAAACTCACAATGTTACAGTACTGACAGCATTGGGGAAAAGTTGACATGTAACAAATTTCCAAGAACTCAAAAACACCATGTTAAGACGTCCAGAAAACAAATGGATATTGGTGTATATTTTGGGTTAAAACCCAAACAAAACGTTACAAGAAATAAAACAGAAGATGTTTCTGGCAAAGTATTACAGCAAAATGAACTCCACAAAGAGCAGCTTCAAACACAATACAATGATGGAAAAGCAACTCCCAAGACCAAGAAATGTCCGTTTTATAAGATTGTTGAAGGTAAGGACAAGGACTATCATGGTTTCTATTCAAAATATATGACCATGCATGGTCATTGGTCATATCATATATATCGACATATAAAATTAGACATTTAATTAGTTAATCTCCCTGACCCTTCCGAGGCTGCAGAGGGGATGCTGGCTTTGTGTAAGTGACAATTACCAAGCTGTAGGGCCTATATATTTTATACCTTTTATGAATCTTTTGAATAAACGTTGGTAGAACTTACGCAAGTAACTGGCATAATACCAATAAGTTAAACGTTATTAGTTTTTTCAGGTTGGTCTTTACATGGGACTCATGTCCTGTTGACCATACCTTCAATCATTGTTATATTTTTTGTATGATTGTAAAGTTAATAAATAAATAAATAAATAAACTACTCAGTAGAAAGATATCTCACTCGACTCAATTAATAGTTGAAGGGCCTTGTGGCTTGTAGATGGAAATTATCATGTGGAAATTTACATACATTCATTAGACCGCGTCTTTTATAGGCACATCATTTGCAGTGGATGCATTTTCATATGGCCACATCCCTAGTATCTCTGCTTATTTCTTGAGTCATTTTCATTACGATCATTATGGTGGACTGAAAAGATCGTTTTCTAAACCAATTTATTGTAGCCAGGTACAGTGTAAAGTAGACGCTACACCAACCTCGCAAGCAAGCCTTTCTACTTCCCTCCCAAACTGCGGAGTCAAGTAGAGAGCCTTGCTTGCGAGGTTCACAGTACACAAATTTTGGTAGACGGTCGTGGTGTACACGGGACGAGATTATTTCGTCAGTGCAAAGCAGTTTTTCCACTTTTCTATAAAGAGCACGATTTCTATCCACGAAAGAAAAGTAGACGTGATAAGTCAAGATGTTGAACAATGGACAACTTGCATGTTAGACTAAATTTTAATCTAAGTAACGAGAAGGGAATCAAACACAACAGTTAATAAGAACATAATGAAGTTAGTAAAACTGCAAAATTTGGTTGCGAAATGTTGTAAAATACGGAAAATATAGCCTTGCGAAGTTTGCACATTTTCAGTATATTTGTAGTACGTGCGGAAATTGTTACCATTTTCGGCTCAAAAATGGTAACAATTTCCGCACGTAATACAAACATACTGAAAATATGCAAACTTCGCAAGGCTATATTTTCTGTATTTTACAACATTTCATAACCAAATTTTGCAATTTTACTGATTTTAATAAGTTTTTCACCAGAATTTACTTTTTTTTTTGCCTAAATAAAAAATTAGTCTAACATGCAAGTTGTCTATTGACGTTTTATAATATTGTTTGTGATACAGTAGTAAATTTATCTGCTTTAAAAAACTGGAAAATCGCGTTTTGTTCCATGTAATCCGCGTGTTTCGGTCTTAAGTCACAGTAAGTGGTGTAACCATGCAAGGGGGCTAGATGGTGCTCTCTCCCCAATGACCTCCAGACCTGTTCTTGTGGAAAGGTGGGGGAGGGGGTTGCAATGTCTGGAATAACAAAAAATTACTATTTTGTCATAATTTTTTTTTCACAACTTGTCTCAGACTGCGAGAAATAGTGTTCTAGATTTCCAAAATCCCTCCATAAAATTCTCATAAAGTTTGATTGACTCACCCCCCCACAAAATCTATGCCACTGTTCGTAACAAGGGGCAAATAACACAAAATATCATTGTTCTGTCAAGAGCAGTAAAAGAGAAAATTACCATGGCAAAAAGTGCTTAAAAAGCAAAGAGTAACAGAAAAACACAAAAAAGCAAAACATTTGAAGAAATGAGTATTATTTGAAAAAAATTATAAAAGAGAATGAGGAAAAAAGGTTTTGAAAAAAATCACATGATTTTTTATTCTCGTACACTTTTTAGGAGTGATTTGCCCCTCGGATCGTAACATGACTAATCTCGGACGTGTTACTGTAGGTTTCAATGTAGCGATGAAGGTTGCTTGCAGGATCTAACTACTTGAAAAAAATTAAAAGTACTTCGAAGGACGAACTGACGAAGAGTTTCGCTCGAAACGTCGAAGTACTTTCTGTATAAGCAATGTCCAATGAATGATTTGCAGTTCCAATAAGTGTATTTTTAACATTGTTTAGATCACTGCCAACTTGATATCATTAAAGATTAAAGTAGCAGCACGTTTTATCCATCGTCTTTCTTTATACACTCCGACAGTAATTGAGAATATTGAAGTCACATTACTCGAAGCCAATCAGTAAGTCATATAGACTTTTAAAGCAATAATCATTTTTCAATTTTCGAAGCAATTTTTCCTGATAATCGGCACAGGAAAAATTAATTTTCCAATAGTGCATGTTACGAAATTGAAATCGATTGTAACGCCTTACTTAAATTCTGTGTTTTTAGCTGCCCGGGTGCTGTGATGTTTATATTTAAACTACCAAATGGCCGAACCCATCTTCATACAGGTGAGTGGCGCGAACTCATGGCCGCTTTCCATTTTACTATCCAAAAATGACATCACAAGGGTTAGGATGAAGGATTGGCAATGGGGTTGGAAATGGGGTTGGAAATGGATATGAACAGTATTATTTAGTACGTGTTTATCTTTGCACAAGTCCGACGAACTTACTGTAGCTACAGTATTGCCAGGGATGGATTTACTGGAGGTGTGCTATTTTTATGATAAATCAAAAAATATTAGAAACAAAATGAGATACAGTAATTTGAGTAATAATATGATAAGCGAACTGTGAACAACAATTACAATTCAAATACAGTAGTTGATGGGCGGGGGTGCACATGACCGACACAACTTGGCACCAGAGAGCACCCCCTACCAGATCATGCTGGGTCCATCCCTGAGTAATGCAGCATTAAAAAAGTATTTCTTTTCAGGTGACTTTCGAGCTTCAACAGCGATGCAAGAAATCCCTGTCATCAACCGTTCCTCTATTCATACGCTATATTTGGACACAACGTAAGAAAATTAAATCTTTAACTAGTTTATCTATATTGAAAACTCATCCATTCTTAAGACAGGATCGATTTACTGTGAAAGTCAAATGGTATAGTTAGCTAATTTCCACATGAATTATTGAAAAGTTTAGTGTTTATGCATTAAGGGCATTAGTATAGCTCAGTGGGTTCGTTTTTCATGGAATGCTTACAGCCGTTAGTTATATTGTACTATTGAGTTTCCAAACCATTCATTCTATTTACTGTACAATGATTTGCCTAATTTGTTTGTTGCATATTTATGTTGTTTTTCCATCGTTACACACAGATACTGTGATCCAAGCTACAGTTTTCCCCCTCAGTCAGAAACGGTGGAGTTCTGTGTATCAACAGCGACAGAGGCAGTGGCAAGGAATGCCAAGACATTGATCGTCGTTGGCACATACACCATTGGCAAGGAAAAGATTTTTATTGGTAATTTTCACTGTTATTGTACTGCTCAGAATACGCTTGGTAGCAAATTGTTTGTTTTGCTTACATAACCTAAAGGCTGGTGAACACTATCAAAGTTTCTGTGATCACAGTAGGAATTTTGCATAGGTAAATTCTGAAGGATTTGTAAGAAATGTTTGAGGGAACTGGCTCTCAAACATGGCTTATCCTTCAAAACTTAAACTTTGACAGGCCTTAAAATATCAGAACCGTCTGACAAAATGTTTGATGACGTTTGAGTGTGGGTCGGATATATACATATATTGTGATGTCCTATGATTTTGAGTTCAGTTTGGCTATAAAAAGAAGTATTTGAATGCAGACACAAATTTAATATCAACACAATTTGGGAAAGTCATATGAATCTTGGCAATGAATTTCCAAACCCCACTGTGAAAATCCCGCACTTGAATACACATTTCCACTTTTGATACATTACTCTGATTCTCCATTTAACACTCTACGAGCCTCTAGGCCTGAACTAGGGTACATTTTGATTTAAGTTGGACAAAGTTACTGAATTCGGCGGACACCAATACACTCGGGTCGGACAAATAATAAACCTCAGTCTCAGATCCACTTAGGTCAGACAGAATGTCCAGTGGCACTGCCAGTGGTTCCCTCTCTACGTCGGACAATGTCGTTGACCGATCGATATTTTAAGGTCTGAACTTTGATAGTGTGAACCAGCCTTGAGTCATTGAGAGCAGGCAAGCGTCAATCTCGTTCCCAGACTCTTCCCTCTTGTGGAGGGAAGAGCCCGGGAACGAGGTTGGGCAAGCGTAAGTTTGCATGAGTGTTTCGTCAACTTTCGTGCCTCGGTCAAACGAGAACAAGATAGAAGAATTGCAGAACAGTTGACTGGAAATTACCGCGGCGCGTATATATTTCGGTCAAGCGAGCAAAAACTCTCGTTGATTCTCATCAAAATAGACGTGTGGGTGGTACATGCAGTGGCTAATACATGTTCTTAGGGCCATAGCGACCGGGGGTGTGGGGTGTAGCCCACCCCCATATTTGTTCGTGAGTAATTTCAAATTAATTTCTTTGTGAGATATTCCGGTGAATATTTTAGACCATTGACAGGCATCGATATAAATCCATTTATAATCTTTGTTTAATAGCTGTGGCGAATGCTTTACAATGCAAGGTGGCAGTTCAGAGAGAGAAATATAACGTATTGCAATGTCTGGAATCTGAACATCTGAAGAAAATTATCACTCGGGATTATAAAGAAGCAAGGGTTCACGTTCTACCAATGGCTCATCTTGTTCACAAGGTGAGATAGCACTAGCAGTTGTGGAAGTGAAATTTAAACATCTCCAATATTTCATACATTTTCTCCTTTTTCACTGGTGTGTCTCATTTGACGAGCCAACATGAAGTTCAACTATAAAGCGAGCAATCTCAGCCGTAAAGTAAGCTTTCCGTTGACATGTCATGACATCCTGCATTTTTTGCAGAAACTGGCAGCTCACCTCAACGCCTACAGCTCTCGCTATTCTGAACTATTAGCATTCAAACCAACTGGATGGACATTTACAGACAGTTGTGAACATGATCTCAAAAATATCAAACCTTCTAAAAGAGCATCTGTAACAATATACGGTAAGCTGTGAAAAGGTTAATAGCACGGGTACAGGGTCCAGATGCAGTTATAACGCGGGTTACCCTTTACCACCAGGATGACTGGATTAGTCATCCTGGTGGTAAAGGGTAACCCGCTGGTCTGACTCGATGTGCTAAGATATTTTTCCAGAAATCTTGTCTGGATCGATAGAAGTTTTATTTTCTAAAGTTTTGAAATAAACGGATTTGCAGGTGTACCCAATCCAAAGGAGCGGGTTAGATCGTAACCCATGAAGGTTAGCGCCAATCCAGCTGTGAACAACCGGCCCCTGGTCACTTCCATTTAGTTGTGGCCCCTCAGAAAAACCCTCGAAGCACTTGAAAGATTCAACCAAACTTTACTTTCATGAGTTTTTCAAGCACACGGAAGTTACCCAACCTATGAAAATCCATGTCCTCGACCTGCAGTAGCAGGCTGACTGAGAAGTAAGCGCGCTAACCAACTCTTCCGCCTGTGTTTTCCATACTTTGTAGTGTATTTATTCTAGTGGCTAGTAGCTTATAGTTCTCATTTTCCCTGCAGGTGTGCCGTACAGTGAACACAGCAGTTTCAAAGAACTAAAGCAGTTTGTGCAGTTTATCAAACCTCACAAGATCATTCCGACTGTAAATAACGGTTCTGCAAAGAGAAGAGAAGAAATGAAGAATATTTTCAATACCTGGCTCAGGAATTAAGTATATATAAAGAATTATATATTTCAACTTGTATTTTTGTTTTATAACGTTGAACAAAGACTGCAGACATAGGTATATAGGACTATAAATATATCAACTTTACAGAAGGAGTTTATGATACAATGATTCGAAACACCATGAAGCCTGTTGAAAGCGAGGCGCTGATAAACAACTTCGTGTGTGTTAAAAACGATCCAGATCTTTAAAGAGCAATTCAACGCCAGAGTTCCTAACGTTGTTCCCAGTATCCAACTAGCAGAACTATTTTCTAACATCCTTGTTGCAGTTTGATTGAAGAGGATTGTCGAAAGAGAATTGGTTATCGGTATACAACAGGCCAATAGACATGACGAAGGAAAGTATAGAGACATTTGTTGTGGTGAGCTGTACCGACAACTCGAAGGATGTGATGACACCTATATGAAGCACCTTTCTTGTTTCATATTGATGGGACATATATGCCGTGAAATCCAAGATCTTCAGTATATCAAGATCCCCAATACAGCGTATTTTGGTCGAACTACCAGCCAGTATTCGGTATTCATTGAAGGATGAGTTGTTCTGCGTACTTTTTCAGTCTCAAAAACATTTTGTCGATCAAGTTAAAGCAATCAACCGATGAATCAGGACTACATCTAAATGTTCGATTTTACCATGTTACATAGTAGATCTTGAATTTCAGACAGTGTAAAGGACTTTTTGGGCGCAATATTGTACATATCTTCATCCAGAAGAAAGAATAACACAACCAGAACTAAATTTAAATGTTCCAGATTACCATGTTACATAGTACATATTGAACTTCAGACAGTGTAAAGGGCTTTGGGGCGCAATACGTAGTATCTTCATCCAGGAGAAAGAATAACACAAGAAAAAGGAACAGTTTGAATTTATCAGGTGTGCGAAGATACCCCAAAAGAAGGAACCGTTCTGATGCGATTGAGCTTACACAGCTATAACAGAAGCGACCAAAAGATGTTTTTTTTGGAATACTTCGTCCAACGGAACAGGATAAGATCACGGATAATCTATGCAACCTGTACTAAACACATACAGAAAAAGTTTAACCTACATCTCAAACTCATTAAAAATTAATGAGTAAATTAGCCAACCATATATTGCTTTATTTTGCTTACTATACATGTTAATACTGGATACCTGGTGAAGTATATTGATTCAGTCCTAGGACTGGATCAAAATTAATTCACTTCACTTTAAGCACAGTAGTAATTTATTCGTATGAGATGTCATTTTAAGTCCTATAGACGTCCAGTCCTCATAGTCATGCATAGACATAATCGGTTTTGAAATATTACATCTCGGCGTTGAATGAATGATTATATTTATTTATTCAGGAAACCAACATCACAAGAAGTGTTTTTCGGATGGTTCCTGCAAAACATTAAAATACAAAGTATACAATAGTATACTATATAGTGTGCGTGCAGTATTTACATATTGGTATATGGATATATATGATATACATGAAAAATTATGAGACTATAGTATAGGATACATGATGCTATACATATTTACAAGGATACAAAGAGTTAGTAAGTTATATTTTAAATGTACTGTATGAGTATTATGAAGATAGAGATTTGAGAAGTTCATTCCTAAAGGTTCCTAACTGTTCAATGGGTCTAGTATATTATAGTCCAAATTGTTGTACTAAATCGATGTACTCTGCAGTTCTCGCAAAGAGTCTGGTGGCGGTGGAATAATACCGTTTTTCAACAATCCTCCCAGAGTTTTTTCACTTTTCCATTTGGCCATGAAATTTTTCGCTCCATTTTCTGAAATGCTCAAAGTTTTGCGTAAGGTAAAAATTTAGAACAATTTTTTAAAAAGTTGGAATAAAATAGGACAAAAACTATACACTTTAATTTATATATTGCATCTTTTTTTTAATAGTTATTTTTTAACTACCCAATATATTTTTTGAACTTTAATAGTATAACATTAATCTTTGATATATTAGCAATCTCAGTTCAGTACTATTTAGTTAACACTACTCTATTAAACTACACATTTCAATATACTTCTACACAAAATGTTCACACTAATTATATCACATTCAATATTTTTCAATATATTATCAGTTCATGTTTTTACATCCTGAGCCAAAATATAAATCCACCCATACCAATGAATATATATATACATATATCTGTTTTTTTTATAAATAGTAATTTTTATTATATTTCTATTGTATATACCATGCTGTTAGTTTGTACTTGATATTGCAGTAGATTGCCCAGTAGATTGCACGGCAATCTGGGCTGAACTGGACATTGCCTTTTCATCTGCATCATGAGCTCTGAAAAATAAACAATTAAAATATTCTATTGTTAATCTGCATTTTTTTACCACTGTACATCTACCAAGGTTGGTTATTCTATATAAGTATAGGAGGAACTGTGTATAGTTAATAGTTGGTTGTTAGGGAGGTACTGATATCATTGCTAGGTGGAATATAGTTAAATGGTGACTATATGTGTTCATCTGCATGTGACTGTATATCGGTCTGTGGAATGAGTGCATTTGACATGCTGGAAAGGTTTTGCTCCATTTTGATCCTAAGAGACTATAAATCTGTTCTACTTTCATTGAACAAATTTTAGTTTAGTTTAGGAAACCTGAACCTGTGACCTTAAAAAAATTACACTTACTTGAGCATAAGATCGACACATTCACATATTTCAAAGTACTCGTATTGGATCAGTTCCACAAGTGCAGGTTTCCAAGTTGGTGTTAGATGAAGACAAGATCTTGCTGCTGCGACTGCCGCTGCTGTGACTACTGAAGGTTTGAATGATAGGAATTTATGATCTAAGAGTAAAAACATAGTGATTATGAATACGTCATTCCAGCATGCACCACCTAGAGAGGATGCTTGAAGGGAGGAGGGGTAGGTACAATTGTGTTCATTCAAATTTCTCACAGCAAAATTAAGGGCAGAGTTTTGCTGCTGCAGAGTGCAGACCACACTATGCAGTAGAACATTTTCTGTTGGTGGGTTACTGGCTAGACTTAAGCTGGGGATAAACTGCCTTAAGGAGGGGGGATACCTTGGGAGGGGGTTAAACTGCCTTTTGGTAGGGGAGAAGTACCTTGTAATGAGATTTCTAAGAAGTAATACACATATTTCTTGACATAAACTCTTGCTTTAGTGCAGTTATTCAATGGACGTCCTGAATGGTTGTCATCGTTCAGCACCGAGTGAACAAGGAACATGTCAACAAAACTAGCTGCAGTTGGGAGATCAACATTCCATGAAAAATGATCCAGTAGCAACAATTCCATGGCATGAAACTCTGACCGGTCAAATGAGTTGTGTACGAAAGAGTTGAGCTGCTCGATGGTAGGGATCCTGTTCTCAATTTCATCAAACTTTGCTTTAAAGCAAAAGAAATTAAAATTATTCTCTTAAAATGAATAAATGGCTGATCGCATTATTAATCCGCACCCCCCTATTGAGGACATCCATTTTTTGGTCCCCCCTCCCCTGGAATTTCCACATATTTTAAGCGAATTTTTAGCCTCCCCTGTGGAATTTCCGCAGATTTTTATTGAATTTTAGCCCTGCCCATGGAATTTCCGCAAATTTTTTACGAACTTTTAACCTATCCCATGGAAATTCCTTGACAGTTTTTCATCTAGCCAGTGGAAATTCCGTATTGATTCTTTGATTAGTAGCTATCCCTTGGAAAATTCCTTGCTGATTTTTATCCTATCCTTTGGAATTTCTTTTCCATTGTTGACCCTCCCATGGAAATTCCATACGTTTTACTCAATTTTCTTACCTACCCTTTGGAATTTCCGCAGATTTGCTTTAAAATTTGGACCCTCCCATGGAAATTCCTTCATTTTTGGTTCACTTTTGCAGGGGGGCATTGGAAATTCCACATGTCCTCAATAGGGGGGGTACGGATTAATAATGCGATCAGCCAATAAACCACCCGGGAAAAGCAAATGAGCACCCCTTGGACATACTGCTAAATGTGGAATTTGCTATCCTCTCCCATTTTTATAAACCCATTCAAAAAAAAATTATCCAGTTAAGATTTTGGCATAAAATATGAAACTCAATATTATAACTTTTATCTTAACTATCAACAGAATGAGATTTTGGATTTAAAAAAGAATATTTTAAAATATTAAAAACGTAGCACATGGTTGTTTTATAATTGCTGTACCTGCAAGTAAAAAGCAAGTGAGCGCTACAAGATGCAATTGTGGTTCGGGTATATCATGATTATCCATAAAATAATCCATAAGGGCCACACTTAAATGCAAAATGCCATAAGAGGATCCGATTTTCTCGAAGATTATCGCCAACCAGTCTACTAAATATCTGCGAACAGCGAGTTGGGGAGACGAAGCCTTGTACTGTGCTAAAGTTAACTCCTTTTTGCGAAGTACGCCGTGTATATCGTTCGCTAATTCGCCTTCCCACCACTCTTTTGCCATCTCTGATACCTCATAAACAAGACGAAGCTTGTCCAAGGTTTGCAGCGGCCATAAAACAGTGCAATCTTGCAAAAATGAATTTAAAATCCTTGTCAAAATCGAATTCCCCGCCTCTTTATATATTCCCGCACTTCGACACTTCGGCTAATGCCCATATATGGTATCAGGGAATTGTGTCAGGGGGGACTGCTAGTTTTTGAAGGAGATTGTAAAAAATATTTCGGTGAAATTTCAAATTTATCCAACGAAAAGTACATGTTCATTTAATAATACCAGTACAATGAAAAAAATACATTATTTTGCAGAAGCGCTCCAAAATCATCCGAGATTGTTTTATAAAATCTCCTATGCTTGCTATGACGTAATCAAGACTATCAAATGACGATTTAGGGAAATATTTGCATTATTTTGCAAGTCGCCAAATTATTTATTTTGACATTTGCTTGTTGCAATTTCGGTTCCAGGCTTGTTAGTATATTTGTTTCATTATGGAAAAGGTTGTGCGAATCAGTCCGTTGTATTACGTCCATATTCAAGATTTGGTAAGAAAGAAGATATTTAGATATAATTATTAAAAGCATAAACATTCAATATGGCTGTCTGCTGAGCAACACTGTACTTTAATTTATTACTTTGCTCCCAGCAACAGGCCAACAATTTATTGTTGCATATATATAATTTTATTGATGACAATGAAATTGAGAATTCATGAAATCATGCAATAATGGCATCAACAATTATTCGCTGAAGGCGAGGTGATTATCGGTGATTATTCAAGATAATTGTTATTATTATAACAGTATTTCAGTTTAGTATAATTTCATAGGTGATTATTTGGGGAAAAAATTAAAAATATGCATTTCTTCATCATTTAATTGACAAAACGGCTTTGGTCTCCGCCATTTCGAAAATCGCTTAGGTGATTATCACGTTATAATCACCTCAATAGTGAGCTTAAGCAAGTGACGTTTTTGACAACACTGACGGCATGAGTAACGTCAGAAGACTGGGTCAAGGGCTGTGATTGGTGAAAAACGTCAACTTTACTTCCGGTCGAAGTCCGTGTTGTCAAAAACGTCACTTGCTTAAGCTCACTAATGGCAACCAATCAGCGTGGAGAATTTTCAATAATCACCTATGTTCAATGTAATCATGCAAGATAGCTTGAAATTCCAGCCAATCAATATTGGTCGGTTTAGTCCATGCATGACGAAAACAAAACATGCTGTGGGGAGGGAGGGGGCACAGGGTGGCTGAGATCTTGACAAAATAGGTGCTTGACAAAAGTTTGTATGTTATGCTGAATGTATTCGACTAATATAGACTGTTTTTTATGCCAATTTGGCATGCAGAACATTTTTTGAGCAATAGATTTTTATTGTATTTTAGTTGTTTGACTATGGCATGCTATTAAAGGTTCAACAATGTTGATTATTATAAATTATAAATCGGTGTAATTAACAACAAACTTTCTACAATGGTGTGTTCCAAAAATCATTGAAATTTCACACTTAACATTCTACAGTATGTAATTTGTTTGTAATATAAGTTCATTTTCATACTCAGGTAATCCAATTAACATTTAATAAAAATTTCCACCATGACAAGTGAAATTGCCACCAGACTCTCTACTTCCACTTCCCTCACAAACATAGGAAGTAGAGGCCGGCCTGGCTTGTGAGGTTGAATTGCCACTAGGTAGTAGGTTTGACCGTTTGAACATAACAGTGGCATATTTTTTGGGTTCTGGAAATTTTACCTAACTCTGGTGGCTGTTGTGGTGGACTGAATCTGTTATCAATCACTAAATGAATCTGTTATCAATTTTCAATACATTTTAGAGTACCAATGTAACAACACTTGAAGTTGGACCAAAGACAATAGTCCTTCAAGATAATCATAAACTTATTACGGGACCATTACCCTTTGTTGTCATCCCTCCTGGCCATTATTGTGAGATTAAAGATCCTGTCAAGTAAATATTAAAAAACACTAAATTTTATTATATCCTCAGGAACAAATAATGTGGTTAACATGGTGCCACTTACTGCTGTTAAGTAAATATGTATTCACATGGGTTGAGAGTGTGGCTGCCCTGTGCATGAATCTTAATATGCAAATAGAGTGATTTGGTTGTTCTCTCTTGTGCTAGCTTTGAGCTTAGATTTTTCTCTGGTTTTCTGCCCACACCACAAACTATCTCAGACATTAGACAACTACACACTGTGCTTGTAAATGGCATATAGATACGAATAAGTTGCAGGGCTTGAAATAACGTTTCCAAAGTTCCCGATCATGGTGATTGGCAGTCATGACTTTCCCTACTTTTTCAGGTTGGAAAACCTGCTTTTCTGCCGATCATAAGCAATTTCTTGCCAATCAGTGTTCGGCTGTTATTTCAAGCCCTGAAGTTGTGATATTCACATACAGATCTTCAAAAGAAAAAGGTTATAGAATAGGTCTTTCTCCCTTATCTCTCTCTTGTTCCTTTAATAATGAGAGGTGAATATCTTGTCTCCTTCCTTAATCTGGCTTTTAAGTTATGTCAATTAAAATTATTATTAGGAAGCCATGTTCTCCTGGTCAGGAACATGACTTAAAACATGGTTATGTTGAAGTTTGCTTTTATGGGGTAAGATGTTACAATCTGAGTATTTTTTTAACCCATTGAGTGCCAGCGCTCTCCCGTTGACGAGTAAAATTGTCTGGCAATTACACAGAGTAGAATAGTACAGTAGAGTACATTAGGGCACATTGCAATTTTAACACTGATCTCAAGATTTTACTTGTCAAAGAGAGAGTGCTGGTTTGTCAATGATAAACTAAATATATTCTCTTTATTTTGCTTCTTTTTTATTGTAAATTAAAATTTGTGAACTGTAGGAGCCGTTTCCGCTCTATCCAGGAGAGTGCTTGGTTGGAGCAGCAGATGATGGTATGAATAAAGATATAAAGTTAAAATGCAGTTTAATGATCTATCAAATTAATTACAAAAAAGTCTATAGGCCAACTATAGGAACCTATAGTTTTTATAGGCATTTGGAACATTTTCTATAGCTGACCTATAGGGATGCCTATAAGCTTATAGAGCTCCATCGCCTCCATGCAGTGGTGCCTATAAATTACTTTGAATTTGTACTTGAGTGAAAGTAGAAGTAATTAACAATAAAACGACTTAGTAAGAGTACAAAGTACTGGAGGCAAAACGTACTTATTTATAAGTAAGAATTACAAATTAAGTATCCTTAAAAAATACTTGAAGTAAAAGTAAATGTACTACTGTCTGTAGAGAGTGTGTGTGTGTAGGGGGGGGGGGGACTTCTCCAATGGATTGGCATACAAAAAACACAAAACAGCACACGCATTATATGCGTGCACCTAATATACAATATTTCACAGCATGGTCTATTTTCCAGACTCCGTTGAAGATATAAAAAAATTATTAAATAAATAATGCTTATAAATAAGCCCCAAACGAGAGAACCTAGATGCATGTAAAGTCATATTATGCATGTAAAGGTCATATAATAAATCAGGAATAAATCACATAAAATTAAACAAAAGTTATAGAAAGTAACGAAGTACTTCGTCACAAAATGAAAATAACTAAGTAAAACGTTACTTCTTAAAACGACTTCGTTCCAAGTAAAAGCACTCCAGAAAAAGTTTACTTCGTTACATGCTGACTTCTCAAAAATAGTACTCAAGTACAGTAATGAATTAAGTACATTTACTTCGTTACTCTATGGGTGCCTAAAGCCTAAAGGCTTCTATAGGGAATTGAAACATTTCCTATAGGCCACCTATAGACTTGGCTACCTGAGAAAGATTACGAAACCAAGAACCACACCTTACATTTTATGGTTGGAATTACATTCTATATATGTATATAATTGTAGATTTTAAAGCTGCCATAAAAAAGCTTCCGTTCGTTCCTGAGCATAGAGCTATCAAACTTAAAGCAATTGTAGATTGTGAAGTGAATGGTGTCGAAAGAAAAGCTGGTGAAATGTGGCAGATTGAAGGACCAACAACCTATATTCCTTCCCCTGATGTCGTATGTATTCAGACAATTAAATGTACTTTTTCTTGTGAGTTCTTAAAGTTTATATTGGACCAGTTAGGAACATCGAAAAATCGAAGCTTCCTTTTTTAGACAACAATGGGTTATCGAGATGCAATAATCATAGCATATGGCGAGGCAATTCGACTGAAAGCCAAGCAGGACTTGGTTGACAAAAGTGATAGGTAAGAAGTGACGGAATTTATACTTATACTGTTTGAAGGTAACGATAGATACAGTACAAGTCTGATCCAACTAGTTCACTGGATCCAACCAACATTCAGGAAGATAATTAAGGAAGAAGGTGCTGCCATTGCTCGAGAAACTGCTGTTCGATCTATCTTCATGGTAAATTCTTTTGAAGATTTTTATCAGTTTCCATGCTTTGTTGTTGAGGTATTTCAGCTAATTATGTTAATATTAGAGAGTTTAAGCTTCGCGTTATACGTCAAACGGCAAACACCAGGCAAAGGAAAAATTTTACGGTATCGGGCAATAAAGAGTAAATGAACTTACTGTTTTGACACTGAAATACATAATTATTCTTTCGACGCAAGAAAGAAAATATGAAACGAAAACGTTCAACGAAAATTTTGCCAAGAAAGTTCGAACCTGAATCAGTATAGTGGTGAACCATGTCACCAAGCTCTTCAAAAGAAGTTACGGAAACATTAAGTTCTTCAAAAAAGTTACTTTGCAGTTTTAAGATCCTTTTGTCTATTTTGCGTCATATTCACGTTAAACCGTAGATCTTCTTACTGACATTTTCTTCAGTTTGACTGCAAAAACCTCAAAGTGGTAAATTCAAAAAGCTAGCTATATACTGTAGTTTCAATTTGTGTAATTTCTTTTTCAACAGGAAGCGAGTCACAGGGGAAGAATGGCTAGTCCGACAGGTCGGAGCTTATTTACCTGGAGTGTTTGAGGAGGTAAGTAGCATATTGCGCACTCGTATCAGGGCAAGTTCTAACACAACGAAAAGTGGTGGTTGGTGATGAATGTCGCCACGATGACATAGAAAGCGGAGTATCTAGGTAGATTCAAACTGGAAATACTGTTTTCGTGTACTATTAAGTTTAATTTATAACCAGAAAACTAAATGTTGTAGGAATTGCCAGTTGTAGAGGTATAATGCACATGCCATTAACTAATGTGTCGCCAAATCAAGGGGTGGAAAAAATAGGCAAGCACTGCTCACAGGAAATGTTGAACAGCTGCAGGAAATTTCTTTGAATGGAGATTTTCTATTGCAAATTCGAAGAAAACCTTAACACCCATGTCCCACTATGGGCGCAACAACATATGGTTGACAGACATTATTCCTTGAATTTAAAACCATGGTCAGCTATAGAACACTATATGTTTATGCACATGCAGATTTAGCACAAAAACCCTCCGTTGGTGTGCAGGAAATTTTTGTCTCCAGGTTGTGCTCCCAGGAAGAAAATTATTTTTTCCTGCCCTGGCCAAATCTCTTTTCCGTATCATCCCACCATATCACCGACGTTTTATCTTGGATAAACTCAGTTGTAGTTGCATCTAAATGTCGTTTAGGTGGTCAAGGTAGAAAATGCTTACACATTGACGTACGACTCCGGTTTACATCTCAAGGCAACAAAGAATTGTGTTGATGCCTTGGGCAAGAAAAGGTGATCTTAGACTTTATTGTGATTGTTAGTTTCATATCATCATCGTAGGAGTGATCATTATCACGATAATCGTCAGATAAACATAGTTACGATGATCATGACATCACGATAATCATCACCGTCATCACGATAGTCATTACCATCACGATAATCATCACGATAATAATCGTTATCACGATGATAATATTCAACACCACCACCATGATGGTCCACACGAGAAACATTTAGGCGTCTGTGATGCAACAACTCTTCCTCACTCTCCCATACTTTTTGATTTGACAGAGAAGAAATGTCTGAATATTTCAATTAACATTATTTGAGACTCTAAAGCCAGTTCTCCACTTCAACCGGATCGTAGCGAAGCGTATTTCTTTGTTTCCTGAGCGTGGAACTAATGACTTCGACACAAAAGAAAATGCTACGACACGTTACGTTACGTTACGATACGGTACGTTACGGTACGTTACGATACGGTCGAAGTGAAAAACTGGCCTATAAAAGGCCCATTTCCACTCAGGAAAATTTTTCGCAGAAAGAAAATTTTGTAAAATGTGATTGGCCAACACAAATTTTCCGTCGGAAAAAAATCTTGAAGTTGAAAATTTTCAACTTTTAACAATGATATTTTCGGAAAATTTTCTGTCCGTGGAAATTTTTCTTTGAGTGGAAATGAGCCTTAAGATACGAGACTTTAAGATAAAAGAGGAAATTATTCCCGTGTTTTAGGAGTATTGGTCAGGAATGGTTAGTAACCATAGATGATGCTGAAACGTACATTCCTGACGTTGGTGAGGTAATATTAACACCCACAATTTAAAAACAGCGATTGCTATCTGTGAAATGCCTGATGATGACATTTTTACTTTTATTACTTTGCACTGATGAAGATCCGGGCTTACGGATCGAAACATTTCCCAAATAAATATTTTTTTACAAAAACAAAACAATTATTCATCACATTAGGAAGCACTCCGCGGCATCCGTAAGACAGTGTTATCAAGAAATCAGTACTGTATTGTTCTTGATCCTGTGGATAAACATGGCGTGAATCAACTTGGCAAGCGAGAACTGCGTGTTGGTGTCACAAGTTTTTACTTGCATCCAGGAGAAGCTCTTGAAGCTGGAATTCAGGAAGCGTATGTCTTGCATGATGATGAATCTTTGGTTCTTTCAGCATTAGATTATTATGAAGACGATACTTCCGGTAATTCATGATATGGCAAGCCATATTTTTAGTATTACTCGATTTGTTCAACTTCCCAAATATACATAAAGTCACAACTCCCCGATTAGACACCGCCTCTCTAATATGGACTGTCCCCTACTTCCCGATAACATTCTCCCGTTGCTATTTAGAATTAACTTCTATATAAAATATGGACCTTTGGTTGTCTCCTCCAGACTTGCCTTATCATTGATAAAAAAAAACCCTCTCTACTATGCACAACTAGTTATCTCGGCTGTAGAGTCTCAGCCTCTTTAATTTTTATTACCGATCTGAAAAATGTAAACTATTGACCAAGTACCACCATGAGTATCCGGTTATTATCCGGTTATCATTTCGACTCTTAGTATCTGGTAGACTCTTGGGAACGAAGTTGTGGTAGACTATATCCGATACCATCTGGTATTCGGCTCATCCCTATTACGGAGATTCGCGTGTATGTAATGATAAGCATTATTGACAAATCCAATCTAAACTTCTTGTAGATGATACCAAAGAAATCAGCCGAACTCCAGGAGATCGATGGATGATTCATGGTCCACGTGACTATATTCCTCCAATCGAAGTAAAGGTTGAAACGAAAAGGTGATGCATTAATTAAAACTATATGTTATCGACTATACTCAAGTATTTGTAATTCTTAAGCCCAGGTTACACTACACAACGATAACGATAACTTGTATACACGCGCTGATTGGTCAAAAATTTATCGTTATCGTCCGACTGAAAAAAAAATCGCTCAGGTGAGCGATTTTAAAATCGTTATCGTTATCGTCTAACGATAATTTTATCATTTTCGTTGTTGTGTGGACACTAACACAATTTTTTTCCAATTATCGCGTGTTTACAATTTATCGTATCGTTATCGTTGTGTAGTGTGATCGGGCCTTTAATTCTTGTGGTTGTAGAAGCTTCTCCAAACTTTATTTTTATATCTCTTCTCAGGAAAGCCATCACCTTGTGCGAAAACAGTGGCATATATGTACAAAATACTCACTCAGGCGAGGTTAGTTACGTTAGTATACACAGGGAAGAGCCTGGGGACGATGTTGTGATATACAGGGGAGGTGGATGACAGATCAGTCAGCCCAGTGAGCTCTATATATATCTGGAGCAAGAACTACAGTCATTCGGCCTATGAGAAAAGTGAAGCCAAGATGGTGGAATTGACGAGGAGGCAACGAGTTTAAAAATTGGGAACGCAGCTAATGGGGGGAAAATTCAAGTCCCGGATATAAAATCGTGCTCTCATTGGCTCGTCACCAATGGGAACACGAATAAACATCTGGGACTTGAATTTACCCCCCAATGGTTGTGTTCCCTTTTTTTTACTGAATTAAGATTACAATGCCTCCTCTAGTGTTATTTATAATCTCTATGCGTGCAACAGCTATGAAGGTCGTAAACACTTTTTAAAGCATTTCTCCAACTAATTCCAGTAACGCTAATCAAGTTTTCAATCCGGTTTTCCTCCCTCACCAACAACTAACCCTACCATATTTGAACTGTAATCTTTAATCAGAAATGGATCGTTTGGTCGCAGCCAGAGCTAGTAAGCCTATCGAATGGCGTTACTCTAAGTAAATATCCCCCGCTCTCCTAAATCAATGTTAAATGGAATTTTTCATCAAATAAGAAGTGTAGATAATGCGAATATGCGACATTGAAGTGGGAGATACGCGTCAAGTTTTAGCTGTTTGTTAGGATTCTTGCAAAAGTGAATTTGTCCACATGAATTTTGGCCAGGATTGTAGCTGCAAAAAATAATTTCTTAAACCTCCTAATTTTACTCGTTTTACTTACAGAAACACACACAATAATAAATATAAAACCGCATTCTGTCCTTTTTTCAGGTACGTGCAATTCTTGGCCCTCAATCGTATTTATTGAGCGAGTACGAAGAATTATGGTCGAAAGATCTTTCCGCGGAGGTTGAGAAATTGCTAAGGTACAAACAAATAGACAATAAATTGACGAATGTCCACAATAATAGACAAAGTTTTAAATAGATACTAATATTATATGAATATTATTTTAGCCTGGGTGGTGGTTATGGTGACGGTACTGACATCCGAAAGTTGGCGTATTTTGAATCTGCTATCAACCCAGATTATGTTGGTGGGAAAGTAAGTAAATTCTAACTGTATTTCAGTATTGCTAGGTTTCACTAAGCATTACCTAAGCTGTCTGATAGTGCTTAGTCAAACCTGTATATTAGTGAAACCTGTGATAAATATGTTTCAATATATACCGTTTTTATAGAGAGATAAAACGAAGGTGGTCACTTACAAATGTCCAAAAGGGACCGCAATACAGGTTAGTTAATGAATGAATGTATATATAATTTCTGTTTGAATTCATTTCCAATGACAACTTTACACCAAATAGTTATAAACATCGAAGAAATAAGGAATGAATACGAAAATAAAACAATCTACAGTTTCAAAAACAGGTTTCTCACTTTGCTCCATGATTCTTTAATTTGTGCTGTTTGTGCAGATCTTAAATATTAACATAGTTTAAACTTTTAAAATATTTTTGAAGGTGTATAACTACAAGGAAAATACAGCTCGAGTGATATTTGGACCCGACATGGTAAGTCTGTAGAGCGTCGAAATAGCCAGAGTGATACTGTAATATCCAAGGTCTTGGCTAGAAGACCGGTGTCCCAGGAAATTCCCATAAATTTGTCTCCCCGGTAGGGGAAACATATTTCCTGCGAAATATGGCCCCTTCTTCGGAAATTTGCTCCCACCCCCTCCTTTGGAGGGACTGAACAATTAGAAGCAGATTACTCATGAACGTGAAATTTATATGCAACCAAATGTATTATACTGTTTAGTTTTCGATTACAAGTGCTATATTTATGAAGGAAAGTGGAAATTAGTTGGGATAAGCGTCCAAAATGAAATTCCGTACACAGTATCTGAAAATACGTGGTATAAGTCAACACCATTTGCATGTTTTAGATAGTCTAGTGAGTCCATTCGGTCCGTATACTTTTGTCTTCATGTTTGTTTCAAAACTTTGCTAATGACAAATTACCGTATTACCACGGCTTAAACTGAAAAGACAATAGAATGTTGGTACTTAGTACAAGTTACAACATACAGAATTTGCTGCCTTGGTTTATCTATTTAATTAATATGTTCTTCATATTTTCTAGGTTATTCTTGGTCCGCATGAAAATTTCAATGTTTTGAGTTTAAGTGGTAAGAAAATAAACTGTAGTTATATTTATGCAAATTTCAATTAAGGTTATTTCCCTGTGCAAAAGCCTGACTCCTCCCAGTCGCTCATCCCGCATTAAAGCAATCTCGTCCCAGAGTATGCCCGTTCGCAGGTTAGGTGCCAGCACCTAACCTGCGAACGGGCCTACTCTGGGTACGAGATTGGCGTTAGAGCATAGGCCTTTGCATAATATTGTTCCAACCTGAAAGCGCCTGCCCTTTCGAGAAAATTTGAAGGACTGTGGTGGAGTCGGTTGCGAAAGCAAGCGCAGGAATCATGCATTTCTTCTTTCCAGTTTAGGTGTAGAGCATTGTGGCTAGAAATAAGTGGTTTGTGTTTTTATCTTTTCAGCTGGCAAACCCAAGAAAGAAGATGCATTGAAAAGTATTCTGCTCATGCTTGGCCCTGATTTTATAACTGATATTATTGAGGTTAGATTATCGACAACTTAATTAACCTAACCTGACTATCAGGCCTTCATTTTCTTTTAGGGGAAGGAAAGGGAAACGGTAAGAAGGGAACGGAGAAGGGATAAAGGGGGATAACCAGGAAATAAATCCTGATACTCTGGTTACAAGTTACCGAGATATCAATCTTGCCATAATCCTTTTCGGGAATTAAATTTGTACTGGTTTATACTAGATAGCTCTATTAAGTTCTAAACTTCCCTCCCTAATGAGGTCCAGTTAGGATCACCCGTTGGGACAGGTTATTCGAAATCTCCACCTATCGAAATTTGGGGCTGCGAGCATGGTACAGGTAACTGGATATGGCAGGAATTGAATCCAGGTCGCTCAAGGCATATTCGCTACAGCAAACGAATTTCTGTATAGACTGTTCGCAGGCTACAAACCACTATATATGCCAACAAATTTTAGCATTCTTGTTTTGCTATTTTAATTCTAGTTTGCTTGCCAATGAGTTTAGCACTGCGGGGAAATGCCACGCAGACCATTTTAATCGGCAAGGGAAAGGGAGAGCTCCTTAAAAGAGTGATTTCAATTTAAAAACGAGAAGTGATGGAAGGTCTCTTCTTTCCAAGAAAGAAGTTTGAATTTACGGTTGTGTTTCTTGCCAGGTCGAGACGTCCGATCATGCCAGGCTGAGAATCAAACTTGGCATGAACAATCATTTTGAGGTGGATGTAAACGACCCAGAGTCAAGAAGAGCGATCTTCTCAATATCAGATTTCATTGGATACGCTTGCAGAAATATTGGTAAATGCAGATAATAGACAATTATCATTGATGCTAAGCAAAACGTACTGAAATTCACACATCATTTTCTCTTTGACGTACCATCTAAAATCTCTCCATTTTAGCATAATTTTACAGAGAAAGCACTAAATATTCTTCAATACTCACGCTATATGCACCCTGTCGATCATATTTCACGCATCTTTGCGTTCAGTTTGGTGCTGAGGCGTTCGGATTATAGCAGTGCGTTGTTTCAGTGGTTTTGGGTTTTTTGGGACACCCTGTACATGCAGAAAACTGTGACTTTAATTAAAAGGTCTATGTTAGGAAGAGGAGGGGCACCATGCATGCAATGGACTTTACGTCCAGTTTGTGCCTTGTCCGTTTGAGTACAGCTCTTTTAATTGTATGTTTAGATGAATATTTGTTGAATTAATTTGTACTCAATAAAGTTTAACAAACAAATAAGTTTCTTTGTCGCTTGAGAAACATATCAAAAATAAAAAAGTGAGCATAGTCATAAGTTTTGAGCGCGTCGGTTACGTAACATACGAAAGATTCTCCTCTTAATGAAATCAAGAGATGTAGTTACCGAAAGCCATAGCTGTCTTAAGTACTTCAGCAGTTGGCAACCATCTGTTAATTATATCAGTGTAATTATACTTTTTACTCACATGCTTATGTTTAATACAGATCTTATCTTGCAGCCAGTCGAATTAGAGGTATGGTTGCACAGACACCGTTTGACCAATTCCACAGGTATTCCAACAGTATCATACGTAAAGCTGTATTTGATGTCGATAAAGACGGCAAAGTAAACAAGATGTTAAAGTTTGATTCCAATCAACTTGTAAGTGTACAAATTTATTTTCGAACGCGGCGAGTATAGTCTGTTTTATCGGTTATAAACGTGCCACAGAAGGATGTGCCTGGCTATGAAAGCGGGACCGCTGTGTAACTCGCGGGACACACCGTAAACGTTCAACCACTCACAACAACTGTTTTAAGCCACATAACGTGGAATTATGGATTAATTTAATAAACCTTATCTTTGGAGGGGGCTAATAGCCCCTTTTTTCTTTTTTCCTTCTTTTTTAAATTTGGTGATGGTGGGTGTTGGCGCCCTCCCCCCACCTATGGTTACAAACTATATAATGTTGCTTCAGTAGTAATGTGGAGCTGTAATATGTTTTCAGGTTATAACTCAAATTGATGTTCAAAGTATAGAACCAGTTGATGAAAATATGAGAAACAGTTTGATGAGATCTGTTCAGATGGCCATTGAAATATCTACCATGTAAGTAATTTTTAGATCACTGTCGTCTTGGGAAATTCACAAGGGGTCCGAAGGCAAACCTCGCCTAACAATAATTTCCTGCATATATTAGCATGATAATGGTGGTTATATAATAGATTCTAAGGAAACTAAACAAGACAACAGATTCCCTCGAGTTTTCCATATGATTTCAAATTGATTGATTGCGACTACCAATTAGCTATTCCTAAAGGCTTTACCCTCAGTCTGCTCTGATTTAATTAAGGCAGACTTTTTCTAACTGTTGAAAGACAGTAGAAAGGAAAATAAGATGATTTTTATATCAAATCACATTCCAGGTCCACTGAAAAAGCGGCAGATCACGAAGCCAAACGTCAGGAACAAATTGCAAAAGGATTGTTAGAAAGGCAAAAGCTCCTGAATAAAAGGGAAGCGGAAGAGTCACGGAAAACCTTGGCGGAGTTGAAAGCTGTCACAGCTGCGGTCGAGTCCACTGGACAAAGCAAAGCAGAGGCACAGGTAGAGGACTAGATAATTAAATTGAAGTAGATTTTAAATCAGTAAACTCAAATTTAACTGCAACGATAACGCCTAGTCATTTGGCCCTATGCAAAATTTTTACTGTGATCACAGAAACTTTAATAGTGCACTACTACAGGCTTAGGGACCGGTCATAAAGTAAAAGGAAGTGGGTGGGCTGGGAAAAATAGGGGGGTGGGTCACTATTTTTGAGCACGGTTGAAGGGGTGGGTCATCGAAAGTTAAGCGCAATCATAAGGGTGGGCCATGTAAAAATATGCAGAAGATTGGGCCCCAGTCATTTTTTTGTGTTAAAAATTTCCGCGCAAAGAACAAGTTTTCTGGGTTTTTTGGGCTAAGTACCGAAATTTGGTATGAAAAATTAAGATAAAGTCCTTGGAAAGCAATTGCTACATAAAATTTTTTTACCTAAAAAAATTGGAAAAGGCGTGGGTCATAATTTTTCAGCACCAATTTAAGGGTGAGCTACAAATTTTCGTGCAGATATTAAGGGGTGGGCTACCAAAAGTGCAGACACCAAATATATGATTTTCCCAGCGCACCCCTTTTACTTTATGATCGGTCCCTTATGAGTATATGACATGTATATATAAATACTCCTCATTGTTTCAGGCGAAAGCAGACAAACTTCTTATACAAGGAGAATCTGCTATTGAAGGTACGAGAATCAATGACTGCCATAGTTTCCATTGCCATAAGACCGATTTACAATCTAACGAAACTTGTCTTATACGATACTCTTATTCATACTTTAATTTTTTCCATTTTGTTTTAGTTGCTAAATTGAAGGCTGAAGCATCTGCAATTGAATTTGAGGCAGAATGTGATACTGCACAAAAGGTAAAGACGGAAATTTAACATTGCTCCGTTCATAAAATGATAGCGTTTCATTTTCACATTTCGTTTGCTTCGTCCTGACATTGTCTTGATATGTGTTGTAGAAAAAAGATATGGACATAAAATTTCAAAGAGAAAGAGATGAACTTGAAATCAAGAAGAGTAAATTATTAGCAGCCATTGAAGTAAGTACATAAACGCAGGATGATTCATATACAGGCCGTTATATTTCAAACATGTAGCCTTTCTCACGCCGCCATTTTTGGGTGGCATTTCAGCTCAAGTCTGTGCGATAAGTCCACATAACAGCGACTTTTTATAATTTTTTGGACGAATGATGGTAAATTTGCTTTGTAAATGGTAGTTTATTTTGAAAAATTGCTTTGGACATTGTTTTAATTGTCTGCATTGGATAATGAAAATTTGATGCCACCCAAAAATGGCGGATATTCGTCATCGTGAGAAAGGCTAATTGGCCATTCCGAAGTTGATGAGTGGACTGGGCACGAGTGTTAAAAAGTGCCCAAATTAAGAAATGAATCAAATTACTAAAAAGACTACCTCAAAATTGGTAAGTATACAAAGTTTGAAGACGTTTACATGAATACCCTTCGAATAATAAGCTTTCGAAAATCGTGATATTTACTATGAAATATACTGTAATTTTTGTTTTGGGGGACGCGCGTTCCAAAAGCAATCTTTTAATAAGTAATTTCACAATTTTCGAAAGCTTATTATTCGAAGGGTATTCATGTAAACGTCTTCAAACTTTGTATACTTACTAATTTTGAGGTGGTCTTTTTAGTGATGTGGTTCATTTCTTAATTGGGCACTTTTTCAACTCTTAATTTGGGCACTTCATCAATTTCGGAATGGCTAATAGGTTTGGTCAGAAGGGCTTTGTTCAGAAGGATAATGTAAACTATTACCCTTAGGAAAATTTCCTATAGGAGAAATTCCTATAAGAATTTGGGACAAAATTCCTATAGGAATTTTTCCTACAGAAATTCCTATAGGAATTCCTACGTATGTCTAAAGGAGTCTCGTATTTTATCTTACAGTCTTCAAAAGTGACATCCATCATAAGTGCAATAGGACAAAAGACACTGGAAGAGATTGCCGCTGAAGGCCCAGAATGTCAGGTACGGACACCATTTAAAATTTTTCTTTGCAAATAATGAGGTTGAACTGGTGCTCCCAATGGCTTTGAAACGTGGGGCATGCTATAATTAATGAACTGCTATGGTTTGTGTCTGAACTACCTGAAAAAATATCTCAAAGTGGAGGTCCAGTGTAGGTAGTGTTCTACAATAAGCTCTCGTGATTTGTATATCTGAACCCTCTGAAAAGTATATCTCAAACGTGGAGGTCCAGTGTGGGTAGTGTTCTACAGTACAATAAGCTGTCGAACTGAACCCTCTGAAAAGTATATCTCAAACGTGGAGGTCCAGTGTGGGCACTTTTCTACAATGAACTGACGTGGTTGTGTTTGAACTAACTGACCTGACCGCGTAGCTCAGTTGGCAGAGCGTTGGGCTAGTCATGGGCGTACCGGGCGGGGGGGGGGCGGTAGTCCCCCCAGTTTGTTGGGCAGTCGGGCAATATTCGCTGAACAGTCGGGCAATTTTGGTTAATTAAAAAAATAAATGGGACAAATCCTGTAAATTTTGTGGACAATTTTGTGATGTTTCCAAAATTTTTGTAGGTTCCGGAAAATTTTGGTATGTCCGGAAAAAATTTTTGACCCCTAAAATGGTACACTGACCGAAATTTTTTTGGCGACGGGGGGGGGAGGTGGGGGGGAGGTCGTCAAAACAAATTCCGGAAAAAATTTTTTCGGTACTTGTCGGGCAAAATCCGGAAAAGTCGGGCAAATTTCTTGCCGCCCCCCCTAAATTTTTCCTTCCGGTACGCCCATGGGGCTAGTATTAAGTCGTAGGTTGGATTCCCACCGTGGCCAGGCATATTTTTCAAGCCTGCCCAGTGTGGATATACGCATCTTATTCACCTGAGAACATTACACCAACACAGCAATTTTCATGATTATTACATTACACTGATATCGAAGGAACTAGACTCAGTTCCGAAATATCGCATACTCGAACCGACCTGACCGCGTAGCTCAGTTGGCAGAGCGTTGGGCTAGTATTCCAAAGGTCGTAGGTTCGATTCCCACCGTGGCCAGGCATATTTTTCAAGCCTGCCTGGTGTGGATATACACTCAGAGTAACATCACACAAGTAACTAAAGAAGATTAATAAAATCAATTCGACGTATCGAGCAAAAGCCTAGGCTCGATTACCAGCCGTGGCCTCATGCCGGCTGGTAATCGACCTAGCAAAAACCCTTCGTCTGAAATTTGTAGCCAATGGCAAATATTGTCGGACCGACGTCAGAACGACTTTCCATAAATTTTAAAACAATGTACATGACTTCATCGAACCACGTATTAAACTAAAATCGGTCCTGGCAATGTGTAAGCGTTCTTGTGTCCCACTTTGATCATGGAAGATCAGTACATCATGCAAATAACCAACCTCGTGCCCAAGCTTCCCCAGCTCATGGTACGAGATTGCAGTCTGGCGAGGGCCTGGGCTCGAGGAATAACTTCAAAGAACCTAAACTTGCAGCCAGTTATAAAGTTGCCGTCAAAGGCACAGTTCAGCTTTTTGAATGATGGTTTTTAAGCCGCATTTCAGTCCTTTTAATTAGCACCTCTCACGCCGCCATTTTTGGGTGGCTTTTCAGCCGAAGTCTGCGATAACTCCACACAACGGCGACTTTCTATAATTTTTTGGACGAATAATGATAAATTTGCTTTGTGAATGGTTAGTTTATTTTGAAAAATTGCTTTTCATATGGTCAACGAGAATTAAATGCCACCCAAAAATGGCGGATATTCGTCATCGTGAGAAAGGCTAATTGAAAAATCTAACTATGAAAATCAATCAAGCATAATTCAAGATCAGCAAACTTAATGTTTTTAACATTTTAAAACATTTTTATTGTTAAAAACATTGAGTTTACTGATCTTGAATTACGCATAATTGATTTTCCTAGTTAGTTTTTTCAATTAAAGGGACTGAAATGCGCCTTAAAAACCATCATTCAAAAGGCTGAACTGTGCCTTTAAACGAAAGTGCTAGACTTTTCGAAGTCTTTCCTCTCGGTGTTTACTTGCTGTTCATTTCTTGCTGTTCATTTCTTGCCTTCTTATGTTGAACAGGCTAAGATGTTGAAAGGTCTTGGTATAACGAATGTTGTAATCACAGATGGGACTACACCAATCAATATGCTATCAAGACCTGATCAATGCCTCTACTGATGTAATCAATATAATCATAGTGTTCGAAGTAAGTAAATTATAGGAATTTGCACTGTAAAGCTGGCTGAAAAAATCCACTGTTGAAGTAATATCATACAACAAAATTTCAGGAATGTACAACAAAATTTCAGGAACGTGCAACAAAATCTGATTTCAGTACATGTTAGTTAAAAATGTTTACCAATGTTGTCTTGTGTTTTGTAACTTACATGCGACCATTTTTTTGTTAACATGCATTGAAATAAACTTTTGTTGCAGGTGCAACAATTTTGTTGCTTGTAATTACTTCAGCAAACCAGACAAATTTAATTTTCTCCATCACCTTAAGATTGCTCCATTGATTTTGAAAATTATTTTACCAAATAATACTAATTTAAAAAGCATACACCACACACATATTTCAGGATAAAACCTTTAAATACAATTGTATAATAGACAATTGCGTCAAAATATACTAATTACAAAGGGTCGCCACTCGTAGAAAGAACTGATTCGCAAACTACATGACCAGGCCAATTGGGAAAATAAAAAGCTAATAAAACAGTAAATACATTAAAAATTTTTACCTATAGGCACAAAAGTAGTTGCACTATAGACATAGTTAATATATTGTAAAATGGCACCAGTTCTTTTTTTTTGGAGTAGCCGATCCTTTAATTGACTATATAAATTAGAATTCACATGATATATCATAAATAATGTTGAGAACATGCAAACATTTTGGACAAACATTACTGCTGAATATACTATAACTAACTAAAATAGACATAATAAAAGTGTCTAACTAATGCACTAAATGTTCTGAGTACAACCAACATGTTGGCTTAATCTAACTAGGTACAGAGTGTCTACACATGGAGATTTAAAACTTGTATGTTGTAGAGGGGGTTCAAACTACTCCAGGTTGGGGAACCTCGGTTAGGTGTGTTTACACTTCAAACACTAACTTGAGTTAAAGTTAGCCTGGGAAATCCACAGCTTTAAAGAAGCTTTTGAAGTGTGAAACAACATGGTATGTAAAAAGCATGTGTAAACTTCACTCTGGTGTCATAGTATTTATAAAATAAAATTGAACAGTTTATAAACTGCTATCGTCAACATCCTTTCACAAACCATATTCATTTACCTATTAAGAATGCCCTAATAATTTTTTGTTATCTATATATTACTAATTTTAAAAACATTTTTTGGCCAAAACACAAATCATGCACAACTGTATAAAATAAATATGGTTTGCACATTAAGCTAGATAATAATTTTTTGTAATAAATAAATGTTTTATTGCTCCGTTGCTTTATGTTTTCTACTTTGTAAAAGAAAACCAAAACAATTTTAGGTTGCTCAAGGCCCCGTATAGACTCCCAAAAGATGTCTTCCAGGACAAACTTAGGGCAAACGTGTTTCAAACATTGACTGCACATATGCAAGAGAATTATATCTAAATATCATTTTCCAAGAAACTAGTTAGATTTTAACATCAGTCTATGGATCCAAAGATCCTATGCAGATATGCATACCTGTTTGAGAATGTACCAATGATGTAATCTGAGGTACAAGTTATTTTCTCTTAAAACTTTTATTGTATTATTATACTAAACATTGATGTATAGTCAACATTTGAAACTTGCTACATGAAATGCTGCTACACTTGTTGATCTTTTTAAACAGTGTGTATTACAATGCGATTTGAGGCTTTTTTCCAGCTAAGCATAGTTTTAGTCTGCTTGTACCTGTTACGTTTAGCCTAACGAAAGACATTCTGTGGTTCTAGTTTCATATCCTAAAAAAATTAGGGTTGGTAGGTTTTTGATTCTTTTTTGCCATCAGTGTGATCAGTTGGTATTATCAACAATTCAAGAAGCCCTACATCTAACTGTGCAAACGGACACCGTATCATAAATCCAGTAACAAAAATATGGTCAGCAGGTAAGCAAGCAACCTCAACCATATCCAAAAAGCATTAGAGTCAGCATGAAAAAAGAGGGTCGGTCAGGAAACTAGCACCACAGGATATTTTCTTAGACCTTATTGTTCCCAATATGAAGGCCATATGGACAATTAGCCATCCATATTCACACAAAGGAGTATTCAGACAATTATTTGAATCAAGTGACAGTAAGCTGATACTGTACTAGAGCAATCTTCAATGTTTAGCTTTCATCAGCTTTCTTTGCTTGACCAGACATGAATTTGTATCATAAATGACATGAATGCTTTTCTTGTATGATTTTATGAAGTATGTTTTTGCAATTAGCATGTACACTGAAGATCTAGTTAGTGTTTTTAAATTCTAGAAGTACAATACATCTACACAATGTTAAAATGCTTGATAATTTCTAGTCCATGAAATATATCCGCCTGTTTATATATGTGGGTTGAAAAACAGGCCTGATCAAGCATGGTCTGGCGAGAACGCGACGACATTGTTACCCTAGCCTGGGTCACATAATACATTTTTAAATTTCGGTTGCCAAAGACTACTGGTTATATTTGCAGGATTTGAAAAACCAGTAACCTCCTAGCTACAAATATCAAATTTCAAGCAGGCTAATTCTTGAACTGAACTTTGATCATACTTGGATAAAACAATGCGAAAATGAGCAAAGTTCATAGGGTTTTTTTTGGAAACAAATCAATTATACCATTTCACATGACCATGTTATCTTTGGGTGTTTGTTCTAGTCAAAAACCATTACAAGACCACACAAAACCATAAATCATGGTGATTGCTTGACCATTGGACTAAATACATACTTTACTATTTCAAGATTTGCAAGTCAAATAAATGTTACCAAGCAAGTCATGAAATATTGTGGCAACAGGTCAAATCTAGAATCAACTGCAGTTGATTAAATTACTTAAGAGGTATGTTAGGAATGTTCCCCTAAGACAAGGGAACAAAGCAGTAATCTACCACAACAGTGCAAGCTATGCAAACTATGATAAAAATAATCAGTCTGGGAACTTAAAATAGCCTCTTATTTGCCAAAGAATTAAGTACTATGTTTTTGTCTACAATGTAGCAACATTTCATTATTACAATTGCCCGCAGGTGTCGGCATGAGACAAAATATCTTTTCTAAATCAAAACGGAAATAAAAGTATGCCAAACAAAGGTGTCAAAAGCTCGCAAATATTTCCGATATATAACTATCGGTCGTCTTTCCTAATTTAACAATATAAAACAAAAAAATTACACTAAAATCTGCACAATAAAAGCACAGCACAAGTCAAAGTGTGCGTGTCGCGGCAGATTTGCAACATTCTAACACCGTAGGGGCAAAAACTTTGAAATCAACAATAGCGCATACCTTGCGTGTTTTTACCAACTAAACTCGATAGCCTTGTCCGATGTTAATATTGTCCTGTTCTGCGCTTTTCACTGCGTTTGTTTCAACAATAGGCGAAACGCGTTCATTGTTATTTGACTCGTTGCTTTTGATAACAGACGTTTGCACGTGCGAGTTGCCGTAAGTCGGAGAATGTCTCGCAGAATTAGGGGGAGAAGCTGGTATTTCGGATGGCTCTGTTTTAATATTGATAATCCCATTTGCATTACTGTTTTCAATTGCGACTGTCTGTGTAATAGGTTGCGTTATTACCCGCACGACTTCGTTGGGATAACTTGTTGTCACGTTACCGTTTGTTGTTGTCACAGGAGCTTGTTGCACAACTGCATTCTGACCGTTTGTTGTGTTGGGCCTGATAATTACACTGCCACCTTGCACAAATACATATGGAGTATTTATATTGTTCTTTCCAGAGCCGGGGACCTGAGTTATAATTGTGGAGGTCGCTTGATTAGTATGTTTGAGGACAGTGACATTAGAATACTGCTGTTCTTGCCATGGGCTAGGAAGGCCACCTTGAGATATGTTAGTGTATTGACCATAGGGCCGTTTCATCCCCCTTTGCCTTCGTTTTGGTTTATATTTATAGCCAGGATTATCTCGTTTGTGTTGCTTGTCCAACTTGGCTGCCTGTTCAACATACGGTTGCTTCTTTTCAGCAGGCAACATGCGCCACAGTTTACCAAGCATCTTACTTAACTCTGCATTATGAACATGAGGGTACTGCTCCGCTAGTTGTCTTCGCATTGATTGCGCCCAGATCATAAAACTATTCATAGGTCTTTTAATATGGCCTTCTTTACCGTTGTCTATCGCAAATTGCTTCGCGAGTGCCTCGTGGCGGCCATTATTGTCTTTCGCCAACTCTGCCCTTGCGATTGCTTCCATATCGAAAGTAGCCGGCCATTTCGTTTTACTTTCGTCATCAGAAGTAGCTTGTCCTTCTTTCCCGACATCGTTAATGTGTTCTCCTTTCCCGCCTTCGCTTGAGACGTTCGCTTGTGGCCCGACGCCATTGCTATGTTTGGTAAGCTCTGCTCGTGCGATTGCATCCATGTCCAAATTCGCTTGCCACACTTTGTTTTCGCCGTCAGTTGCCGAAAGAGGTTTCCCCCCTTTCCCGACGTTGTCTTGTACAATTCCCAATGAAGAAATGTCTGGTTTTACATCGAATTCTGTAGCCATGATGTTGTCTCTCTCGTTAACAAAGCGACGACTATTGTTCTTAGCCAAAGTAAAAGCTATTGTTTTCAAAGTCACGTGGCAAAAGCGTCCCTTCAGGGCTTTTGTCAGATGATACGATATGTATTTAATGAACTATTTCCTTTTGCCTCTATTGCTACCGCTTTCACTATAAAAAACTTTCCCTAAATAGCCATTCCCCTCGTGGCAAGAAGACTTGATTCAGCTAGACAGCAAGCGGTTGAGCAGCGGAAATAATGGCATTTGAAACTGAATAGCTTTGAAATAATTAATGCAGGGAACAAAAGCTTAAAAGAGACGCCGAAATCTATTGTCAGAATGAAAAGACAATATCCCATCGCTAACATTAGCTCTTTAATTTCCGTCCTGTTCAAATAGTGGACTCCGCTTTGGGAAAATTTTGAAATAAAATACTTGAAATAGAACAAAACAAAAGATCTAGTGTTTGGCGCTGTTCTCTCGCAGAGAAATCGCCGTCTTGTCCTAATCCCAACAATTCTATAAATATTTCGTAATAAAATATTTAGCATTTCACTCGTGCCTTTGTGTGGGCGCTAAGAATTAGTAACAAACGAAGATTAAGAACTTCAGTCTTACAGAAGTAATGAAATATGCTAACAAAGGCAAAGTTATGGCAATGCAAGAATCTCATTTCCACTTATTCGGTTTCGTGGTACCCTGTAAAGTTATTAGTAAAGTCCTAACTGAGTCCTGAGAAACAAAACTTTCTGAGCTTTTGTGATATTATCATTATTATTCTATATTGTGCGTTGTCGACTTTATTTTTCATCGTCGCTCTCTGAAGACCAGGCACTATTTTTTTGTCTCGAAAACAAAGACATTTGCAATTAAAGTTGCAAAGAACCGCAAATTGCATTGAATTATTAATTTTTTTCCAAAATAGAGCTAATATCAACAATACGCGCGCTGCTAGCCTTTGTTTTGCCCACATACAATAATTTATGGGCGACAGATGATTTGTCTCAATGTATATCTGCTTTCAAGTATTCTATTGAACATTGGCACCTCAATTGGCACATTGCCATTGACTTTGTTTTGCATTACAAAACCGTAAACGTCAAAGCAATATTATATATTCTGGCTCATTGATTTTCAAGGCTTGTTATTTGCATTTGTTTCAAACTCATTTCAAAAAGTATTTAATTGTTATGTTAAGTTGGAATTTACCAGACAAATATCTGAAATATTTTCCTGTGATATGTTTTATTTGTCTAGGCTGAAATCAATTTTAACGAAGAAAATATCATGAAAATTACTAGAAAATTATAATACATTAACCCATCCTTTCTGTATACAGTCAAGATTGTTGTCAAGCAGATACAAGTTCGGCGCACTGCCTGTTGTTCCCAGTTGTTGTGACAAGTCTGGAACAAGATTGATGACTCTGTTATTGTAGATGACGGTATTAAGCAAGACTTGCTTCAAGATATTTCAACAAGAATTGTTCGTAACAGAATTGCTACGATACGTGCAGACAACTTGTTAGAACAACTTTTTGCAAGTCTGTTGGCCTAGCTCATCAATCTTGTTACAACTTACAAAATGGTAACAGCTTGACAACTGTGTGTTTGCAACTTCGCAGTTTTTGCGCGCGTCACGCGTGAACGAATGAAATCAACCAATCACACGACATTCCACGCGTGATATTTAATTACACAGCTCGCACCCGCCATATTTGAATTTATATAGAAAACCCAAAATGCAGAAAAGCGGCTTTCCTGTCAATAAAATAATGCTTCCCACTGAAAGACTTATCTTCTTTTATTCACAACAAGCTTATTTAGCAAATGTGAAATCACTCAATTAGCTGTTTGTGGTGGAAAAAACAGTATTGGACACTATTGGTAAAAAGTACAATTATTTACTACAATTAGACAGCCTAAATTAGTAATTAATAATGATATTTTCTTTGTTGGTGTAATGTACTCAGGTGAATAAGATGCTTGTGATGTTGCCCTGAGTGCATATCCACACCAGGCAGGCTTGAAAAATATGCCTGGCCACGGTGGGAATCGAACCTACGACCTTTGGAATACTAGCCTAATGCTCTGGGCTAGCATTCCAGAGCATTGGGCTAGTATTGCAAAGGTCGTAGGTTCGATTCCCACCGTGGCCAGGCATATTTTTCAAGCCTGCCTGGTGTGCATATACACTCAGAGTAACATCACAAGCATAGTAATTAATATATTAAAGTACTGTTTACTTCACCAGAATACCTGCATTATTCAATATTCCTACCCACCATAAGGGGGGGGGGGCAGACTGATATGATGGCCAAATATTCTTACTAATATTAATAATATTAACAAAACCCAGACTAGATTGGATGGGGACAGATTGACAAAATTTGGGTCAGAACAGATTAACAAAACCTGATCCATGTATACTTGTGCTATTCTATAAGGGAGAAACAATAATGGCATGGCTGAATTTTATTTAATTTATCTAGTTTAGAATAGATTGCCTGCTGTTACGTTTATAGAAGACCCTGGGGACGAGGTTGATCATTGGATTCACTAAATCACCTGTCATAGGCAGACAATGCCTGGTTGAATGCATGGCCCATCTGTATGAGATTGATCAACTCCTGCTGTGGAAAGTTGGTATCATGCGAACAGGATCTCCGGCACTCAGTTTCAATATGTTTTATACCATTTTGCTAATACAAATCTCTTCTAGTCCCAGTCCTCCCTGGGAGCAACAAAGCAGTATTCTGGCTCGTACCAGTCCTTTATCAGGGTAAACATTTGGTCAGGTACTGATTTCTGCCATGAGGAGGACTGGGACTAGAAGACATTTCCATCGGATGTGTATGCATGGTGTACCTATTTTTAAACCCATCCCACTGCAGTGGGCTCCATCTGTTATGGCGTCAGTACTTCACATATATTTGTTCTTTAAATTATCTAAAATTTCTGAAACATTGTTACTCTAAAATCTTGTACCCCCCTTATACACTACAACTTGATCAGTATGCTTTGTTTGGCAGAATTAAATTGCACTTTATTAAATAATGGTAGAAAATCAGTTAGTATTTGATTGGGAAAAAATCTTAAATTTACTGATCACAAACTTTACTACAGGTGGTTGCAGGTATAATATGGCAACCAAAGCAGCACAACAATATTTATTTTTCTCCGTAATTTTTATTTTATTTCTGGATTTTAAACAATGATCTCCGATAAATCGAGTTGCTATGCCCTCTGCTCCATAACATTATTATTATGTTGTCTCAAGTTTGGCAACAGTAGAGATTTTGCAACAAGGAAATGTGAAGATCTTGACTTACAAAATGACATGCGATTTTTTTATCGCTCTACAAGACAGTTTATTCATTGGCTTCAGAGAGACTCACCTGATGGTATGGCCACGCTAGGCTAGAGTAAATGCTTTATAAATCTAACAGTCTAATAAAATATGCTCTCGTCCTGTGGACCTGATAGAAATAAGATTGGCTGATGGTTAAAATATTAATAAAGGACCCGATTTATCATGTCCACAGAAGTTGGGAATTAAGGTCATGGAGCAACGCTATTATGCATAGTTTAAGAGAGTAACTCCAAATTCAAAATGCGTGTTTCAGAACTTTAAAACTCTAGTTGAATTATGGAGGGACAGGCCAACTCAAAAATTTATTTGAAGGCAATGGAGCTATTTATGCCAGAACAGTAAATTCGATAGAGTCGAAACGAGACTCCGCAAAAGAGTCGTTCTGGGGTTGACGCCCAGAACGACCCTTTTTGGGGTCGTTTTAACTCATTTGAGTTTTCAGTGAGGAGCTACTTTAAAAGCTCTAAAAATCATCGGCTATACGTCCTTAAAAATCAAGTGCACAGGCATGCGATTTATAGTGGAGATCGATCATCGGTGAAGACACATCATCCATCTCACGGATCACTATGTACGTCTCGGTGTAGAAAAGACGTGCTATTTAGAAGAACTACCTAGAATCATGCGATCTAGTGCAATGATAGGGGAAACTAATTACGAGACAATCGGGCAGCTGTTTTCGCAGGCTATGCTAATTAGAGTGCGATAATGCGCGTACTTTAATACGTACCGCAGGTACGGTCAGGTACATCTTTGTTTTCAGCCAGGTACTATGCAGATACGCGGGACTCTCGCCATATGACCAGCAAACTCAAACCCGTGTATGTGTAAATCCTACGGACATATCCGATATGTCTTGTCCAATGGTCTTGTGAGGAAACATGATTTGATTACTAATGGGATGAGATGTTGGAGTCAGTCATTTATGCAAATGTGCTCTTGTTCTGTCTCCAGTCATGGCGAAGCTAGCCATAGCAACAGGTCATGCTATGCAAATTTTTAATGATTTGTAGTATTTAAATGCAGGTTTATTACCATAGCATGACCAGTTGCCATGGCTAGCTTCTCCACTGGTTTCAGGTTAATGCCATTCAGAAATCTATGCTGTATGTACTTTATCTTAACGACTAAGTGAGTCTTAAGTTTGTACTAGCGTACAAACTATGGCTGTCATAAAGTAGTACCATCTTGAGACTGATAAGGTACGTTTCTTGTCCGGTCCAGACTTATACGTATATATAAGGGATCCTGCACAAAACAATCCAATTCTGAATTGTTTCAATTAATATAGAAATTTTCAAAGAAGTCATCGGCAACTGGAATAACAAAACAGCCAATGTTAAAAGCAAGGTAATTTCGTTACTCTGGTGGAAAGACAGAGTTTACTTAACACGTCCTCGTGCCCAGGTCCATTTGGTATAACGAATGTCCTCATTGCACGAAATTGCATTTGCAGATGTCACTAATGGTATCTGTAGAAGGCACTCTTATACTAACTATACATACAAGATTATATCTACATCGCACGTAAAAAACTCACAAGTTAGCAATGCTGTTCCAACAACTTAACAGGATGTGTTCGCACTGCTTGTTCCCAGCTTGTTGACAAGTCGTCAACGGCTTGATGATAACTTGCTACAAGGTTGTTGAGCTCAACATATATGTTACAAGTGGTTCCCACGACTTGTTATCGTCCTGCGGTTCAACAATTTGTCAACAAGTTGTGAGTAACAACCTTGATAAAACAACAACATTGTTACAACTTGTTGACAAGCTTGCTACAAGCCTGTTGCGAACACATCTTGTTGACAAGACTGATTTTTCTCGTTGATTTTTACGTGTGTAGTTGCATCGTACACACAGTCCCGCCTATACGAAACTCTATAAAACCGACACCTGCATGTAATATACGTTTCCGACTCACTAACATCGTTCGACTTAATTTTCCAGATTGCTAATTATGAATGGCCATTTTTTCTGGTGTGTGGAATTCTATTTTTCTCGGCGTTTGCTATATCCGTCACTGGTTTTGGCATTATTTTGTACAAGAAATTTCAGAAAACCAACAGACACGACAAATCTGTGGAAAAAGCTGATAAATCTGGGTCTGATCGCTACATGTTCATTCTCGCCATCGTGTCTTGTTTCTTGATGTACGTATATTTGAAGCATAGTTTTGGCGATGGAAATTATCGATTGGAAATTCTATATACATTTATTGGACCTAACCAGGAATGGCTGCGAAAAATACAACTATAGGTCCCTGACAGGAATTGAACCTGCGAAGCGCAGGACCGCAGGTTCGATTCCTACCATGGACCTATACAGGGTGTATAAAAAAAAACGCAACCTCGGAATTTCCAAAGAAATCACTGTGCAATTCTTAAGCATAAAAGATTTTAGGCCGCTGGGAATTGAAATCGAATTGCTAATAGATCATATTACTGTTGTTGTGCATTAAATAAATGCATAAATTTTGCTTTATGCACTCGCGTGTGCAGTAATTTTGACAGTTGTGCTATTTTAAATTCCCAGGCGCCTAAAATCTTTTGTCTTTAAAACAATGTCGATTTCTTGGGAAATTCCGAGGTTGCGTTTTTTTTTATACACCCTGTACAGGGTGTCCCCCAAAAAAGTGACACTATAGAAATTATCTCATTGTTCTTAAGCCGCTCTTAAACGCGCGTGATTACACGCCTGCGAATTTAATGAACTTGTATTTACATTTAAGCATTTTAAAACGTTTTCGCTTTGTCCAAATATTTTAACGCCCGAGTCAAGCAAAACGATTACACTAATAAACGGTTTGCTTTTTTATTTTAAATTCCAGAAGCAGAAGTTTATGCACCTGTGGGATCAACTTAGTGCTAGGGCATTCAAATTATAACAATAGGATAATTTCTATAGTATCACTTTTTTGGGGGACACCCTGTAGAGGGTATCACAAAAAAAACGCTATGGAAATTCAACAGGCTGTCGTGCATCATAAACGTGGCTAAACAATTCAATTTTTACATAGGACGAAAGAACAGTTATTTAGCTTCTCAATGATACTTTTTTTTAAATCGTAACGATGAGAAATGGCCACATACTCGCCAAATAAAAATTGCCGGTCGAAATCACATTCTTCCACCGTTGGGAGTTGCATGAAAAACGAACAATAAACAATTCCCAAGTGGGAATTGAAATTGAATCTTAAATTATCTAAAATAAGCTCAACTACTCAATCTTTGTCTTAGTTAGACCATAAGAACGTCCATTATTGCATTAAACATTGTTCAATTAACCCCTGAACAGAGAACATTCGTAATCAAAACGTTTTACGAAACAAGTACCTTGCAGAAGGCTCGCGTTGCTTTTGAGTTTTGGATTGATTAACTTTGCATAATTAATGTATTTTCAATTCCCAACGGTGGAAGAATGCGATTTCGACCGACAATTTTTATTTGACGAGTATGTGGCCATTTCTCATCGTTATAGAATAGAATAGAATAGAAACTTTATTTCACGAGGGAAAACGTATTAACCATAAAAGTTATCTAACATACGGCCCTCGCACTATTTTGATATTTACAGGCATAAGAAGTATTAAAAATTACGACTATTTACATATGAGAAAAAAAAAAATTAGTTATGAATACAATTGCAATTTAGTAAATATTTACAATTTATACAAAATAGATCTTCGATATGGTTAGTAAGGTTAAGCTTGTTAAGAAAGATTTTACGAATTTTTTGTTTGGCGTTAGTATATGAAGAGCAAGATGGCGAAGCAGCAAGTTGCTTGCAATCGCTATCTAAGCAATTAAAAAGAATGGAAGCACTGTACAGAAATGTTAAGGTTACGGTTTAAGAAAGGTATCATAGAAAAGCTAAATAACAGCTCTTTGAACTGTTTAGTTAAGTTTGTGATGCACAACAGCCTGTTGAAGTTCCATAGTGTTTTTTTTTGAGACACCCTGTAGTTGCATTTTTCGCAGCTGTTCCTGGTTACGTCTAATATATGTATATTGAATTTCCACTCCATAATTTCCATCTGCTAAACCCTCCAACTATTATTTTTCAATCCACTGTGACATATAAATAGTTACAAAAATATTTTAACATGATATTTAAAAGTGTAGAGGTACTGCCTTCCTAAAATTACTGAAAAGCTAAAAAAGTTAGGAAGCCAGGAAACATAAAGTAAGTTACATTACAGGTCGAAGATACACTACTGATACACACAAACACAAAACTATACTGTATTTACACATACACTGATACAAGTTCTACTACAAGTTTAACTATTATAATAAAAAATTGAAACGAGGAGCAGAAATCAATCTTAATATTGAATCTTATTACAAATGATCTAATAGACGCCCTGGGGCCGATTGTATCAAGCCCGTTTAGCTTAAACGATGTATAAGTCAAAATTAAATAACACTCTTATATTTTGCTGCTAGGAAAATCCAAAAATAAAAATTTCCCGTATAAACCAAACGTATAAGACGTCCTGCGTAGCTAGGGTTCAGATAGTGTGCTGTACTACTGCCATCATTTCCCGCACATGACAAAAAAGATTTTCCTGAGCTGGATGTAAGAAAATTTCCTGCCAAGATACTTTCAGTTAGAAATTTCCTGGCAGCGGTGCTGATGGCGCCAGACATTTTCAAGTACTGACGCAGATAGTGCCAAGCTCTACGTACCTAAGTGGTACTTGGCTGAAAAAAAGTACCAGGCCGCAAAGTTGGCGTGTCTCCGGTACGTAAGTGCACGAATTGTCCCACCCTGTTTAATTAAAAGGGGGGCGTTTAGTGGAAAAAAATCTCTAGTGTGCGGCATTTATTGCTACAATACTGGGGCGAAAAATTGGTAGACTTCTTGAATCTTCATATCTTGCTCCCTTCCCCCTGTACAATACATATGTTGGTATTTTGGTGATATGTGTTGCAATCCACTTCACCTGTTCGGGCGGGGGAGGGGGGGGGGGGCGTTCGGGACAAATAGTCGGTTCAGTTAAAAAAAATACCCAAGTTTTCATTACATGTTTTCAAATTTGGATATAACTTCCAAGATTGTACATACTGCGCTTTTGCTCTTCTTGATTTGAACAGTTTGCACAGTCGATAATAGATCATAAATCGGTAATTTGAATATTTAATTAAATCGAATAAACGTCCTTGTACACTCTAAAAACACTCTGCATGGCAACCTAGGCCTTCTATTTTTATTTATATTTTTTTAATATTCAGCGCTTTTTCACATGAAAAGACTGGGACTAGGTGATTTGGGGGCGGGGCGGAGGAAGGACGCAAATGACCATATTGCGATAATTACCAAATGCTAGCCGGAAATTAACCAAACCTGCCAAAGATACCTGCCAAAGCCAGCCGAGTAAAGGCCTAGGTCTAGGCTGTCTGCATGTTTAAAATGTCCTGGGGCCGGTTGTATAAAAAAGTGATTAAAGTTAACTATAATTAAGTGCAAACGTCATCCAATAAGAAGCGCGTATTTGAGAGTTAATCACTATTTAACTACAAAATAGTGATTAAAAAAGTGATTAAGAGTTTTATACAACCGGCCCCTGGTTAACCTTGAATTAATCCCATTTGGTTAACTTGGGGGGTGGCACCGAAGAGAAAAGGGTTGGGTAAACAAAATTTTGAGTGAGTAAAAAGTTGGGTAAATGAAAAACAAAACAACTCAAGGGTTGGGTAATAAAAATTTATTGTCATTTCCAAAGCAGACTCACTGAAATATTGAAGACTAAAAAGCAATGTCAGCAGCCATATTTAAATCCAATATGTGAATCAATCAGAGCCGCTGTCTTGACCATTTTCCGATTTGTCAGGAGACAAATGGTGTCTCCAAAGAAACTACATGTGCAAACATTATGAAACTTTAGACTGCGGAGAATTTCACAAGACGTTATCAAACTCATGTCACAGAAGTGGTAAAGGACATGTGCAACAACTGAATGGCATCCTTTTGTAAAGTTTTTTGGCCAGGGGTGGGGTTTTTTTTTAATTGATATTTGAGGTTGGGTAATCAAATTTTTGATTTTTTAATGGTTGGGTCAGCAAAATTTTGGCCACGAAAAACATTTCTCTTCGGTGCCAGTCCCCAACGTAAATAATGACCGGTCCCTTACCTGGTTATTCTAACCTGTTGTTTAGTAAATTTAACCGGGACGTCTTGGTTTAAATCATCAAGATACCATGGTCTGGAAACTAAACAGTGTTTGTTACATGTTTTGTTTTGAGTTTATACTCATTTGTGCACGGTCACGGTGATTGAGCTCATTGTATTTTCGTATAATTAAGTAATCGTCCAATAGGGAAAGCTGATATGAAACGTGCAGCCACGAGGAATAATATTTAATGAAATTGAGACAAAGGATTTGTGCACTGTGAGGTACAGTTCAATATCAAACAAAGGTCTTCTATTTTGTGACTTTGAAGTTTTCCGGGATTTCAGAATTCAGACCATCGTATCTTAACACAACAAGGGTAAATTAACCAGATTATGTCAGGAAGAACAGTCCTGAGATTAGCCTGCGAACAGGCTCTCAAGCTGAATTGAGAGCCTGCATCGATGACTAATGAATTTGAATATCTGCGTCTCAAATCGTGACGCGAAATTCTCATTGGTCAGATGCTATAATTTATATGTTTCCGCTGAGCTCTATATATGTCAACTGCTGAAGCACTATGCATAAAAACACATTAACTGATCAAATTGGTCTTGGCCATCTTATCTCAAAGCACGAAATGTTCTGTTTTGAGAAAACAGTATTTAAAACATTTAAACTTTTGCTTGAATATCTTATATTTCGAAAAATAGTATAAACTGTACGGTCTAAATTTAGTTTGCACGGTCTAAATTTAGTTTGCACGGTCTAAATTTAGTTTGCACGGTCTAAATTTAGTTTGCACGGAAGTTGTAAACAACACCAAATAAGGATAGACATTCCATATTTGGAAAAACGAACGTTACGGGGCAGATATTCAAATTCATTAGTCATCGATGCAGGCTCTCAATTCAGCTTGAGAGCCTGTTCGCAGGCTATCCTGAGATGTGTCACTGTGTGTATCGAAGAAGTGAGATCAGATATGTCACTGTGTGTATCGAACAGGCACCGAAGAAACGTCCTGAGATGTGTCACTGTGTGTATAGAAATGCATTTCACTCGGAGTTTTGAAAGTGGCCTGTTTAATTATTCTAATTTTCATTGTTTCCTCTTAGTTGATAAATAAGTTTATTGATATAAATCACTTCAAGACAGATGTGTTGGTCACACATGCCCCCTAAATATATAAGGCTGAATGCCCCCTTTCAAATGATAAGCCAGAGGTGGAATTTATTTTCTCAGAAATGTTGAAATGGGAAATTTCATTTCTGGGAAATGTTTCAGAAAATGTTGTTTTTTACTCAACATTTTCTGCAAAAGATTACAATATAATATTAGAGGAAACAGTCTTTTTTATCTTACATGGATTATGTTCTTTAATAAGATATGTTGTCGTATGAAGCAATATGTCTTAAAACTGATAAAGCATACAAGATAATCCTGAAGTAGTCATAGTAGGTACACGGATTAAAAACAAATATCCTAGGCTACATTATAATATCTTCGTTGCGAACTGTAAGTTGGTTATCGATTTAGTAGAACAATTTGGTATTCAATCATTTCAAAGATCGGGTATTTAGTAATTTTGATATTCAATCAGTATAATTTTGAGAATTAGCTATGAAACATAAAGAAAAATGTCTGAAAATTTCTGCAAAAATGGAGATCCCCAAATAATTTCTGGGAACAAGTGTGGGTCTCCAGGTTTCAATACTTTTCCAGCTCTGTGATAAGCATTGTGATTATAACTTTTGTTTTAACGTTCCAGACTAACAGATGTCTGTTTGTTTATCTCAAACAATCGTCTCTCAGAAGATCTGCCTCGTGCCAGAGAAACGCTGATAAGTTCTGTTGATGACCTGCAAAATTTTCAAAATAGCACAGTTCAGGTTTGTTGATTCTAAAATTGTTGATTTTGGTTATCTTGTCATGAGCGTATTTCTTCCTAAAGGCTCTTTTTCACTCAACGGAATTTTGAACTAAATTTGACCACAAAATCTCAAAATTTCCTGGCGAAGTCACTTTACCCCAAGCCTGTCCCCACTAGCGGCTGTGCCCCCCCCCCTCCCCATACCCCTGCTGCAGCTCATGCTAGGCGGCACTACGCACCCCTCACTACCTCCCCCCTGAATTTTCGACACCCCCCAGAGCAAAATCTGAAAATCCGTCTATGACTGATACATGATCAGTGAAATGTATTAACCTGTGCAATGACAAAACTGAGCTATATGCATGTGATTATATTCAATCCACGAAAGCTTTTGTGATGTCATGTAGGGACATATGGAAAACTGTGTTGATAACAGATTTATCATCTTAATTGGAAGAGCTAGATTAAAACGTGTCTGGCATTTTTTTTTTCAGGAACTAGACCACATCTTGCGTGATGACTTCGATAGGGAAGTTGGTGGTTCACTGAATCAGTTTCGAGGTACAGTATGTTTGTGACAAACGATCACACAGAAATGAATAAACGGTTATAGATGTATTTAGGCAAGAAAAGCCTGAAGTTGGATAAACTGCAGGTTTTTAAAATAAAGAATGAGGTATCAACTTTTGTCTCTCGACCAAACCATATCTATGTCCAAATGAAATTTTTTAGCTGCCCATGTGGCACCAATTTGATTAATAAGATCTAGTCGCCGAATTTTATATCAGGTCGTCTGGTCATTTTAAATCAATGTGTTATGAAATAGTCTCTTTGCATATAGATAACATAAAAACAGTTGTTTAGTATGTTATACAGAATCAAATACTTGTTCATTGAGATATTTTAAAGTTTTTTTCCTCAGTCGCCATGAGGGCTACCATTGGCAAATGTCTGGTCGCCAGATGAAAAATTGACCTCAAGGACAAGGATCCATTCTTGGGCCATATTGCCATATAATGTTTCAAATGTTGTTAAGGCCCATTTTCACTCAAGAAAAATTTTCACGGACAGAAAATTTTCCGAAAATATCATGGTTAAAACTCAGTAAAAGTTTTTTTTCCAACGGAAAATTTGTGTTGGCCAACCACATTTTACAAAATTTTCTTTCTGCGGAAAATTTTCCTGAGTGGAAATGAGCCTTCAGGATTATCATAACCAAACAAGTTTCCTTTGCATTAAAGCTCTCGCTGATTGCAGTACCAGTGGTTTACATTCAATTTTAACGAAAAGACAAGTCCATTTCAACAAAGCATCTGAATCTGCACTCTCAGGTATAGTTGTGAGCAGATCATTTACATTTGCCATTCGTTTTATTTCATGAAAGTGTCCGCGCCGCTGAATCTGCGATTTTCCGCCATTGAAAGTCAAAAACTTATGCATAAATTATATACATGTACAGTTCGTATCCAGTCCTTCTATAACAAGCCCGAAAGAGCAAGAAAGGTTTTCATCCAAATCTAGCCATTTTTTGGTGGATTCGTCCTTGAACTACGGCTCTTACACAAACTTTCGTTGAAACTGTACCAACAAACAAACAAACAAACAAACAAACAAACAAACAAACAAACAAACAAACAAACAAACAAACAAACAAACAAACAAACAAACAAACAAACAAACAAACAAACAAACAAACAAACAAACAAACAAACAAATATATATACTTACACCCCTGGTTATAAATCACCGAACTATAGAATCAGTAATTATAGAATGTTCTGTTTCTATGGTATATCGAACACTTTTGTTCAAAAGTATATTTTCTGTTACTTAGTATTACTCTTTAAAGAAGTTAGTTTTGGAAATTTTAATGTAAGGGCTATGGAAAGTTTTTGAAAAGTTTTGGAAATTCAAACGGACGAAGCTGTATGAACCCTGGCTTCACCTTCTCATCCAACATTCCTTGATGAGCATTGTTGAATGGTGTTGAACTGATTTGAACGATTCTTTACATTTTAGTAACAATATGCTCTGTATATTTTGTGCCTTTTAGCTCTGTACAAAACAAGAGACATGTTATCTCGCATTAATATGACACTGGGTGCACTGCATGAAATTTCAACTGGTCTGAGGTCAGAACTTGGAAAAATGAATCTTTATTTTAAAGAAGCTAAGCGACTTTGCTCCAGTTCTCAGCAAATAATCAGTGAGGATATCTGCAAGAAGTTTGTTAATGAAAAAGATCTTTTCTCGCGTCAATTACCGCAAGAGGTAGGGGAATGCATGTTAAATTCGTTTTATTGTTAATTCGATCGTGAAAGTGTATCTAGTAGCTAATATATTAAATTGAGTGTTGCAGTTTGGTTCATTGTCTTGGTCGGAATTAGAACTGAAAGGTTATTTCGCTGGCCTAGTCAGAGTGACTAGGGCCGCCGAGAGCTTCGCGGGGGCCTGGGGCAAATTTTTTTAGGGGCCCCTATTTCAAAGTTTTTTCCGGAAAAAAATTTTTCGGTCAACAACCTCCCCGTTGTAATTGCTTTCCAGCGACTTTACCTCAATTTTTCATACCTAATTTCGGTACTTAAACCCGTACTTTGCCCAAAAAAAAACAAATATCTTGCCCTTTGCGCGGAAATATTTCACCCAAAAAAATGACTGGGGCCCGGAGCAATTTGCCCCTTCCCCCGCCTCTCGGCGGCCCTGAGAGTGACAAAACATAGCAAAGCAACGGTTTTACTAAAGCCAGTTCTCCACTAGGCGAATTTGTTCGCGCGAACAGTAAAAAAGTAGGAACTGATCCAACTTTTTCGCGGCGAATTTTTTCGCTGACCAATCACATTGCCAAGATTTGTTTTTCGCTTCGCGTCGCGCGAAAAAAATCGCCTAGTGGAGAACGGGCTTAACGGCACTAACCCTATTCTAAACACCAACTCTAACCCTAACCTAACCTAACCCTACTCCAAGTTTGTTTCTAAACCAATCTTGAAGAAAAATGTCATTCTGAGGTCAACGAAACAAATGTCATTCTCGGAGGTCAGCGAAATAACTTTTTCCTTCTTGCTCCTATGAAAGTATGAATGCCAATAGATCTTAGGTTGACCTCCATATTTTGCTCTGTAACGCTATAGACAACCACCATTTAAAATAATTCTGCATTGCTTCATCCAACTTAAAGGTTGTTGGAACTTAAAGACATTGACAACTGAAAAAATTAGTTTGTCTCATTCAAAAGAACTCTTAAAATCATATATTAAACTCTATTACAGATTTGTCCTATGTTGTTTAGTTCTCGACTGAATATTTAGACCGAATTAATGAGCTATCCGCTATCTTGGACTACTGATTCTTGACCTCATTAAAGCCGGTTTTCCACAACGTATCAAAAACGTTTTTAAATTTCAAAATTTCGTGAATGTTGATCGGTTAGTACTTCCGTAGTACGCCAAAAAGTTGACTTGCGACGAACTTTTTATTTTACAAAAATAATCGACCAATAACAACGCTCAGAACAGAACAGGAAGTTAGGAAATTAAAACAGGAAGTTAGGAAAATTTAAAATGAAGTTTGGAATATTGCAACAGCCGATAGGAACATTGCAAATTCCCTCAAGGGATTTGCAAAGAGTTTTTCAAATTTGCAAAGCTAATGAGGAAAATTCCAAATGAGTTACGAAGTCAAAAGAGGAACGCTTCACGTAGTTTACCTGTAATACGCGAATACACCCGGAAGTACGTGGATTTATAAACCACTTTTCAATCTGCGCATGCTCACCAGTACGTTTCGCTACGATACGGGCGAAGTGGAAAACCTGCTTAACTATGGTTTTGATGACGTCAGGAGTTGGGTTAACCATATAAAACTACTCTAAATGACCGAGTAACAATCCAAAATTGTTTGAAATGTTTTTAATTATTTCTAAATTTTAGACAGCAACCAGAAACGAAGTTTTGGACCAATATTGATCGCTTACTCTCAAGATAAAAAATGAGCGTGACTTTGACGTAACATGAATATCCTCAATAATCCAAGATGGCGAACAGCTCACTTTTTTCAGTCGAAATATTTTGAAAACTAAGCAAGTTTTAAAATATATAAACAATCTGTAATAGAGTTTAATATATAGTTTTGGGAGTTCTTTCAAATGAACTAAACTATTTTTATTGCCAATGTCCTTTAAACGTTATTTATCTTAAAAGTATGTGAACCAAAGGTGATCTTGAAAGTTTTTTTGCCTAGGTGTCAAACAATGTCACAGAAGTTACTTCCAGACTTGATAAATTTTTGAAGCATTTGAACTTTTCATCAGTTAACAAGGTAATCTTTCTTCTTTCTTACGATCAATACGATATAACTCCATTTTTATTTTTATCTTCGACCTTCAAAGCACTGGTACCCCTATATCTCCATTCATAAGTGTTATCGTTACAGTGACCATTTCTTTGCTGTAAATCAGTGGCAGCCTCGTACCCAGGCGCAAATAACGTACTAAAAATAGCAACACTGCAGTGTTTTTATATAGATCAGTGGCTAAGATGAGCGAGCGCGCGGGGGTGCTTGGACAGGACACGACGGGATTCTGCTTCGTTTCCCGCGTCCTCCCCAAGCACCCCCGCGCGCTCGCTCATCTTAGCCACTGATCTATATAAAAACACTGTAGTGTTGCTATTTTTAGTACGTTATTTGCGCCTGGGTACGAGGCTGAATCAGTGGCGAAACTAGCAACAGTCATGCTATGCAAATTTTGAATGATTTGCATTATTCAGTAGCCAGTTGCCATGGCTAGCTTCACTGTTGTAAGTTACGGTGACCATTAAGTCTAATTTATTTTCGTTACAATGACCATCTGAGGAGAATTTTGACGTATCCAAGGAGGAACTCTGATACATACATTTGCCGAATTCATCAATTATACATTTTTTATTGTTGTTGTAGATCCTAAAATCCCAGGAAGATATTGAACGTACTTTATGTGAAGAAAGATCGGGCAAATTGAAAGGTAACGAATTTCCACTGCAGGTCCCAGATCATTCTCGTCCCCAGGCCCATGGTCGCACGGAGCCGTTTGAGCATGAGCGTGGGGACGAGGATGGGTCCAGGTAAGTTACGCTCTCCTCCAGCCTAATCCCCAATCTCGTTACCTCCACGAGAGGAAAGAGCCTGAGAACGAGATTGGCTAGTCCCAGGCTCTTTCAGTTTTCCTTTTCTATTCGCCATTATAATACTGTTGCCTGGGTTAGCTGTGCATATGCGCCAAGCAGTGACGTCATAACATAGCTCTTTGTGATGCAATATGTTATTTTGATTGGTCCAAAAACTGGCTTCAGTCGCTTAAATTCGCGAAGTCTTTGCAGTCCTGGTGTAGGCCTCGGGTTAGTTTCACTTAAGGAACACTTTATGAATATTTTCCGTAATAGTAACAGTGCAACATATTCTACAAAAAATGTTCAATTTGTCTTATGGTTAGTTTATTCCATCGATTGCGTAAATAAGTCACTAACGTACGTAACAAAGTATCAAAATGTCGATTTCAATGTTGCCAGCGTCAATGTTCTACTGTACTTTCTTTCGCAAAGAGCGAGATTCGCAATCAGGTTAAATTTTTTCGATTGTATATCAAGCTTATCTATGCGCGACGTGCGTGCTTCAGAGGGACAGACCGGCTGCTCGCTTTTTAAGGAAAAAGCCTGACAAGAGTACGAGAGTCATACATAACACGAGCTGCGATATTTGGTAATTTATAACTTTAATCCTGCGTATCACAATCGTCTTATATTATAATCTTTACAGCTTTGTATGTATCCATATATGATTTTGATACAACTATATTCTAATATTACTATTTAGGTTCGCCTGTACCACGATAGCAAACTATTAATTAGGCCTCGTCCCCACACATAAACGAACTCGACTGTTACGTCATCGTTTTCGTCAGTTTCCACGCGACCACACGAACACCTTGTCATGTCACATCTTCAAATGTTTTCGCTCTAGAGACCGTTTGCGTTTTTGGTAGGTGTATTTGCCGAGTGTGGACAAAAAGCGAATCGTGACAAAATGTTTGCGAATTCAAACGAATCTGTATAATGGCGTAGACGAAGCCTTCAGGCGTCGGTTGTTCAAAGATAGATTAATTAGCGCTAACCCCCAGTAGTTTATGACGAGGAATTGTTTTCCAAGAAATATGATCAAGAAGATATATTATCCCCTGACTATACGCGGGTTGCCCCATTTTGTTTAACGATTTTCGTAGTCTGTGCACCCTAAATTTCTGGGTGTTGCTCAATTGCTGTAACACCAAAATGGTGAAAATCACTGCAGCCTTGTTGACATATTGATTTAGGGTAAATGTTAACACCATTTATGTGTTAATGAACACCACTTTTACACCCAATCAGTGTATTTAAACAACTGTAACACTAATTTCTAACTAAAGGCTGCATTCCAGTTATGCGTTTTTCATACGTACGTACACGCACGTAAAAGTTGAATTCGCTTTACATCCTACTTATGAAATAACTAAATTTATAAAAGGACAGCATTCAGTTTTGTGTATGATTTAATGTGTATTTGTTAAGGTTATTTGCACAAAATTTTAAGCGAATTCAACTTTTACGTGCGTGTACGCACGTATGAAAAACGCGTAACTGGAATGCAGCCTTAATTTCTAATTGGGTGTAAATATACAAAAATCGGTGTTGACATTTACACTAAATCATGCAGTCTCTGCAATGATTGATTCACACCATTTTAAAAAACTGGTTCAGTCTCACTATCAAACTAGTTTCTGTGACCACAGTGGGAATTTTGCATATAGGCACATTCTAAGTTTTGAAGGTTTTGTAAGAAATGTTTGAAGGGAACTGACTTAAGGCTGATTTCCACTGTTGCGTTTTTCATGCGTACGTATACGCACGTAAAACCTTAAATCCGTTTCAATGTTACTTGTGAAGTAACCAAATAGATAAAGCAACAGAATTTAGTGTTTCGCAAGTTTTAGTATGCATTTGTTAACTTATTTGTAAAACATTTAAAAAATAGAAGGTTTCAAAGTTTTACGTGCATGTACGTGCGTACGAAAAACGTAACACTGGAAATCAGCCTATAGTGTTACAGTAAACACTGAGCCAGTTCCCTCAAACATTTCTTAGAAATCCTTCGAAACTTAGAATTAACCTATGCAAAATTCGTACTGTGATCACAGGAACTTTGAAAGTGCATGTAAACTAGTATTGTAGCCACACCCAGAAATTGAACTAGTGTTTACGTGCGAGTAAACCGTGGAAAAAAAATTGATCAAATATGCAGACATCAGTTAAAATTCCTGACGCTACAGGGCATCCGAACCGTCGTATTATATGTCATATTTCTTGGAAAACAAACCAAGAACTATGTTCTACAGCCCTACAGCAAATCGTCAAAATAGTTGAACTAGTTTGTAAACTCGTGCTATTTCATCATTTTAACAAACTTCACCTTATGGTTGCGTTCATAAAAATTGTCTTGCATAGTGACTGGCAGAAGCCAATGTCACAAAGTTCGCAAAATATTCCTAGATGTTGGTGGCTATATCTTTCGAACACCTAGCTCATCAAGAAATATCAAGAAGTTATAAACAAGTTATAGTTGGCGTTATTCCTTCGAAAACCCAGCTCATGAAGGCCTCGTACGCATGTTTTATTATGCATAGTTATTCCTTAGAACACCTAGCTCGTCAAGGGATGATAAATAAGTTTAATGTGTGCATGGTTGTTCCATCTGACACCCAGCTCGTGAAAAACAAGTTCTATTGTGGTTATGTTCGTCTTATCTCGAGATAAAATCACAAATGTCCATCAGTTCTGGGAGGTCTTCCAACTGATCCACTTGAAGTTCTCTCTCTAAATTCGTCAACAAACTTTCATCAACTGGTTGTAAATTCTGAATAATCTCAAGATTAGTTCCCTGTCTGTCACTCATTTGTCCAGGAGTGTTCGGCAAGACTGCACGTAACATTTGAAAGCCATCCAAACTTTGTTCCTGCAAATTAGGCAGATCAATTTTTCCCTCAGTTGTACACAGATCGGTGCCGTACGCTTGAAACTCTGTCTTGGCCGTAACACCATCATTAACAAGTAGGCTCCATTCGGTGATGTTGTTTAATTTCCCAGTCATTTCCGCAATGTCCTCGACTGTGTTAAACGGACAAAACAAATCCAAAAGTACGTCCGTTTCCTCGCGACATAGTTTGCAATTTGTGCTCTCACACGTATATACTATGTACGCCTGGTCTTGCACGGTATCCGTGTTCGAAGTCGAGCAGAGCTTGCAATTACGATCACGACATACCACCACGTTACAATCGTTGGATTGGAGCATTTCTTGGTTGCGAAAGTCTGCTTGTGAGTCATGCAACTGCGTAATAAAGTCTTGGCAATCGGACTTCGCTTTCGCCTTTATAGTCCTTGTAGACTCTGTACTCGTTCAACAGTGGCAATGCTACTTCTCCTTGTTTACAATTAGAATAATGCCTTTAGGCGATTATTTTTGTCTGGCCTGTCTGCGATGTCATCCAGAATATTATGTCATATTCACACTTGTGTCCGTATTAAAACTAACACTAACGTCTTGCTATCCAAGATATCCTGCATAAACCCACGCCTTCTGAATTCTAAGATTTCGTAGATTTCTGGCTGTCTACTTTTGTCTTGTTGAATTTCCTTCAACTTTATTCTTATAATCTTATTTGCATTAGTTGCGTTTTTGGCGAGATGTCATTTCCTTTACTGCAGCTATAATTGTTGTTTACCGCGCGCGTGCCCATGCAAATGCTTGTGTATTCGTGCATGTGTTCTTCGTGTTTACGCTTAGACCTTCGAGTTAATAGTCTCATCGGGGGGCTACTAGTATTTTGTCTAATGGTTGACTCAGCCAAGTTCGGACGAAGTAAAGAAAACTTGACAGATACTTTAAGTCAAACGTCAAACAAACGCCACTTGCTTTTCTAACAATTAATTTACGACATCCTGTTCGCGACAGATTATTTCCTGTTTGGAAAAATCCTCGAGATCAAATTCTGTTCCAGATTTGCCTTCAAAAAATTTCATCACTGCAGAGAGCAGTAAGATTCGTTGACTCAAGCAGGATTCTATCTGGCTTGGGTTTCTTTACCGCGTTTATGCCTTGAAATATAAAATTTTGCTACGAGCAATGAGTAAAGTTAGTACATTGACAGACCATTGTCCATACATTGTTTACCGAAAAGGGTGCAATTTCACACCACAGATTGAGAAATTAGGGATGCTGTGTGGTGCCGGATTATAGCGATTGTATATCAGAACTTGATACCCTGGCCTAATGTTTTTTTGAGATGGAAATTTCCAGTGGGAAATTTCGATCTAACCAGGAGCACGACTAGGAGCAGCGGCGAAAAATGCAAGTATCGGCTCTCTGGCGGAATCGAACCTGCGGCCCTGTGATTCCGGTGCAGCACTCTAACCAACTGAGCTACAGAGTCCAGTTGTCGAGCTCTAACCACAAGTTTTTGTGATGGCAGTATAAGGTATGGGTGATGGCAGTATAAGGTATGGGTGATGGCAGTATAAGGTATGGGTGATGCCAGTATAAGGTATGGGTGATGCCAGTATAAGGTATGGGTGATGCCAGTATAAGGTATGGGTGATGCCAGTATAAGGTATGGGTGATGCCAGTATAAGGTATGGGTGATGCCAGTATAAGGTATGGGTGATGCCAGTATAAGGTATAGTATTAGGTATGGGTGATGCCTGAACGAAACACATTTCAACTATCATCTCTTGTTTCTTGCAAGACACCACAGCGGAAGACATTCGCAATCAGGAATGGATTACTTAATGGGGGGAGTTGCTAATTTCCGTTTATGAAACTTTTTTTGGATTTGAAGAGATAATGTTTGACGGTCAAACTGGTTGCTGGCACTTTAATATTTCGATGCCAGGAATGTATAAACAGCATCGTCTGACTTGATACATGGTAAACTTGATACATGGTAAACCTAGTTAGCCCAGTGAACGTCGTATGAAACATCGAGTGATTCTAAAAGCTCACTCAAACTCAAAGAGTGGAGGTTCAATCTGAGTTCCCCTTGAGTGTCAGCGCTGGTTTTGAATAGCTGGAGGGTTAGTGTCGTACCTTACTATATGTGACTTCTCACCCTCCAGTTATTCAAAAACAGCATTGACACTCAAGGGAAGCTCAGATTGAACCCCCACTCTCACTATGCATCTGTTACTTTTTTATTGCATCTATATGATAGCCTTCTCGCAGCTCAAATAAAAAAATGTGATGTGACAGCCCCTCCAGCAACTCGGTTGGATACGGCTGTACAGTTTCCGACATGGTTACAACAACGGGCAAGTGTTGGCACGAGGCGGCGATTTTCTGTTAACACCATAGCCTCTCACCAAAAACTGGCTGCTATGCAGGCTATAAACATCCTAAGTCTCGCTCGAATTGGCTTCATATCCAATCTGTTATGAGATCCAGGCTGCGAGCAGGCTACTATATGATTGCATTTACCGAACTATGGTGGAAATATATTTAAACTGCAAAATAATGGTAGTCTTTTCTTAAATAATAAACCATGCCTTTACTGACTTGTTCATGCATAATTCATACATACATAATTCATAAATACCAAAGTTTAATCTGGGTTACCAATCAACAGACAGTTTGAAAAATCAACAGAAAGCTTGAAAAAATCGCTATCCGGTCGTCAGCGCAGTCCGGTCATCATACAACCGCCCTCAGAAGAAATATAGCATTGAGAATTATGGTGGGGGGTTAGCAACTTGCATGTTAGACTAATTTTTTATCTAGGCAAAAAAAGTAAATTCCGTAAAGAACTTATTAAAATTAGTAAAACTGCAAAATTTGGTTACGAAATGTTGTAAAATACGGAAAATATAGCCTTACGAAGTTTCCATATTTTCAGTATGTACAAATTACGTGCGGAAATTGTTACCCTTTTTGAGCCGAAAATGGTAACAATTTCCACACGTTAGGGACCGGTCATAAAGTAATTGCTAGGGTGGGCTGGAGTGATTTGGGATGGGCCATGGGAAATCTTTGGGCAGTTTCGATGGGCCGCCAATTTTTTTTATGTCCACGGTTGGGCCACCAAACAAAAACCCATGCATGTCTACTTCAAAAAATAAAGATAAAAGTAAACAAAACTATCCAAATTATATCAAATGCAAATGATGCTATTGAAGCCAGTACTTTGTTTATACAACAACAAGAAGTGGTCGAATCACAGCAAATACAACCAACTGGAGAGCAGCTCAGTCATGAATGTGTTGGTCAAGCTTGGTGGAATTATGTGTGTCAATACAGTGCCGTGTATATTTACAATGTTCATACCTGCAAGTTTTTTTTTATTATAAAAGTGTATTTTCCCAATTTAGATTGGGTGGGTCATGAAAATTTTTTTGTAAGATTCGATGGGCTTTGAAATTTTTATCTACATCCTAAGATGGGTCACCGAACTTATTGGCAAAATTTTTGATTTACCTCCAGCCCACCCTAGCAGTTACTTTATGACCAGTCCCTTATACAAACATATTGAAAATTTGCAAACTTTGCAAGACTATATTTTCCAAGCTTTACAACATTTCGCAACCAAATTTTTCAATTTTACTAATTGGCATTATGTTCTTTTTATAGCTGTGGTGTTTGATTCCCTTCTCTTTACTTAGATTAGAATTTAGTCTAACATGCAAGTTGTCCATTCCAACCCAGTGATTTGCCAAAATGCAAATCCAATTCCCTTGGGTCAAAAACTCGAAATCCCATTTTCCAAATGAAAAGAGAGCAAATCCCGTATCAGTTCAGGTAATCATGAACCAACTGCTTACAAACGCCGCCATGCACAGGTCAAATTATTTGCCAACTTAATTGTTTTGCAAACTTGAATGGCTTCAAATAAAAAAATGTGATGTGACAGCCCCTCCAGCAACTCGGTTGGATACGGCTATATAGTTTCCGACAACCATTCAGAGGTCATGGCAGTTACAACAACGGACAAGTTTTGGCACGAGACGGCGATTTTCTGTTAACACCATATAGCCAATTCCCAAAACTAGGCTATAAACATCCTAGACGCCATCCAAGTCTCGCTCGAATTGGCTTCATGTGCAATCTGTTATGAGACCAGTTTCATTCTTAATTTGGGTCTGAGTGAACCAGTATTAGTTCTTAAACTGATCTCATTACAGAACTGGATAGAGCCTGTATGAAGCCGATTCGAGCGAGACTCTATCAACACCATTAATATGTGATTGATGGGAGCTCGTGAAATAACATGCACAGAGCTCGTGAAATAACAAGCAAAATCATTATTTTGCAATGTCAACACATTTCTTTGCAATGACGTAGAGGTATTACGGGTCCACTTCAAACGTTGAACTTTTCGAGTGCCGATCAAATGCATAAACTCAAACAATGAGTTTTAGTCATTACGTTTACACTTGCAATTTTTGCCGAGATTTTCTTCTCATGGATGATGTGAACGAGTGGTTAAGTACGAATGTTCAGTCGAGGGTACATATCCTCAGAACATTTATAACTCATCTCTACTCGTTCACATACATCAGAAGGAGAAAATCACGCTATAGAAATTGCAAGTGTAAACGGGCCCAGCACGTGATAAGCGTGACGTTTGAACTAGACCTAGAACCTATAAAGATCTGGAAATAGACCATTTCCGAATTAATCTCGAAAGCCGAAAGGTCGATGCGAGTGTAGATAGCGACACGATAAACATTCTGAAGTTCTGCTTATAGTTTTCACACCACAGCTGTTACGCAGAACTAGTTGTCAGTTTATACGCACTAGTTGTTGTTACCCTCTAGCAGGAATTCTTGTTTTTATGCACTATTTCCTAATCAGTTTTGTATAATCAGCTTTAATATCTACCCTACACTGAGCAAGGACGATTTCAGAATTGACCGAAATCTAGTTTGCCCAATTTATCTTTTCTTTCACATGAGATCCAGGAAATGGAGGAATTCGAACCCAGCTAACCGAACGAATTCCCATGTGAACAGAGGAATTCTCGTAAACGTAGTCAAAGTCAATCCTCATGGAAGTAAAACTGAAGAGAGAGAACTATATATATTCTCATGAGTCTGTTCTGACGTTTTTTCTTGAAAACGATTAACGCACGCAGATGTTTTTTTAACCCCCATCTCTGATAAACTTTAGTCATTATCATCATGCTATTAACATGGCCTCCTTAAAGCCACCTTCATGTTTTATCAAGGTTAATGCTATAATTGCTGTGTAAAAAATAAAAATGAGCAGCAGGGGTGGAAAAAATATTTTACTTTCTGGGATCGCAAGAGAACATTGAAAATTTTCTGCAAACAATCAAAGTAAATCGACACTGTAATTGTGTGATGTTGTCAAACTGAATGTCATGCTATATTTTAACAGGACTGAGAATCTTTATAACAATTTTAGGAATATCTCGAGGAATATAACATAAAACTAATTCAGATGACATGCATCAAGGATCTGATCCTAGGGGGAATCCGCGCTGCCCCAGAAAAATTTGAAAATTAGGTGTTCCTGATTGGCTAAAAATGCATTTGCCATACAACATTTGTTGCATTATTCTCTAGTCTATACATTTACACACTATCGCACTATTATGATGGATGAATGATGGATGCACTTAAAATAATTATTGCATTTCTGTCTGAAGTCATACCCACAATACTGGTGACATTCTTTCTATTAGTTAGAATTTTTCCTCTGAATTTTTTCTTTCTTGGGATTTGTCAACAAGTTTGAAACAAGCTGTTAACAACTTGTAACAACCTTGTTGATACTATCAGACTCGTTGCAAGGTTGTTCCAACAAGTCCGATACAGTCATGATATAACAATATTATTACAACCTTGTGTCGCCAACCTTGTAACATTCTTGTTTCTCATGACTGTACAGACTTGTTGGAACAAACTTGTAACATGTCTGATAATGCCATCAAGCTTGCAAGCGTCAGCATCAGTGCGAACACAACTTGTCGACAGCATGTGAACAGATTTGTAACAACTTGTTTGCAGACCTGTAACAACCTGTACGTTTTTGCGTGTGTACCGACGTAAATATCGCACAACTTGTCAACAAGATGTGTTCGCAACAGGCTTGTAGCAAGCTTGTCAACAAGTTATGACAACGCTGTTACTTTATCAAATTGCTACAAGGTTGTCACTCACAACTTGTTGACAAATTGTTGAAATGCAGGACGATAAGAAGTTGTTAGAACAACTTGTGACAAGTCTGTTGAGTTCAGCGACCTTGTAGCAAGTTGCATGTGTAAATAAACCACAATTATTATCATAACTTTGATTACAGTCTTCGAATGTTCAATGCAGTTAAATGAATCCTCCTTTTTCTCACTTTTTTTTACAGAACTAGAAAAACTTTGCTTTGGAATTCGGATTGCAAGGAGTTTTACACTTGACACTGTGAAGAAATATTCCAACCAGGTAGTGAGCTTGAATTTGTAATATCAATAAGCAATGTCTACTTGCTAATGATAACTTTAACTTCAGACCATTCAGGATTAACTTGAACTTCTCTCGGACAAGCATGAAGTAACACAAACACTTGTACTTGTAACGCATGTACCAACTATTCTTGTGAAGATGGAATGATAAAATAAGAAGAAGAATAGTCTCTGTCCAGATTGAAAATTGAACCGTGTGAATTTACAAATTTTCAGCTGGCTGAGCATAGTTTGGTCCCAATGAAAAATAAAATCCAGCGTGCTTTGGGAACAGATGGGAATATAGGACAATATGATCGGAAAAGGTGCGTAATTACATGATGGTACTGGAAACAGTTATATACAATAATAATTCACTGTTAGTATATAATGTTATCATATAATCTTATATATTAAAAAGATATATATGTTATTTTCATGTTAAGGTGGTGGTTGTCGTTTGTAGTCGTCTTTGCCGTTCTCCTGGCATCATTAACCACGTTGATTAGCCTCGTTTTGAAACAAGTGGAGCCTTTTATATCTCGCCTTCCATCAAATATTACTTTGATGATGGAAATAAAGACATGGTTTCCAGTGTTACCAAAACGACTTCTTTTAAGGTATGCTATATATTGGTACCTTTTACCCAGTGTTACCAGATGCATGCATAGTGGCTTTAGGGACAAACAAATGCAAGCTGGCACTTGCAACGCAATTTCTGACATGGTGTGCTCACACGGAAATTGTGAAGTATTACATATACTTACTTACTTATACCGTAGAAACTCTGTGGTGTTTTTCAACTGGAGGTACTTTTCTCCCATGAGAACGAGCTGTAATTATCTTGCCAACGCTTCTAAATACTTGAAGTTTAATAATCAAACAACTTTTTTTTGTTTTTAAAGTTCGACCATTGTTCACTTATCAATGATGGTGGTTGTGAACCTGTGTGCAGGAATGTCATTCCTAGTTGTGTCCAATATGGCGCTCGTTTGTGACATGTCTTCACATTACGAGAAACTTGATGATGTATGGAAAGTATATAAAATGTTTATTGACTATTATATACCTATACTATTTGCCCTATCATTATGTTATCCAGCACTCTCGGCTAGCACTTCGTAAACACACTTGAAATGGTTATTTGTCCCGATTGAAACACGTACAGAAGTTTTAAAAAACTATATATGTGCATCATTGTTTCATATTCCTTATACATTTTTTTCCAGATATTTGGCACATCTGACTTACTGAAAGAGTCGAGATTGTTTGCCAAGGAGGAGAAATCACTCAAACTGTTTAAAAAAATAAGGTATATGCATCATGTTCCTTCATGGGTTGAATGAAGTTTTGTTTTCTTCGATGTCGTTAACATTCTATTTATTTACTACAGTGAATGTCCTGTGGATGGCACTCTCTGGGCAATGTTCAACTTAGACGAAAAATTTAATATTAATGAAAGTGTTAATCGACTGAACGTAAGTATGAAGGTAGCCTTCTCCAATTAACTTTTTGGCAGAGAACCTCCAATCTACCTTGTATTGAATTATATAGCGATTTTAATGTTTTTGCAAACGCCCTGGTTTTTGCCGAGCATACACAACTTCGAGAAGACTGAGTATGGGCGTTAGATCTCCAGTGATCCTGAATTTTGCCCTTACTTTGAGACTTGTTCTCCTTAATGCTCTGTTAAAATGGTAAATTCGCTATAAAATCATACTAATACAGAGATCGGAGTTTTTTTACCAAAGAGTTGCGCCTGCGTAGAATGCTAGTATAAAGGTACTCTTTGGAGTTGGAGCCTTTTGAGGATTGAAGATCCCCAACAGGCCCAACTCCCAAGAGGGCTAGCATAAAGGACGGTTTTCTTTATCCAAATCGTTTATCCACCAACCTCATCCTTGCTTTTAAAATAAGGAAAGTTTTCAAAACTTTTACCTTCATTGCACGTTTTCCTGAACGAGAAGAAGACCTGATTGCTGATTATTGGTTATTTCATGTCGTCAATTTGGTACAGGTTTCTCACTTGTTTTCGCTCTTTTTAAACTCAAAATAATCACAATTAAGCAGCAAAATTAACGATGTTGCCTCATGTTTAGTAAATTATGCGTGAACTTTCGCAAGTGACATGCATTGAAATCTGATTTTGGTGCAAATGTGCAGCATTTGTTCTATCATTCACCTTGAATCAAATTGCCCGTTTTGTCCTATAGGGAATTCCACGTCTTGCAGATCGTTTCTTTCAAGATGGTTCTGTCTTTGATCGAAGAAAAGGAAAACAACTGCAAGCATTTTATAAAGTTTTACAGGAATGGAGAGACATTGGTCTGGCGAACATTAACATCAATATATTAACAGAACAGGTACAGGGAATAAATAGTTGCATTTTTTTCCATCTCTGTTCGAATTTTTAGCTTTCAGTGGCGTTACACCAGATGGGGGCGAACTCCAGAACTGCTCAGACACCATCTCCTGTCATTTCGATTTATTTCTCTCCAAATACAAAACTACTACATCTTGGGACCGTTCATTATTTATACCCGTGGTTGGTACCGAAGAGATATGGGTTGGGTAATCAAGTTTTTGACTAGCTCATGGGTTGGGTAAAAAGATTTGTGTGTGTCTGCATGTCAGCTATAAAATAAAACCAAAATTACCATGCATTGGAAAATATGAAGAAAAATGTGTACAATATATTCTGTACCAAAATAGACCATCAGTGATTGGGGAAGGACTCCATATCATTGATCAGCAGGAACGTGATTGCTTTGGCACACTCAGTGAGTTTGAGTGTGCGTGAGCCTTGTCACCATAATGTTGTGTGTTTAATTATTATGAAGTACAGTAACACATGGGTTGGGTAAACATTATTTTGACCAATGCTGAGGTTAGATAAATAAAAAAATTACACTGTTTTTTCGCTTCTCTTTGGTACTAACCCCAGGTCCCTTAATGAATGGTAGACGACTAGAAGTTGCTTTCAAAATTAATGATTTAGTTTTCTTAAATTGCAGGTTAATAACCCAATGTTGGATAAATCTTTTCAAAAATTGAGCGAAGCTTTGCTCTCATCCTATCAACCTGCGGACGAAAATAAGGAACATGTGGTGAGTGTGTAACAACTTTCCACTCAGTGATCCCTTAATGGTATTAAATATCTCATCCTTCCATAAACTTGAGATGTTGAAAATAAATATTTTTCATCTTCATAAAGTCAATGTATTAAACCGTCATGAAATTTTCCCAGTGGTAAAACTAGTCTGTAAGCGTCGGTAACGTTTGACGTATATGAATATTCTCGTTGTTCCTAAATCCCACCAATTCTCATTTCTCCTTTGCAGACTCGTATGCCATTTAAGATGTTTCGAAGCATTTCAAATCAAGCGAGTGTCATCGAAGACAATTACGTTAAGATGAATTCAGTTTTGTCGGTAAGAAAGTCGCCGCTTATAATATTTCGTGCCTGTTTTGTTAATTTGTACTATTTCAAGTTAGAATTTATCCATTATGATAGAAAGGCCGAGGCTCATGTCTGGGCTCTACATTTGATGTACGAGAGAGATTACGGGGAGGGGGGGAGTCTGTTGCCAACTGGGGCTAGTTGTTCAAAAGCCGGTAACATTTAGATAACCACTGGACATCCCAAAATCATCTTTTATCAAAACAAACTTACTAAATATTTATCTAAATGTTTTAGAAATTGTTGAATCAACATTTAAAGAGCTTCAATAAATCGCGAGAGCGGGTCGTTGTAAGTTTGTTTTAATATGTTTTTTTCCAAATAAAAAGTTGGTTCAACAAAGATTAATTTGTGGTTCCCTTGTTTTCCTCTTATGTAGGCAAGCTTTGCAAATATGAATGATATATATTCTGATATTGCTGGTGATAGCATTGCACAAAGCGAACACGAGGTAAAATCGTGCGGCACTTTGGGTATTTTAAAGGGTATTGACAACAAAAGTTAAGTTACTATATTTACATTGAAAGAGCTCCTCAACTGTATAGAATAAGTCATATCACAATTTTTTTTATACCTTTCTTTGGTTAGAAGATATTTCAGTTTATTTGAAAAATAAATATGATGGCGTCACAGGCGGGATAAAGTTTTTGAGATTAATTAATAGAACCGTCGATATAGACCTGAATGACTTCCTCTATTTGAACAGTGAGTTTGATGGGATTTCCATCTTTGAAAATTATTTTACGAGCTTGTGACGTCACAAATTTATTTCATTTGTTTATCAAACAAACTAAAAATCTGAATAATGAAAAATAAAGAAAAGTTGATAAAATAACTTATTTCGCAGTTTAACGAGTTCTTTCTCTCCAAACACTACAGACTTAAATTTCTTTGCCATTACCCTTTAAAATATCAAGGTTTATTCGATTTCTGCTTATGTTACAGGTTGTTGATCACCAAGTTATAAAAACAGTTGAAGTGATCAAAAATTTTATGAAAGACAGTATTAGTAAGGTAAGATAAGATGGATACGTCGGCCACCTGATTCGCACTCTCACTGGAGTCCTTATTTAATGCGCGAGTTTTTCAATCACGTTGTAGATGAGAAGTGAAGTGGGAAAGTGCGGTCCAATGAAACACGCTTACAATCGAACGGTTTGTTTATTTTGTCGCGACCTCTTTGGATCATGGGTAGGTAGATGATCGTTGCTAAAGGAGAGTACAGACTAGAGGGAGGTGTTCAAGATGGCGGCTATTTTTCAAAATCGTTAAAACGTGAATCAACAACAAGGCACTTATAACAATCCTAAATCTTACTCTATTATAAACCTTAACCAAATCCTAATTATTACCCTACCCTACCCTACCCCCCTAAACCTTACCCTAAACCTAACAGTAGTGAATTTTAAGATACTCCGTTTTCGGTGTACGGGTACAAGTAGCTAGTGTCATCTTGTTTACTAGTTTTTACTGATGTCTGTAATTCAATCATACTGTTTTCTTGCAATAGACAATGATATAATGCGAAAAATGTACACCTTAATTGCGAGTAAAGGTACAGACATGGACGAAAATATTGCTAACCAAAATCATGCTACCTGTACACGTATACCGAAACCGGGGGTATCTTAAACTCCCTAGTAACCTTAAACTAAAACGAACTCTGAGTTGGACTATCTTCAAAACCTCAAGCTGTTTGTCTAGGGGGTGCCCATCCACCAAAAAGTCCACATCAAGCAGTGCATGCTGAAATTTGTATCAATTATAGATGCGCTCCCGCTTGAAAAATCTGCTCCCCTCTTTAGGCGAGCACGCGCGGACTCGCCCCCTGAATTGTAGTGCACGAGTTATTAAGTTTTCTACAAGAACGTACGTTTACGTTTCGGATGTTCTATTTTCAGAATTCATGGTGGATATTATTACTTGTTTGTGGATTTTTTACGATATTGTCAACCATCTTATGTTTTCTAACCATGAAACACGCCAGTTAAAGTCATTTGTTATCGTGGAATGGCAGTCTTAAATTCACACGCATAGTGTGTTATTTGGATGTCATACGCATAACTGACTGTTTTTTTTTCTACACCATCGCACCGTTTCAGACCACAGGTATGTATATATCATTACTCATTATATATCGAAAAATGTCTGCCAAAATAATAGGAGTAAATACGGGAAAAGAAAAGTGTTCACTGAAGCGGCTAAAGGTCTAAGCTGGGAAATTTCATCGCATCTTCTTTGTGATAAGAAGAAGCATAGCAGGAAGTGATGGTGGATCCCGGCATCTAGGATCCCAGAAAATTCTCAGACCTGGCTTAGCTTGCAGAAAAATTTAGGGCATTGCAGAATACTAACAGGCACAGAAAATAATTTATCAAGAAAAATATTATAATTTCAAATAATATGGCAGAAAACTTTGACTCCAAAACTAAGGATCCGAGAAACAAAAAGATTATTTCCTGCTATGAGAAGAAGTTATACTTTACACTCTTAATTTTCTTTCACTTTTTGCTAGAGCTTCCATCCTCGTCCCCAGGGCCTCTCGGCCGCGCGCGTCCTCCCCAGGCCCTGGGACACACGGAACCGGATTTTCAAGAAAACTTCCAGTAGTTTTTAAAGCGCATGGCTCTTGAATTGGGACGCTTTAGCACCCGTAACAATTTCCACAGTGAAGTATTACGAAGAAACGAAGTATTTGTATTGACATATGTTGATAGAATAATTTTGCCTAGCGAAAACTTCTGCGAAATAGCAGTTCTCTGAGAAGCCAATCAGATCTCACCTTTTAATCGTCTAACCCAGAGCCTAATTTCCAACGATTGACCGAGTGAAAATGGCTCTGGGGACGAGAATGCTAGAGCTTTATGAAGACAGTACTATTTCCAGTCTTCCCGGTACAAGCAATCAATACGCGGACGTTTAACTGTGGTGTTCTCCAAAAGTTGTAATACTTCTCACGTAGCTACCGATAAGTACGTTTCCAATAACAACTTGCCAAATTTCGGCTGATAACATCCTCTCTTTTAGATAAATCAAAAAAATCAAAAAGTAATTACATTTGAAGTAGATATATTTTGCATATAAATATGATGTAAAAAATGGATAAAAAAAACTCAGCCGTTCAAGCAGCCATAAATTTCTATTCTCCTTGATTTTCATGACGATTGCCCTGAAATTGATATAAAAGGAAAACACTTCCCATCACGGGAATGACATGTATTAATAGTTTCCCCAACGAAACGAAACATTTCCAAGTTATTTTAGAAAAGCTTTGCCAAATTTTGAGATATGCTTGATCGTTATCAGTCAGACTAATGTAGGTACAAATAATTAACTAAAAAATCTCAGACAATAGCGACCTTTATAATTACTATTAATTCTGACAGTGAAGAGAAAAACGAAAAGTGCAATGTCAGAATGAATGTAATGCGAAAGAACTTATCTCTAAGATTAATTCAGTGAAGCCCTGTTTAAGGCTGTTTTCCATTAGGCGGAATTTTCCGCGCGGAGCGGAATTTTTCTTTGTCTTTTTACAATCAGTTCTGCTCGAGTGCTCACGAAACAAAGAAAACTTCCGCTGCGCGCGGAAAATTCCGCTTAGTGGAAAACAGGCTTAACCGTATCAAAGTTTCTGCGATCTGCGCAATACGTCAATAGAATTTTGCAAAGATAAATTTTAACTTTTGATGGATTTGTAAGATATGTTTGAGGGAACTGACTAATTAGGGCCATTTATACGGAACAAAATAAGACGCGACTTACATAAGACGCGACTTGGGTAAGACGCGAGTTTGTCGTATAAAAGGTACAAAATTCTTATGTAAGACGCGTCTTGGATAAGACGCGTCTTACATAAGAACAGGTCTTTTAGCTGTTCTTATTTAAGTCGCGTCTTAAATAAGAAATTTTGGACAAAAAGTCTAACTACACATGCCAGAAACTTGAAACAACGTAAAATTTAATGCCTTGCATATTAAAACAAAAACAACCAAAACAACATAATAGCTATAGCAAATAAATAAGACCAAAGCCGTAGAGAACCATTTATGCGATAACTCCACTTATTTAAGTCGCGTCTTATGTAAGTCGCGACTTATTTTGTCACGTATAAATGGCCCTAATGTTAAAAATCTGGCCGTGTTAATGGGAAAGCGCCCCAGGCTTAACTTTAATACACCCTGCGTTACAATTGTATCCATATATGAGGACAATCTTTTAAAGGAGAAGTGATATTATTTGGCAACGCAAGGTTGATGTTAATGCATGTTATCTAAAGACAACTCTAAAATCCGAGCCCGCGTTGCACTTTCTGACAGCCCTCGTTTATAACATGCGTACAGAATCAGGACTGTATAACATCGCTTGAACTACGATTCTTGCCAACCCTCGCCAAAAGGTAATATATTCAACCAAAACTGAAGAGTTGTTTACACTAGTTTATCGGAATAGTTCTATGATCTGCCGCTTTATCTGCAAGTTCCCTTGAAAAGCTTCGCTTCTCGTGTAGTCAACAAGTTTAGTCCTTGACAAGTCAGTTCACTTGACATATTTTGTTGCTCGTATATATTCAGAATGTTGTTAAACATTCATCTCACGTCAAAGCCGCCTTTTGTTTGCCAAAACCACATAATTATTTCTTGTGCACTTGTCAAGTTACATTTTCCTTTGGCGGCCGTGCAAACGAACAAATTTTCCTTGTCCAAAAGCTGGTGTGACCAGCTTTGGAACAAGGCTCCTTGGCGAGGACGATTTATCAAATTTTTGCCGAACACACGAACAAATAAAACTTGTCAAGGAAAAGTTGCCCGTCTGTATGTGGGACTTTGAGGATGCAACGGAAGAAACATGAGGGTGCAAGCTAAACTTATGCTTTGAACAAAATTCGTTAAAATATACGACAACAACTCTATGAATTTTTTTAAGAAACTCGATCTGATAGTGCAAACCAGTTTTGTAAATAAAAAATGGGAAGTGATATGTTGAGATTTTGCATGATGTTTAAAATACCCAATTATAGAATTCTAATTTTTGAGATGAAACAAAAATGAAAGAATGCCAATTTAATACATTTATAATTGCATTTCAAGCGTTGAAACAGCGTATTTTAGCAGCACTTGAATGGCCAACCAATCTGGAGTGCGCCTGCCATGATTACCGACTGTGCCAATGCTTCTCTTTTAGTCGCAACGAAATGACTTTTTTCGAAAAAGACTAATTACCTGTCGGATGTCTTGACGCGCACGCGCAGTGTGTATCCCACCCACGCGAGGCTTGCACCTGCTAGCACACACACGCTTGTACCAAACAAAGAAATTAATATACACGCTTTACTAAGCAGCTGCGTTTAATGCGTATAATTTTGGGTTTTAATAAATAAAGTTATACTTTTATAGACTTTACCTGATGCTCTTTGTTAGATTTCACATTATGATGGGTATTGAAAAGGCCGGAGTGTAGGATAAGACTGGGAAATGATTTGTATGGCGAGAGTCCGCCCACTGGCATTCTTGATTTTCGTACTGATAAATAGACAGATGGCGTGGCAGGCTTGTATTTAATGTCAGTTCAATGCTCATTCGGTACCGGCTTTGTGTTCGATGCATCTTTGACTTAGCATGAAGAGTATCGAACAAGCGCCCACAAACTCATCCAGTGTATTCATTCAGTTAATACTTTTCTTCTGTTATTTAATTTTTGGCGCATTGGTCTTTCAAGCTTTGGAACTGGAGAACGAAGCACGGGAGAGGCGAATTCTTCTCAACTCAAGGAAAGATTTGCAGGAGAAATACAATGTGACTGAAGAAGACTTGCAACGGTTTATCAAACTTATACAAGCCGTTGCTGATCAAGGCTTCTCGGATGAGTGGGTCGATCGATGGAACTTTATTGGAGCGCTGTTCTTCTCAGGAACAGTAGTTACTACTATAGGTAAGTCTATAAATGAAGAGAACAAAGCTTGAAAATCCAAGATTTAGTCTAGAAGAAAACACAGAAATTGCCTCATGCTTTTTACTTCTTTTCTCAAATTGTCTGCTCGTAACTTGCAAGTTCAACGTCTGTCTCGCTAGGAGATGGAGATGGGTATCATCCATGAGGCAATATACGATGTGTTTATTACAGATAAACCAAATTGCTGATCCATCGAAACGTGTTTGGTTTGAGTTTGCCCATACAAAGAAGATATTTTCTCCTACAGGGGGTTTATCCTTATCTATAGGATTTGAAAAATTCTTAATGGGATATTCATTCGAGGAGATCTTAGATGAGCCTTGAAAGGCAGCTATCAGGAGTAATACGCGAGTAATCGAAGAAGCATACTTCAAAAAGACTTTTGAAGGAGAGAAAGGCTCCTGGCTTGTAAAAGAGAGCATATCTATCAGGATTAAGTTTTACGTCCCAGCTGTTCCCCATTTTTTAAGTTTACTTAAATTAGGTTTATCCATCTTTAAAGCTAAATCACATTCTCATGACTGCATGCCGAGCATTATTACTTTTTGTCTTCTTTTTAATATTAAAAACGCTATAATTATGTTCGATATTACAACAATTATGTGTAATAAATTATTTTAGAAACTGCCCCGAATACATCTACGAAATTCCAAGTTGTATCAACTTTAAAAAAAAAACATATAAAAAACGTATAAAAACCGAAGGGCAATGCCAAAAGCTGAGAATTGAAGACACAACAAATGTGTATGCAAAACCAATTGGAATGTTATCATCCCATCATAAACCGTTTGCCTTTTCTGTATTTCCAATCATTGCTTAATTTATATTAATATTACTGCAGTGTGAATAGAACAGATTAAGCGTCTGCAATCCGGCGGCATCATTAATTCATTCTTGGAAGCATAAGCATTTTTGTCTTTTCATACTTAATTTTTGTTTGGATTTAACTTCGTACATTGTGATTGTCTTGGATAACAAACCTGCATGTAACATAAGTCATGCAAGTGCAGTGAAATTAGTCCTATCTCTTTTGTGGTCCCGCATGCGGTGTATGCATTGAGAACAAGGAACAGTCTGTGCCAGTGTGAAGGCCATGTTACACGGTGCAATTTTTCTTGCAACTTGCAATGCAATTCTACTCTTGAGAGATGGTAATTAGTGAAACCAGTGAAGAATTTTCGATATGTTGAGAAAACATCAGCGGAGTGTAATGAAGACTCGTATTTGGCAATTTTACATCTCTCAAGAGTAGAATTGCATTGTAACATGGCTTTAAGTATGGTACCAATAATAAGAAAGTTTCGTATTGATATAGGGATACAACTACCTGAAAAATACAAGGAGAACGTGGATGTTTCGAGCGAATGCCCTTCCTTGGGAAGTTCTAGAAGAGCCTTCTCTCAATACTTCGAATTTCTCCTTGTATTTTTCAGGTAGTTGCATCCCTATCAATTCGAAGCTCTCTTATTGAAAACAAGGCCCCATGATTTCTTTCCTACCCATGCATGCAATGTTGATATCATTATTTTGACCCTGTCTTATGATCGATCAATGCTTGTCGTCTCTCCAGGGCCGCCCAGAGCTTTTTTGGGACCCGGAGCAAAATACCCTCTGGGAGTTTTTGAGGGTCCCTTCCACTCCCTAAAATTCCCTTTTGGTGGCCCTCTTAAGCCTGGGACCCGGAGGAAATTGCCCCCTTTGAACCCCCCCCCCCCCTCCTCTGGGCGGCCGTGCTATTCAGTATAGGTTATTTCAAACATTTATTCAGTGCGAAAATGATCCTTCCATCGGATCAGTTCCACATCTTCTTCGCACACGTTTGTTGTGTACACTACAGCAAGAATCGAAGTGATTACCGATGATAACTTATTGACACAGTGATCTGCAAATGTGTATGCATGAGCAAAATTGCAGAAAATTGTTAATGTGATGAAAAGCGAGAAAATGGTGAAATTTGGATGAAAATGTTTTGGATCTAGCTAGACCTGCTGTAGGCAGACACTATCAAAATCGTCCCATCGAAGGGGTTTTTCATTGCATCGCTTGTAATTCTTTGATTCCCGTTGAATTCATCTTGTTTATGAGTTTTGCACATCGTTTCCATAGTATGAACACATAAATAATTTGTCTCACTTATGCGAGTTTCCCCTCCAACCAAGCCTACGGTGTAGACCCCAGCAGAAACACTTTCGTTTCCCTTCACGAAACGTGTTTCTGCTGGGGTAGACACCGTAGGCTACGTCCAACCGGGTTCGTATGGGAACAAGGCTCATATGAGAGGCTAAGCTGTATGTGTACACACCAGGCCCATATCTAGTTTTGTCAATTGATTTTTGCTAGTGATGTCTGCAGAGGAGCTATAAGTATCATCAATGCAGATCAGTGTAAACATTAGCTTGTTCAAATATCTATTGAAGTCGCCGGACAATGAACCACAAGAGTTAAAAGTTGCCCAAGTATACAGGGATTTAAATTTTTAACTCGTGCCTGGAGAACTTTTTTCTCTGGGGAGGTGCATAATTAAGAAATTTATATATATACATTATAGTCATAACAGGTCTATTTTTGTTTCTCGCCAATCTCTTTGTGCGCAATCTAAATCCTTCTGGCGGACAGCTGGCGAATAAAAACATGTTCTCTGTGAACAATACAATCTGGATACAATCTGGACATTATTTTTGAACTCTTCCTATTGCAAAGTTATGTAAATCGTTAGCACTATCTATGCTCAAAGATTTCTAGGCCTATTACCGCATGTTCTCCATTTAGCCTTTAGAAATAATACTATTCCATTTGTAAAACCACAGTCAATGAATAAGGCGAGTAATTACCGTTAATGGTTTCTTTTTATAACCATTAATGGGTTTCATTGATATTAACGTCATGGTAATTATAGTTTTACCATGAATGACATGGCTGGATTTATTCTATATATTACATCATGGTGCTTATAGTTTTTACCATAAATGATAAGAATGGGTTTCATTTATATTACATAATGTTGATGTGAATATTGCCAGCAGAATGCATATTGGTGGTATTTAAATGAAACCATTAATAGTACCATTAATGTGAATGAAAATTTCAATTGTGTATTATTTTCACATCAATGGTTTTCAATAGTTTTAATGGGAAATACATTTTGAAAAGAATAAGCCATTAATGGATTATATTAAGCTTATTTTTTTCACATTAATGTTATTGAATTCGTAAATGGGAAATTAATTGGGTTTTTATTTTTTCCCGTGATAGGAGCAAATTAACATCACCAGTGAAACACAAAGAAAATCAGCACTGTATATAAATATAGTTAACTTCAATCTCGTTCCCAGGAGTGTAGAGGAGAGGTCCAGGAACATCAGTCGCCCACCGGTTGGGGCGAGGGGCGGTCAGGGTGGGGGTCCGTGGGGGGAGGGTCAGGAACTCAAATTAGAAACGTGCACCTGTTATAATGTATATCATCATACGAAAGAAGAGGATGGATTGGAGGAAGCGAAGATTCAGCCAATCAGCGCCATGATAATGCCCCACCTCAAATTATTATTATTATTTAATAAACAGACATTGCCAAAAAAGTTGAATTCCATCTGATGACAAAAATTTGTTAAAACTCAATGAAATTGAAACTTAATTAGCACCTTTCAAATCACAAAAATAAACTGACAACAAACAACGTTTGTATTTTGTTAGGGTTTGTATTTGGAAGTACTCGTCTGTTCAGTCATCTTAATAATATATTTAATGCTTCTAGTCTGAGCGCCATGCGCAGTCGAGACTCTGAATTGGCATTTTGGCAATAATGTGACGTAATACTAGTATCTATATCTCCCCCTATAGGTTATGGTCATCTTGCGCCGACGACAAACAGTGGGCGTATATTTTGCATATTTTACGCTTTAATTGGAATACCACTGACATGGACGTTGCTGGCTCGTCTCGGGTACATGATCTCATGTGGGGTATCTGCGGTTATAACGATTTTTGAGAGAAGATTTCTACAACGTGAACCGAGCAAAGTGGGTCTGAAGTCCACCCTCGTGACATTTTTAATGGCTTCGGCAATGATTCTTCTTATTGCTGGCATTGCACATTACAGTGAGCGCTGGTCTTTTCTTGATGGAGTCTATTTTGGTTTTATAACACTAAGTACTATAGGTAAGTATTGTATCTATTTATAGATATTACATCATATACAGCAGGAAAATTTTCTGCAGAAAAAAAATTTAGTAAAATATCATTGACCAATGACATTTTCGGAAAACTTTCTGTCCGTGGAAATTTTTCTTGAGTGGAAATGGGCCTTTACGGACAGTTGTTCCAACATGTATAATTCTCATATATTTTATTTATTTAAAGACGTTCTGTTCAGACGAGGGTGAGAGTTGATGAGAGTTCCAACTTAATCAAGTTGGCGTTTGACCGCCATCAACTTTGGGCTGCTTCAAATTTTGATGAGAGTTTTTGCTAAACGCGCGGTAACTCAACTCTAATACAACTCTTGTTCTCGTTTGATCATGACCGGGGCACGCGAGTTCTCACTCTCGAGGGTTTAAAAACATAACCTGTATAAACTTCTCTAATACGGACTTTTGTGTTCCTTCGTTGTCCGTATTAGAGAGCTTCAAGTGCAGAAGTTTTATATCCTCTTTCAACATATTGTTTCCATTTTTCAGGATTTGGAGACTTGGTCCCACTTCACCCCCGTCCTGGTGAAGACACGGTTGAATATGCCACTCACGTGACTGTATTTACAGTAATGACATTGCTATATTTCACCATCGGTCTAGCTATCGTCTCCAGCATGATGTTATCAATCAGCGCTGCTATGGAGGATCCTTCATTGCTTGGTTTTCACCGAGTGGCGAATACAGACCAATCCACGAAGTGTACAGATAGGGATTTTGATTAGGAGCCCGGTATACTTCGTTAGCACATGATGTCATTACGTGTCATAACTGGCCGCCATCTTGGTTGATTCTGAAGTTTACAAACAGGGGCATAGCCAGAGGGGATGGAACGTCCGGAGACCCCCTCCCCACTTTTCTTTAGGACCAATTTTGTAATTCTTTCAAAAGAGGGGGGCGTGACCTCGTAATGCTTCTATATCTATGGCATAAAATATACCCAATCTGTGCATTTAGAGTATCTTAAAACGTATCTAAAATGCACGAAATTCCCCTGACACAGACCCTTGACCCCCATTTGAGTAATGTGACGTCAAATGATACTCGTGAATTGGAAGATTTCTCTCCCCCCCCCCCCCCCCCATTTGTATGGGTCTGGCTACGCCCCTGTTTATAAAAGCCGTGTTTAGGTGAATAGTTCAGATAATTTCCTAGTTAACAGGTTTACGACAGTTTACGGTGTCTGGCTCGATACGACCAATAGTGAAGACAATGTAGTTTACTGTTTGTATTGAAAATCGACCAAGATGGCGTCAATTACAAACCACCAATTTTTGGAGACCGTGAATTGAGACGGGACGGTTTTGCGATATGAAAGGCTCCCAACAATAGCTTCATCTTGTTTTGTTTTCGTTTTGTTTTGTCTTGTTCTTCATTTCCGATGAAAACTAAGGTATTAGAGAATAATTGTACTGGCAAAAACATGCTGATGGAAATGTTCCCCTGAAGAATAGAAGAAGGATATCCGAAGACATCATTGAACTCCATGGGCTAACCCAAGGCATATGATTATGTCTGCGGATATAACTTTTCTTTAACACAATACCATTTTCAAGGGTAGTTTTCGTAGAATTCGGCAAACGCATTGCATACACAATGATTTCTGCTAATCTTAAAGTTCTTTTCGCTAAGACGATAGCAGCGATTGCTATATCAGGATCATTTTTGCGCCTCAATTTTGCTAAACTGAGGTAAGATTTATAATATTCAATATTCACATAAAGTCTCTCTGAACTAGCATTGAGAAGAGAGGTGTTTTGTGGAAGAACCAACTCTTTTACTTAGAAGTGAACGTCCACCAAGTCGCAATGCAAATCATTACAACCTAATTTGCATTGCTACGTGTTGTCCCAACACGAAACGCAATTTAAGTATTCACATTGTCTTAAATATCTTACAATTTATTTAATTTTCATTCACGAAAATTTAAATAACACTTTAGCAATAAATATTGCACAGCAATAATTTCATATTAAATCCACTCCTGTTAAAATAGGAAGTTTATGAAACAGAACTTTCGCATCCCGAATGTGAAGAAGAAGTTGTTTTACTTTAGTCGATACGAGTGAGTTGCTTATTGGTTGAAAAGGTAAGCCCTGGGCAAACTAGGAAACATTGTTGCGGAAACATTGTTTCCTAGTGTTTGCCCATCAAATGTTTCTGAATTTGTTAGGAAGCATTTTTGCTTCTCGGGAAGCAAATTTTGTTTCTGCAACAATGTTTCCACGGGAGGGCAAACAGGGAAACATTTGAGGGAACATCGAGAATCACAAATGTTTCCACAACAATGTTTCCTAGTTTGCCCAGCGCTTTAGATTTAAGCAAGGTTTTCATGCATTCTCGATTGTGGGGGGGAATAGATTTTCGGATCGTCGGATTTCACAGAAAAAATTGTTCCGATTTTGGATCTGGGGAATATTTTACACGGATTTGCGGATCTTATTAATACAGCGGATTGCGGATTTATCTAATATTTTGGCTCGGATTGTGCTTTCAATTTATAGTTCGGATCCTGGATTGTAACTTCATAGCAGAGCTTTTAGCGGATTCAAATTTAGACAAGTAGGAATTTCGCATGGGTAAATAGTTCTAACTTTTGATGGATTTGTAAGAAATGTATGTTTGAGGGAAATGACTAAGCGTTAAACACTGACTCAGTCCCTCAAACTTTTCTTACAAATCCTTCAAAACATAGAATTTACCTACGCAAAATTCCTGTGATCACAGAAACTTTGATAGTGAAAACCAGGCTTTACGACAGCACAACATGGGCAAAATAAGCGCCGATAAAGGAAAAAAGTCGCTTCATTCCATTCACAATTGTGTAATTTAAAGCAAATTCCAAATTTAGTGAAACCTAGCCAAATTCCCAAGGAATTGTTACGTGGGCTTGCACTTCCGGGACGCCAAGATATTGTTGCATAAACTTCCATATTTTAATGTTAATTAATCTAAGGTGTCCCCGATTTCTCATCTTCACCTTTCCTCAAAATTAAATTCTCATCCGATTCTGAACTTGGTATCTTCATAAATTCCGATGGTTCCTTACACTCGAATAGCCTGCTGATCGAGAGCAGCGCACTGGACACTATTGCCAAACCAATTGTAATATAAACAAAAGTTAAAACGGTAAATAGTATCGTATGTAGTCCATTTTGCTTGCTTGTATCTGCCGGGTGAAGCGGGACGAAATCGCCGAAGCCAATGGTCGAAAGCGTGATAAAGGCGAAATAGAAACCCTCGAAAAATGTCCAACCTTCATACGCATGCGCAAATCCTGCCAAGGTTAATAATAGCAACGCCATGATGGTAAATACAATCATTGTCGTCTTGATTTGAATGTTCGCGGGCTCATCTCTTCGTAGCAGTCGTTTTTCAACTCTCATGATTACCTCCGGTAGTATCTCGGCCACCTTCTCGCCGATGGATTTTAGCATTAGGCCAGCTATAGGAATTCCAAATAAGGCGTATACGATACAGAATGTACGACCCCAAGTTGTTATGGGAGTCATATGACCGTAGCCTATAAAAGATAACAGAAAATAGTTTCTAAATAAATAAATTCTGAGCGAGTCCGTTAACTTAATACTAACCAAACTTGAAAACTTTGATTTTGCATTGTTTACTCTTCCACACTTGCTAGATATATAAAGCGGCTAAAATCGGCACTCCCGAGATCACAAATGACAAAACATACCCCTAACTAATGGACCATTTGCATTATAGACTAAATTTTGATCTAGACAAAAATTTCATCACAGCTTGAAAGAGCATTACAAAATTGCGAAGTTTGCCGTTTTTCAGTCATTTTGTATTACGCACGGGAAATTGACAGCCCAATCGGGTGTTGGGGCATCAATTTCCCGTTTGTAATACAAAATGACTGAAAATTGCAAATTTCGCAAGGCTATATTATCCGCATTTTACAACATTTCGCAACGAAACTTTGGAATGTTACTAATTTTGTGATGCTCTTTCAAGCTGTGATGAAATTTTTGTCTAATGGTCCATTTTACAGACCTCTTTCTCCCTTCCCATTCAGTAGCGGCTCTAGTTTGTGAGTTAAAATCTTAATTCTTTAATTTAAACTTTTTTGCCTAAATTTCATGCAATCCATACAGCCTAATTTATAGCCTACCGGTGGCAGTGCTTTCTTGCTTGAAAAATTTTAGGTTATACAGTAATTATTCAGATATCATTCAAAGGCTTTCAGAAATTATTGAAGGGTTGCCCCTCTCCCCCGCCCCCTATTCCCATTCAAAGTTGAAAGTCCCAACTGAACTGAACTATTAGTCAGATACGTTCGTAAATCTAACATGGAATGGGGCGGAGAGGTGGTCAAAGCGCCCGCTGCTGAGGTAAATACATGTGGTAGTCGATCAGAAATGATCAGAATGGGAATATATTCATACATACCCTGTGTATAAGGCAATTTAAGTAAATGAAGTTTATTGGTATAATCAACCCCCAGGACTTTGGTGTTGAGGCAGCACTTCCCTTGCGATAGTAACTTCTAGTTTAAATTATTTTTATAATATCTAGTAATTTTGTGTCTGGTGGTCAAATAAATACAATTTAGATATATATATATATATATATAAATACAATTTAGATATATATATATAAATACAATTTAGATATGATTGAATTTGCTTGCTCCTACAGATACCAAACTGACAACCTAGTAAATGTTGAGGTTGTTGGGGTGTCATCAAAGACTATCGGCCAGTGGTGCTTAAATTACTTTAAAAAGTACTGGAGGCAAAACGTACTTAAGTAAAAAGTACAAAGTATCCTTAATAAAAACTACTTGAAGTAAAAAGTAAAAGTACTATTGTCTGTAGCGTGTAAAAACGGGCGACAGTACCAAAAATTATAACATCTTAATGTGTGATTTTAACAGTGGTGCCTAAATTACTTTGAAATTGTACTCGAGTAAAAGTAGAAGTAATTAACAATACAACGACTTGAGTAAGAGTAAAAAGTACTGGAGGCAAAACGTACTTAAGTAAAAAGTATTCTTAAAAAATACTTGAAGTACAAAGTAAAAGTACTATTGTCTGTAGCGTGTAGAGGGGGACTTCTCCAATGGATTGACATACAAAAGACACAAAACAGCACACGCATTATATGCGTACATGCACCTAATATACATTATCATTCACTTTATAGTGTTCTCAATTTTGATTGGTTAATTTACCTGCAAATAACTGCGTGCAAATAATAGTCTGAGCATGCGCATTTGTTAAAAACGTTGCTCAGCTACAAATAATAGTCTGAGCATGCGCATTGCCTT